TTGGTTTATGGTCCCTTTCATTTTCAGAGCCAGCAGTGGACAGTGGGGCCTTTTCCACATGACATCACTGTGATGCTGAACCATCTGCCTACCTTGTCTACACTTTACCCCAGTGAGTGGCCCCCATACCCCCACCTTGAGGTAAACTAGCTTAATCTTTACTTTAAAGTCAGCCGTTTATAGCCTGGGACCTTAATTCCCCTAGGCCACGTAAAGATGATGTCTTCACAGATTCTGGGGATTGGGATGTGCATGTCCTAATGCTGCTGGCCATGTTTAGGAATTATTAGAAAAGTAGTTTGACCTTTGTTGATCTCAGGAGACAGTCTGAGGATGTGGTTTCCCAGATTATGCCAGGCTAGGGAAAATATTAGGTGACTGGATGAAGGAAGGAGAGGGGACCGACATTGACATTTCAGGAAGCCCCTGCCGTGAGCCAAGTACTCTGCCAGGCACTTGACCTACATTGTACTGTCTGATAACTGAGCGACTTGGCCTTACGTAACGTCTCATCTGCAAACAGTGGGTAGCGGTGTTCACCTTAGGGAGCTGTTGTGACCGTGACCCAAGGTGAGAAGTACCTGATGCCATGGTACTTGTATGGAGGACATTGATGGTTATTCCTCTTCTACTGTCTCCATACAGTGATGAAAGCTCTTGATAGCTTGCCTAGCATTTCATCTTTTGATATGGCTAAATTTTCTTTTTCTAAGAAGTTTCTCCCATGAAACAAAAAGTACTTTCCTTTTGAGCAGTCAGGCTTTGTTTTTGTTTTTTTTAAGTAGGCTCCACACTCAGTGTGGGCCTTGAATGCATGACCCTGAGCTGGAGGGTTGCATGCTGTATCCACTCAGCTGGCCAGGCGCCAGCTGTGGTTAGATTTTTGGAACTTCAGGACACATGGTGGATTTCTACTGAGCAGTCAGAATGACAAATATTATTTACAGAGTAATTAAGATGTGATTTTAACTCTTGGTAGGAGTAGTGTAAATGTCACACACATTGTTAATTATTTGGATGAGTAATTGTATTTGTCATGGATTGCTTTTCCTTGGAGATGATGCAGAATGTCTAAACTAGTAGAGAAAGGAAAGCTGCTTTTTAGATTTATAGATGCTATAAAAATGACTTTTGAATTGCCACCTCCTCTGGAGAGGGAGCTGTGCTGAATTCCTGTCTTGTGTGCTTTTGCCATTTCTTGGCTTCCCCTGCTGCCTGTGATGTCGATCCCTACCAAGTTGGTGCCTTGTCATCTGCTCACGTACAGTCCCTGCACAGCTCCCTGTGCAGTGCCTGGCACATGGTAGGTGTGCAGGAGGTGCTTACTGAAAAAGTTCCTGAGAGGTGAGTAAGTGGAAAAACCAGTTGACCAAAATCCTGTGTGCTGATGGTCTTATATGTAGAAAACTCTGGAGAATGAAAACAAATCTGATCCAAAGTAGAAGAGCAGTTGCTGGGGAATAGTCGGGCTTGGGGAGGGTGGCTGGCATTTGCAGGGGCATGACAAAATGTGTGGAGGTGTTAGGTACACTTAGCATCATCGGGACTGTGGCTCGTAGGTGTGTACATACGTCGAACCTCGTCGAACTGCATCCTTCACGTGTGATTGCTTATACATCCATCGTGTAGTTCAGTAAAGCTGCACAGTAAAGACAAGAAGGGAAGGACTGTGGATTAGCCTACTTGACGCAGGTTCCCCCCACATCAGTGGAAACAGTGGCCCGGGGTGAATGTGATGTCCTCGTTGGACTGCCAGCTGGGCTGGAGTGGGTGGCACAGGGTCCCAGAAGGATGCAGGAGTTATGTGGGGAAGAGTCATTTCTTCCCTCAGAGTTGGGGTTGCGTTGTGCTGGCAGGTAACCCCCTTCATAGTGAAAGGACACCTGGGTCCCTGGGTTTTGTCCCTGCATCTATGGGACTGCTGCAGAAGTAGAGGGGATTGGGATGCCTTGGTGGCTCAGTGGTTGAGCTTCTGCCTTTGTCTCAGGGCGTGACCCCAGGATCCAGGATCGGGTCCCACATCAGCCTCCCTGCAAGGAGCCTGCTTCTCCCTCTGCCTGTATCTCTGCCTCTCTCTCTCTCTCTCTCTCTCTCTCTCTCTCTCTCTCTCTCGGTGTCTATCATGAATAAATAAATAAAAATCATAAAAAAAAAGAAGTAGAAGGGATTTACAACTGAATGGTTCTTAGCGAAACTAGGGATCCTAGAGAACATAGTTTCTGGCTAAAAACAGTTGGATTCATATCTCTAAGGTCCAGTAGTAAGTAGCGCCCCTTGGAATCATCAACCTCAAGTCACACTGTTTGCTCTGTTCTTACTCCCCTTACTGTACCTACTTATTAGCAGAAGCCATACTGAGTGCTCATAACCAGATTAAATCATGTTTGTTGGCACTAAACAGAACATTCTCAACATAAATCTGAACTTTTTGCATTATGGTCAAATTGTTCCTAACCTATCAATTGCATTAGGACAAATTAACATTTTTTTTACATAAATGTCAGTAGAATTATCTTTGGCCAAGCCTTGCTTAACAGGAGGAAGTTGTAACTGAGGAGTTTGCTAAGAGAAAATCCTCTAAGGGATCCCAAGACCTCTGGGGTCATGCCCTGAGCTGAAGGCAGACACTCCACCACTGAGCTGCCCCAGCGCCCTGCAGCAGAGTATAAAGGGAAATCTTCCCTGACAGTCCTTTAATGTAGCTAAGCAGTGTTTCTGTAGTTAGATGAGAGAGACTGAATATTCCATGTGAATTTTAATTCAAGGTGGTACTCAACTATTCTGAAGACCAGAGGGTAGTAGATTGCCCATCTAGCTGAAAGTAGGGCATATGAAGGAGAATTTAAGATTGGAAAGATGGCTTAAAGTATAAATGCAGAATGCCTTTAATGCCAGTTTAAAAAGTTAAAATTTGTAGACAGTAAAAATTTCAAGTGGCTGAATATGCTTTAAATAAACTTTTAGTTTGGACCTTTTTAGCTGCAAACAATAAAACACTCAACCCAAACTGATTTAAGCAAAAAAAAAAAAAAAAAAATTTAAGAAGAAATTTTATGGGCTTGTGTAATTGAAAAACCAAGAGGTAGCTTGGTAGCTTCAAACAGAAATTGATCTAGGTATGTCATGGGGTGGTTTCTCTTCTGTTGACCTTGCTTTCTTCCAATACTGGCCTTTTTAAAGGATCTTGGAGATAGCCTCTCACATCTCCAGTTTTATATCCTGTTGGATCCGAGCTTGGAAGAAAAGAATACCTCTTCCATGAAATTCCCTTGCACATCCAGAAATTTTCTTGACTGGACTCATTGGTTCACTTTGGCTGCAGGGAAAGTGGGATGATGACTGGCCAGAAGGAGTCCTGAGCCTTCTCCAAATGAGTTAATGTTGGTGAAGGAACTCAGGTGCCGTGTTTGGCCAGGCCTGGGTCCTTCCTGGGCGTTCTTCCTGGAGTCAGGAGCGGAACCTCTCTGAGGCTGTACAGTCTGAACGTGGGGGAGTGGCGATGTCCCAGAGAAATGCATCGGGGAGGGGCGGGTAGCAGGTACGTCTGTCAGCTCAGGGTGAGCCGCGCTGCAGGGACCAGCAGCACGCACTGTAGACAGCCACGGCCAAATGCCTTGTCCTTTATGGAGTCCCCTGGGCTTGGGCAGCTCTGCAGCTGCATCCCTGCTCTAGGCTTGGGCTGCCCTGGGGCCAGGCTCCCGTCAGGGCTTTGGCCTGAGTAACAGGGCTGTGTTCTGGCCTGTGTTCTGTCCCCACTGTGTTCTGCCTGTATGGTCTTGATGTCTTCATCCATTAGTCCAAAAGGAACTCACTTTCTTTCTTTTCTCTCTCTCTCTCTCTCTCTCTTTTTTTTTTTTTTTTTTTAAGGAACTCACTTTCTAAACCGGTACCCTTGTTTCTGTTTCGGGAAGAAGTGCATAACTGCTTAGTCAAGGGCCCTTCTTCCAGTTATACTTCAGAGTCTAAAGTTCAGACAGGCTGTTTGTCTCTCTGAGTGTTTGGCATTCTTTCCTTTTGTCTTGTAATTATTCGTGTTTGTAACTGGTTTTATAGGGTGTCGAAATACCTTTTAAGCTTCCCGTGTTCCTCATGTTTATTTTGAGTGATGACACATTAAACATCCAAGCTTTTGGTGGTGATGTTCACATGATTAATACACCTTGGGCTTTCACCCCAGCGGGGATCCCGGGCAGCCGTCGGAGACATGCTCTTAGCAGTTTTCCAGTGATGCAGTCCTGCTTGAGGACATCACATACTCTTCTCCGGTGGTAGAAAGGGAGAGAAACTTTATTGCCAACACTGTTCCTAAACGTAAACCTCTAATTCCAGTAAGCTGTTAGAACTTCATGGAAAGATCATGTGTGAAAGCAGTGCTGTTGGTCACCCTGTAAGTAATCCTGCTTCCATACTTCATCTACATGGTGCCATGTGGTCATGTTCAGAAAATAGCATCCCTGGCAGGGGCCTGTCAGTTATGTAAGGCCAGGAACCCTGCGGTGGCAGGTGCCAGAGAGCTTGGAGCTGCTAACTTTTAATTTAATTATCTACAGGTTTCTCGGTTTCTGAAATCCGTAACTAGCATGTATCATTTTTTAAACTAAACACATTATTTTTTGCGATGTTGAAGCAAAGATTCTTTTTTTAGTAAGTTTTATTGAGATACTGTGTACATATGGTACCGCACACCCACTGAGAACTCCTGTCTGGTGGCATTTGGTGTGCTATCCAGCCAGTGTTCATCATCACTTTGAGATTGTTGTCATCGCCCCCGGGGGGGGGGGATGCTGTACATGTTCGTGGTGGCCCCATTTCTCCCCATGCCCCCGGCCCCTGCCTCTGGATTTGCCTGGCTGGGACATTTTAGGCCACTGGACTCAGAGAAGCCGTGGCTTCTCTCATGCAGCGTGGAGTTTCCAAGATAAAGCCACTCTGTGAGTCCTAGGAATCCTACTAACCCTTATTCATCATGGGGCATAATACATGTTCTTCTTTACTCCTAGACTTGGTTCCTTCGATTATGAACAACTTGTTGAATCCAGATGCCATTTTCTCCAACAATGAGATGAGCCTGTCGGACATCGAAATCTATGGCTTCGATTATGACTATACCCTGGTGTTCTACTCCAAGCACCTTCACACGCTGATATTCAATGCCGCGCGGGACCTTCTCATCAATGAGCACCGGGTGAGGGCAGGGTGGGTCTCTTCCTCCTTCCCCAGACACTGGACAATAGCTGTGAACACACCTGGCCTTGTGTCGGCATGCACATGTCACTTAGGGAAGTGTTGTTAAGTGAGTGAGTGGATTTTGTTCCATTCCAAGGGACTCCAAGTATGACTGATATACAGAAAGCTGTAGATGCTTGATGTGTATGACTTGAGTTTGGAGATAAGTGCACAGCTGTGAAACCACTATCACTGTGAAGGCCATAAACTGTCACCTCCCAGAGTTTCCTCCTGCCTCCTTCATCATCGTTATTTGTGCGTGTGTACGTATGCGCGCGCGTGTGTGTATGTGTGTGAACCTGGATGTAAGATCTGCCCTCAGAGACATTCGAGGACACCGTTGCCTGCAGTACAGGAGTGCTGTGCTGTGTCTTAGCTCTCCGGGGCGTTTATGTCGCACAGCTGGGACTTTGTACTGGAATATAGTTGGTTTTTAAAGATTTTATTTATTTGAGAGAGAGAACACAAGCAGGAGGAGGGGCAAGGGGAGGGAAAAGCAGAGTCCCTGCAGGGCTCACTTTCAGGACCCCAGGATTATGACTTGAGCTGAAGGCAGATGCTTGACCTACTGAGCCACCCAGGCGCCCCTGGAAGATGGTTACTTAAAAAAAACTAAAATCTGGGCAGCCCGGGTGGCTCAGCTGTTTAGCGCCACCTTCAGCCCAGGGCCTGATCCTGGAGACCCGGGATCAGTCCCACATCAGGCTCCCTGCATGGAGCCTGCTTCTCCCTCTGCCTGTGTCTCTGCCTCTCTCTCTCTTTCTCTCTGTGCCTCTCATGAATACATAAATAAAATCTTTAAAACAAAAAAAAGAAAAAACCCAAAATCTTTTGATGTCTCTTTGATAGAAGACTCTCAAATTAGTGTTAGTGGGGACAGGGCTACGGACTTCTGCTCTCATCCCTCACCGAGCAGGATGGCGCTCCTCCCCAAGCTGATGAACGTGGCCGCCTGTTTGGGTTAAAGAGGAAATTGTTCTGGTAATGGGCTGTGTTTTGCCATCATCACTGACTTGAGTTGTTCCGCAAAGAACATTTGAGTGTGTGGTGTTGGCAAGGGCCCAGGGTGGGGGGAAAGGCAGGACGCAGGACCCACTGTGCTGCCCAGTGAGCGCGTCTCTGCAGCCAGGACCCAGGAGCCACCCTGACCAGTGCTGTGAGCACCCTCTGCGGGGCCGGGTCTGTGTGGGGCCCCAGCGCGTTTCCACAGGGGCACCTACGATGTGGGGAGGCCTTCTTGCCTCCTCCACCTTCACTGCTGGGCCCGCCTCTCCTCGCTTAGTCCCTCGGCTTTGATGAGGGGCCACTCCGCCACGGCCCGTGTAGCAGCCACGGAGAGGCTGGGTCGAGGGGTGCGAGTGCCACAACGAGTGCAGCATAGTGCTGCAGGGTCAGGGGGTAGCCAGTCGTGGGGTCCCTGCTGGGGCCTCTGCGCATTTCCAAGCACACCCTCCCTGTCCTGCCCTGCTCCAGGGCTTGGGCCACACAAGGGGGTGGTACGTGGGCAGAGTCTGGAAAGGCTTTGCCTGCAAAGGTGGGGTGGGGGGGTGGGGTGGGAGGTGGGGGGTGGGAGTGGCCTGGGACTCAGCAGGGGGTGGGTGGGGGCCAGGGAGGGCTGGAGGGGGCGGGGCCGAGGAAGGGTGTAGGAAATCGGAGTTCCTGACTTGGTCCCTAGGATAGTGTTTTGTATGAGTGGGCTGCACGTCATGTCCCGCATGTCTCTGCCCCGGTCATTCTTAGTTTCCAGCCATTCTCATATGGCCTCCTTTCTGGTCATTTATCATCTTAGTGACTCTTCTTAGGGCATGTGCCCTGATTTATCCGTCTCCATTGTGAGGCCCTGACTGGAAGACGTCACAGCCTATGGGGTCTGACTAATGTGGAATAGAGGGAGGCCATCACCTCCCTGCTTCTGGATACCATACCTTTGTTAATGCTACCCCAGTTCCCATTAGTTTTAGGTCTTCATCATTTGATGCCCTATATTTCCTGTTCCGTTCTGCTTCTGGTTATCAGGGATTTAATCAGCAACTCAGTTTCTCCCTACTCAGAATGCAGAAATGACATTTGTCAGCGGTGACCTTTCCGTCTCCACGAAGCCGGCAGGCGGCCTTGTCCAGCTATGGGCACTCTACTGCGTGGAGCCCCATCCAGCCACATTTCCCCATCTGCTGGAGAGCCGCCAGCCCTTCCGTCTCATGGCAGGCCTGGCCCTGCCCTGTGGGCCCGAGAGCGAAGTGAGAGCCCCAGGGGTCCTGCCCCTGTGGCCTGTCTGTGGTCCCCCTGCCCCAGAAGAGTGAACAGAGTGGCTGCCCCGCGGGTGCTGCATCCTGTCCTGGTGGCTGGGCCAATACTACGTGTGTGGGGGTCATTCGGGTCACCGCCCAGTGTGTGGGTCTCCTACTTGGTCCTGGAAGCACAGGTTCTGGCACTGTGTGGCCAGCACACAAGCCCTGACCTTCCCGCCACCTTCCTGGGAACCTGGAGAAATCCACCTGATCTCCATGAGCTGCCGTTCCCACCTGTGACACGGATGCATTCACGGTGCTTTAGCTCCAGAGTTGGTGTCATAATTAAGTGAGTCACTATGTATAACGGGCTGGCAGGTAGAGGACCCTCGGAATGGCAGCCGTCACCGCTGTCTCTGTGTGCGCCTTAGCCCCACAGGTCCCCCGTCCCTGCCTTACAGGGAAAATGAGGCCCACAGCCTCGAGTCAGGAGGAGGCAGAATCTGTTTCCAGGGCACGAGTGTTCTCGCCTTCATTCCTGGTTGTTCTTTGTGGGGCCAATAACATTTCCACTCTGTTGTTCATATGAGAATAAAATATTCACGAAGGTACAAAATGTTTGAGGATGAAAAATGTATAAAATTTGGGGGAACAGAGAGAAGACATAGATGGGGAAGAGGAGGTGCCATCGTTAGGATCAGAAAAGCTTCTGGATGTAAGATCACTTAAGATTCAGCCCCATTACATCTGTTTGTTGCTCTGATAAAAGAGATCAGTCATAACACTAATTATGTCAGGCATATTAATAGAGTCAATTATGCTCATGCAGATTTTTCTCTTGCTCTGATGAAACAAAATAATTCTTCCAAGAGGCATTTAATTTGGTGCCATTTTTCTTGCCAGGGACTAAATGTGCTTGTAGAGATGGGAAGACATCTGCTCTTGAGATGCACAGCAATAGAACAGTAAGTCTGCAATTCCACAGCTTCCCAAAAAGCAAATGTAAGAAGTTCTAGCCCTTCTTAACGACTTTCTTTCTTTCTTTCTTTCTTTCTTTCTTTCTTTCTTTCTTTCTTTCTTTCTTTCTTTCTTCCTTCCTTCCTTCCTTCCTTCCTTCCTTCCTTCCTTCCTTCCTTCCTTTCTTTCTTTCTTTCTTTCTTTCTTCTTTCTTTCTAAAACATGTTTTTGCAAAAATAGAACAAAATATAGGGAAATGATCATGTCTACCTTTTCCTTTCATGAGTCCACCAAGACCAGAGGGGGAGTGTCAAGGGTTCTCGATTCCGCCCCCAGATCCATGGCCTTGTCCTGGTCCCAGTCATTCCGTGGTAGTCCATCCCCACCTCCAGGGCCCAGTGGCTGTGACCCTTGTCTGATCTGTCAGCAACCGCTGTGAGTTCTTGCTCTCTCTCTTCTATTTTTCTTTTTAACAGACTGTTAATCTTAGGGGAGGTTTAGGTGTGTAGGTAGGTTGCAGAGTTGCCGCAGAGCATTCCTGCATGTGTCCCCTGCCTGGTCCCCCCGCTCCCAGTTCCCCTGACCGCAGTCTCTTCATCATGGCGAGAGAAGCACGTTGGTAACACCCGCACTGACTGAAGTTTACCCTGGAACCCCGTTTCCTCTGTTGTTACTTGATATCCATTGCCTATTCCAGGGACCCATGCGAGAGCTGTGTCACCTTCAGTTATCCTATGACCGGGGGCTCTCTTTGCACTTTCTCACAACTCCCTGGTTTGTGACAACCTTGACTGGGCAGGTGGCTTCTCTTGGGACTTGGCTGACATCTCCCTGTGGTTACACTGGGGGCTCGGGGAGGGGGAGGCCCCAGAGGTGGAGTGCCGTTGGCTTGTGTCACGGGGGGCACCCGTTGTCTGCGTGGCTTACCCAGTGAGGCTGGCTTCCGCCATGTGCAGAGGTGCGTGTGCACCATGGGGTCGCTTTTTCCTCGCCAGGCTCTGCTCTCTGGGATGAGGCTACCCTGTGCAGCCGTGTCCCGACTGCCCCACAGCCACCTGTCTGCTCCAGGCCACCATCCCTTTCCAGCCCCATGGCTCCTGGACCCAGAACTCAGTCTGGTCTGGCTGTGCACTCAGAGTGACAGACGAGGCCTCTGGAAGTGCTGGGCCCTGGCTTGCTCCCCCCTACCGTCACCCTGTCACCTGCTGGAGTCACAGCCACCCTCCGCTGCCTGGCTGCCAGGACTCTGTTTCCTCTGCCCCAGGTGGTCTGCGGCCCTGCTCCTCATCTTGCTTGTTTCCTGGATGTCTGAGCTCTTGTAGGCCTTGCTCCATAGTGTGTTCTGCTGGGGGCTTGGTGATGGCCTCCCCAAAGTGGAGGGGACACGTTTTAGGGGAGGAGACAGCCCCATCTGGTTCCTGCCACTGCCCCAGGCTCTGGCACAGATGCGTGTTCAGCACATCCTCAGCGTGTTTGGGGAAGGACACAGTTAAGTGAGAACCATGCTCGGATGCGGGTCGTTTTGCCCTCCCATCTTGTGAAGACTTTAGAGAAGTCTGGTTCTGCCCTCCTGCCCTGCATCTGACAGGACTGACGTGCGAGGCTGTGCACACACAAGGCGGAGACCCCTGGGCACTGCATCTGTAGGGCTGGACGTACATAGGCACCGGGTGTCGGGGCACTGTGGTGCTCCAGCAGGGCCGGGCCGCTGCCTGGAAGAAGGAGTGCACCCCGGGTGTTCCCAGCTGCCCTAGTGCCTCCTGCTTTTAGAGACACCAGCCATGTGTGTGACACGTTGGCGGAGTCATGTTTCTCAGGCTGATGGAAAGGTTCTCCACTGACACGTCCACAGGATCTTGCTGTTGGCTCCTGGAGACGATGTTACCTCCTGGCTGCTGGGAGCATCTTCGGCTTCCCCGATGTGAGGTCATTGTTGACAGTTGTTCTGGGAGATGCTGTGCCTGCGTGTGCGTGTGCCCAAGTGTGTGTGTGTGCATGTGTGTATGCATGCACATGTGTGTCTGTGTGCGTATGTGCATGTGTATGTATGTGTGCGTGTGTGCCTGTGCATGTGTTTACGTGCTTGTGTGCTTGTGTGTGTGCATGTGCGTCTGTGTGCATGTGTGTGTGCATGTGTGTGCGTGCCTGTGCACATGTACGTGTGCATGTGTGCCTGTGCATGTGTGTGTGTGTTGGAAAGGGCCCCCACTGCAAGGACAGTTGACGTCATAGGTTGACTGGGGACACTCGACTCGGGTGGGAATGGAGCCTAGAAATTGCCCACGGGGCTGCCCCGCCGCACATGTGAAGGCAGGAGCCTGGAGTCCCTGGGAGTAGCAGGGGCAGGAGGATCGGGAAGCCCACGCTGTGGCTCCCAGTCATGGAAGCAGCTCCATTCTGTTCCCTTCTGTTCTGTGCAGGCTGCGGGCTGGAGGCGACCCCAATACCTCCTGGGCATCTTTTTTTTATTTTTAAATTTTTGAAGATTTTATTTCTAAATATCCGCAACACCCAGTGTGGGGCTTGGACTTATGCCCTGCAATCAGGAGTTGCAGGCTGTACTGACCGAGCCCCGCGAGTGCTCCAAGCTGCCGGCGTCCTTTGCTGTACCCTGTCCCCTTCCACCTCCAGTAGGAAACTTGGGCCCTTACTTTGGAAGGGGAAGATCGACGCTCAGAGACTGCAACCCGGCCCAGGTCCCTGGCTGATGCGCCGTAGGATGGGGCTGCAGCCCTGGGCCTGTGCTGGTGACCAGTGCCCCTGAGGCCCCTTCAGCTGCCTGGTCCCTTCCCACGCCCCCTGCCACTGTCTCTGGAGCACTGGGGAGATGCCATGTGTTTCTCAGGATGGGCTCCCCAAGGCCACATGGCTCTGGGGCCCATGGCAGGTGTGTGGCTGGGTGTCGCTGTGCTGTTGTCCTGTTGGGGAGTCAGCAGGGGCCTCGTTGGACGTCCCAGCAGCCCGTGCTCACAGCATGCCCATCCCGATGCCACTCAGGACGGTGGCAGCCCAGCCCCTGTCGCCGTGCATCTTTGGAGTGGTCACCTGGCCCTCGGGGGGCATGTTCCGCTAGCACCCTGGTGTTTAGGGCTGGTTATGGGGCCAGGGGCTGGGGCAAGGCGTGGGCCTGGACCACGTTCCTGGCCCAAGCACCTAGCTTCTTGGGCCTGGACGGCCCCTGAGTGCCCCTGTTGGGATGTGGATCAGAGGGACGCACACGCCCTCCATCCGCCGTGTGCGAGGGTGGAGGTGGCTCTGTAAAAGCGCCTTGCAGGGAGAGCTGAACATCTTCCCCATGGCCTGCCTGGTCCTCATTGCCCCCGTGCAGGACAAGGTGCCACAGGTACGCAGTCCTGAGCTTGTGTCCAGCAGGGGGACCGTGCTGTGTGTGCGGTTCTGGAACATATGTGAAGTCTGTTTGTGAAAACGCACGACTGTACAGTGTTCAGACTTCCTGGAAATGCCCCCGAGTGGCAGTAGCACTTGGTGGTTTCTCGGCAGCTGTGAGATCAGCAAGCTCTGCGTGACATCTGGGTCAGCACTTGCGTGGCACTGGCGTGGCTACAATGCCTGCTGTGTGTGGGGTGGCTGCTGGGTGCGGGATGTGATTTCAAAGAAATGTGGCCCTGGCGTGAGCAGTCCTCACTGTCTTGCAGGGGCCTGTGCACCTGACAGCTGGGCGGTCATTTGTGGGGGGAGTGGCGTGGAGGGTGGAGGGCAAGGGTCTCGGTGGCTCTGCACCCCACCACCCATGATCCTGACTGAGCCTTCATCCAGGGCCCCACGCCCGACCACATGGCCACCGCAGGCCCCAGTGGTCCAGGTTCTGACTGAAGCCGTTTACCATGAGGCTGGAGGGTCCAGAGCTGCAGCAACCTCCTGCGGTGCTGTGCTCCCAGGGCGGAGGGCCACGGGGTCAGCAGGGAAAGGCTGGGCCCAGCATACCCCAGCCAGGTCACCTGGCCACACTCCTTCTGTCCCACTCCTGGTGCCCTGGGGTGAGGGGCCCGAGGACCTGGGTACAGTGGGCAGGATAGCTAGGGTCCTAATCTTGAGATCTGACGGGAGGGAAGGACGTGGGGCACCTGGTCTAGCAGGTGAGAGCAGAGCTGGGGTTTGTGTAGTTTGAGGAATGGGTTCATACCAGAACGTACCAGGTGGCCTCACCTGTGCCTGGGCAGGTGCATAGGGTGGGGTGGACAGATGGCCCTGAGAAGGAGGCACGATGTCCAAAAGCAGAGGGCTGGCCATGCTCGGTCCTGGCACCTCCACCCCTATGCGGGGACGGTCACCCTGCTTCTTTCTGGGGACCAAGCTAGACCCTGCCGTGACCTTAGTGCACTGTTACCTGATGGTGGCTGTTTTCTTCTTTCTTAGTATCCGGTGGAAATCAGGAAGTACGAGTATGACCCGAATTTTGCGATTCGTGGACTTCATTACGATGTGCAGCGGGTAGGTTTTGTTGCCGTGGTTCCTCATGTGATGGTGTTTGGGAACCAGGTCCCCTTGGCCCTTCTCTTTACTGAGCATAGAAGCTGATTTAAGTCCTGTTCTTTGGGGCCCAAGAACCGGGTCACTGACAGCGTCTTTGTATAAATAAAGTCTTTTGGGAAAGACTGTGTATCGGAAAAAAGTGAATGTGTTTTGCTATTTGGAAGATACTGTTTGTTTCTTGAAGTCGTTTCTGGTGTTTTGGTGGGGAGCCAGTGGCCACGCTGTTTTTGCGGACCAGTCATCTCCTTAAGCTGCACGGTGTGTTTTTTTGTTGTTGTTTTTTTTAAAGATTTTATTTACCAGGGAGCAGGAGAAACCGGGAGAGGGGAAGGAGAAGCAGGGGGCCAGGCGGGCTCCCTCTCAGGACCCAGGATCGTGGCCTGAGCCAGAGGCAGACGCTTGGCCAGCTGAGCCTCACCGCACTTTACTGACCAGCAGGCTCAGCAGATGCGTGCAGTGTGCTGCTTTCTCATGTCAACCTGTGTTGATTGGGTGTACGAGGACATGCAAAACCCTCGCTGGATATGCAGCCTGCTGCGCATGACTCACCTGTTGTGTATTTGTTCTCTAAGGCGGTGCTGATGAAGATTGATGCTTTTCATTACATCCAGTTGGGAACCGTCTACAGGTAAGAGGAACATGAGGTAAATTCAATGCACCTGAAGTCCCCCAGTGGCTTCGGGTTTGGAGACCCTGTGACTGGTTGTTGGGGAGTGGGAGGTTGTGTGTGTGTGTGTGTGTGTGTGTGTGTGTGTGTGTGTGAGAAACCTGTTTATGCATTCGCTCAACAACACTCCTGGGTCCGGGTGACTCGGTGCTTAGTGTGCACGTTGCACCGAACCAGTGGCTGCAATCTGGTGACCACTGGGGGGGCGCTTTCCCAGGCACTCGGCAGGCCCTGAGTCAGAGGCTGGGTGGGGACAGATGTGGGGGATGCAGTGGCCCCTGTTCCCACCATGGTGGTGGAGTGTGTGGGTGGCAAGACTTTCCTCCTCCCTATTTATTGGGATTAGTAGAAGCACTTGGCTCAGTTCAAAACCCTGTTAACCTTGACAACGTTGCCTTTTCTGATCCTTGAACTTGGGGAGGATTTAGGAGCATGGTTGTTGTACCCTAAACAAACAGGTGTGTGTATCCAGGTTCTTCCTCCACAAACTTTGCTACAATTGATGGTTTTTTGCCCGAGTTAAACACACGTGCAGTGGCAGTCTGTGCTGAAATACTGTGGGGCCGCAGGGCCCCTGCCCCCCCCCCCACCCGACCCATTACATTCCTTTCATTTTGTTTCCCACATCTTTCTTCCTATTTCTGAATAACATGCTCATACCTCTGTCCCCTAACGTAACAATCCTGACTGTGGTGTCTGCCACGGGCTGGGCCTGCGCACGGGTACCCGGCTTCTGCAGGCTCCTCCTTCGAGCCCCTGCCCACCTGGGCCTGCCCGTCTCCCCATTGTGGTTCATGGTTTGCATCTGACCCGTGGGTCTCGCTCCTCCTCGCACTGTATCGTGTGCTGGGACTGCCTCTGTGCACAGGGCTTGCTTTTTCTTACATTTAATAACAGCATCCCTCCTTACCTGCTTTGTTTGCTGTGGAGGTGTCCCCAGGTTCCCCAAGCGCCCTGTCACCAGCCTCCTCCTTGTGTTTATTTCCGGACAATTCAGATGTTTTTCATATGCTCTCGGTCACTTTGACATTTACTGGACTGCCCTTGTGCTCCGATCTTCTCTGATGCTTGTCCTGGGCCTGGGTTGGCCTCTGTCTCCCTTCCCAGAGCCCCTGTGTCCCTCCTGCTGGCCTCACCTCTGTGTTCTGCTGTGGCACATCCTCCTGCAGCTCCCAGTGCTCACGGGGTTCAGCCTTCTGGGGTGGGGGCAGCTCTCAGCTCCCCTTGGGATGTCTCCTCGCAGGCTCTGTTCCCAGCCTGGGAAGCCTGGAGCCCCTGGTACATCTGCTCGTTGTCTTCCACAGACAGGACGTGTCTTATCTGCTGATGTCTTTGCACTTACTTCCTTTGACGTTCTGAGTAATCTATTTTTTTTTTCTTTAATAAGAGAGAGGATGTGCGTACACAAGTGGGATGGGGAGGGGCCGCAGGAGAGGGAGACAGAGAATCCCAAGCAGGTCCACACCCTATGGGGCTCGATCCATGGCCCTGATGTTGTGACCTTAGCTGAAATCACGAGTTAGAGTCAGGTGCTTAGCCGGCTGAGCCCCCAGGTGCCCCTTAGCACTTCATTCTTTTACTATCATCTTAGATTCCAGGAGGGAGGAGAGATGAAATAATGATAACATTATTCAATAATGATGAAATAATAGTAACATCAGTCATAGTAAGTTGGAGCTAGCAACTGTGAGGTCTGCTGTGGCACAGACACCATTGTCAGGATTTTATTTGCCTTTTTTGTCCTTGAGCTGATGAGGGAGGTCATGGTGTTAGACCCAGAGATGTTAGGGGCTTGCCCAAGGTCACACAGGCCTAGAAGTCAGATCCAGGTGGGCTCTGACCCTGGAGCCCATGGCCTGTGGGCAGCGTGGAGGGGGCCGAGGCCCTCACCAGATCTCCCGTGTGCACCTCTGTCTGTGTCCTGCCATTGACTCCCAGGCCCAGACGCTCCATCCTGTCCTCCTGGGCTCCTGCAGTTCTATGCAGGGTGGCTTGTCCTGGACATTGCTGTTGGACCTGTGCACCTCAAGCACTGCCCTTGGCTCAGCCTCCCTTCTGACGTCCTGCGTGACTCACCCACCAGCTTTCCCTAAATCTGTATCCTTCTCTTCCACACGTGGCACTTTCACTTCCCCGGTTGGTTAGGACTTGGTAACAAGTGACAAAACCTGACCCGACTGGGTCAGCCAGAAATACAGCCTTGGGCACCTGTTGTGCGATTGGGGGCAGCACCCGCTGTAGGTGTGGCTGGCTCCAGGGGCTGACATGCTCAGAACCCGTTCTCTCTGTTGGCTCTCTCCTTCAGGGCTTGCTCCAGCTGCCCCCCGTGCATGTAGGCCCCGGAGATACCCTCGCCCAGGTCAGTGGGAGAAGGGGGCTGGGTGTTCCCAGCAGTTACAATTGGTCTGGGTATGTGGAGGCGGGTGTGCAGCATGGGCCCCCACTCCCTAGGGTCACCGCTGGCATCCTCACAGGGTGCAGCCTGCCTTCCCTGCGGCTGCCTGAAGCCTCCTCCCTCCTTCACAGCCTGCCTGCCCCTGCTTACACCTCACCCCATCCTCAGCCTCCCTCCTCCCTCAGACCACGCAGTGCCTTGGCTGCTCTGGTCGTGTGTCCTCTTCTGCTGGTGTGTTGTCTGACATGTTTGGGGGATGGACAGGTGGGGCACCAGGAGGACAGAAGTGTCCCGAGTCTGGGTCCTGGGCGGCCACTGTGCTGAGGCCCCCACCCTTGCTCCCACATGTGGCCTCCGTCCACTCTGAACCTGGCTTGGTGCCAGGGGCTGCCCTGGTGCCTGTTGTGTGGTCCAGTGTGGGCCTGTGCCTGGGTAGAGGGGCACCCAGGGTGTCAGTGCCCCGGCCTTCCCCCAAAAAGGGTTGTGGATGGGCAGGAGCCCCCAGCCTTGCCCACGTCTGACCCTGCTGCTGGTCCCCAGCTCCGGCCCCAGGTTGAGTCTCGTGGGCTGTAGGTGCGAATGCTGCAGGGTCGGGGGAGGCTGACGGTCAGCATAGCTGCAGTTGGTACTGTGATGTGGGCCTCAGAGAAGTGACACTTGTCCTCTCTGCAGGCACACCAGGTTCTCACACACCTGCTCACTTCCTCCTCTCCCTTATACCAGGATGTAGGTACTATTACTGTTCCCTGTTTAAAAAGTGACACTGAGACCCAGGGTGGCTCTATTGCACATCCAGGTAGTACCCCCACTGGTCAGGGGGCTGGGACCTGAACCCAGGCACACTTGGGGGTCTGCGCTCCCAGCCCTTGTGCTTCTCACACCACACAGACCTCGTGGGGCGGTGTGCGGGGCTGGCCATGCCCCCAGCCTGGGCTGCTGCACCTACCAGAGCTGCCTCCGCCCAGTTGGGCTGTGTGGCACTCAGCTCACCCTCCTTCTGAGCTGACACTTGGCTCTGTGGGCCGTTGTGGGCCATGTGCCTGTGCACCTGTCCTCAGGTCTCAGGGCAGAGTTCTTGCACTTTTTGTAGTTTTTTCAAAATCTTAGAGTCTTAGGCATGTGCATAGCTGAGTGTAGCTGCTACAGTGGTGAGCTACTCCCAGGTTGCTGCCCAGAGTGGTGGGTGAGGCATCAGGGGCCCACAGTGCCACCTGTTTGTAAGGTCCCAGGTTGTAACAAGTTAATCATTTTTGGGGGGTGGGGGTGGGCAATGAATCCCCTTGGCTGCTGCGGAAAGTTCCACGAGGGCGGCGAACAGAGGAAGGAGGCTGATGACAGCCATGTTTTCATTGTACTTATGTATCAAATATAAATCATGTTTTGCGTGTACTTTCATGTCAGCCGGGTGACTTTACAGGATAAGCAGCCTGACCTGACTCTGTGAGTAACTGAGGTTCCTGGTGTGTTATTCACCTGCCTGGCCTGGCTCTGGGTGGACTTGCCATACTCTCCTTGTCACTGGCCCCTGCTTTCTCAAGCTCCTTCCCTGGAGACACGGCTGGGAGTAGACGTTCCTCTTGGTGATGCTGTCGTGGGGGCAGGGCCAGGACCCGAAATCTGAGAACATGAAACCTGATAAGAGCACTTGCTCCCAGTGCCTGCAGCATAGTAGGGGTGACAGCTGGGTTACCCTAATGCCGAAATGTATTTTCCCTTTGTGGTGGAGCAGGATTCATTTGCAGATTCAGTTGTGGCTCCGGAGGTGGGCGGCTTACAGGTGCCACCCTGGCTTTTTATAGGTGAGGAAACCAGCCTTGATGGTCATGTAGCATTGAGGTCACCCCTCCCAGAGGTGACCAGCCTTCCTGACTTGTGTCACAGGGTCTGTGCACCGCAGTCTCATGCATGGCTTTTCTCACTGACTTTAGATCAGAGTAGCAGAGGCAGGAGGATGGTAGAGGCAGAATGAGCCTTTCTCTCCCTAATGTATTAAAACATAAAAATGGAAACAGAAACCGACCCCAAAGCAAACACTACTCCCAAAGCAAAGGGGAGGGCGCTAGAGCCTTGTGGACAGAGGCGCTGTGATAGTGGTTGAGGAGGCGCCTGGGCCCTTGAGCTGCAAACCACAGTCTGGTCCTGACCTACCACTTCCTACTTTGGTGACCTTGGGTAAGATACTTGACCTTTGGGGCACCGGGGTGGCTCAGCAGGTGAGGTCTGCCTTCGGCTCAGGGCATGATCCTGGGGTCATGGGATCTAGTCCCACATCAGGCTCCCTGCATGGAGCCTGCTTCTCCCTCTGCCTGTGTTTCTGCCTCTCTGTGTCTCATGAATAAATAACTAAAATCTTAAAAAAAAATAAAAGACAGTTGACCTTTCTGGGCCTCAGCTTCCTCTGCCGGGAAATGGAAGGATAATTGTGCTTTCCCTCCTAGATTATGGAGAAGTAAGTGAATGCCTGTGTGGAACCCACACTTGGCCCCTCTAGCAGGTGCAGTTTTCCTGCCCTCATTGCCTGCATAGCACTGGCGCTCCTAGTAGTAGGGGCTTCTCACCTGTTACTTGTAGATGGTAGCATCTTGTGCCGAAGCTGAAAGATCCCAGCAGTTGCCAGGGGTCTGGAAGTCATTGCTGTCGCTACTGGAATCTAACGGTACCACCTGTGATTTTTCCAGGGGCCTCAGTGTTGTCCCCGATGAGGAAGTCATTGAAATGTATGAGGGCTCTCACGTGCCCCTGGAACAGATGAGCGACTTTTATGGAAAGGTAATGAGAGATTCTTTAGTTAAAGCAGCCATCAGCAGACATGGCCCGGGAGATTTAGGGTCTCTCTGCACACTCCTGTGGAGCTGAGAGGGGATTTGGGCTGTTTGAGAGGCCCTGGATTTGAGAGGGGGTTGTGTGTTGGCATCTCCCAAAGCCCTTCATGATTCCCTTTTCTTGGCTCTTTGCTCCTTATCTGATGGAGGCTCTTTGTACCTTCTGTGTGCCTGCCCCTCTCTGCAATGCCCACCCCAGGCTTGTCCCTATTTGTGGATGAAATCAGGGCGGCAGCGGTTGCCTTCCTTGAGGTGCAGGACAGCAGATCCTGCTGTGCTTGAAGGGCAGCCGCTGCTTCACTGACTTCTCTAGTCTTCTTTGCTTTCTGAATTTTTGCTCCTTGTCTTATTAGGCGTGCTCTTATTTGTGCTGTCAGAATGTGGTGGAAGGCCCCGAATCACAGGCGTTCAGGGAAGTCTCTCAGGCTCACGTGGATCTCTGTGGGGGCTCCCACATTCAGGAGTCTTGGGTGGCTTTCGTGCTGTCCCATGGGCAGCGGAGTACTTGCCGGCTTTCTTCTGGGCTTGGCAGTAGAGTGCGGGCCTGATGTTAGGGCTCATAAGAGTGTTAAAGAGTCGTTAGATGTTTTGGAGGGGAAGTCAAGGCATCACTTTGGATTTCCTGGTTGTACTTAGAGGAAGACGTGAGCCGTGCCGGGAACAATGTGGGTAACACTTGTACTTGGCACTGTTAGAATTATGCTTCTCTTGAGGAGAGGGATCCAGGGGCTCAGAATGCGCCTTGGATGCAAGTCAGGTGTTGGCTCTGGCTGTGCTGTCGGACTGTGTTTCTGAAGCTCCCCTCCCTGCCTGCCTGCAGAGTTCTCACGGAAACACCATGAAGCAGTTCATGGACATCTTCTCCCTGCCCGAGATGTCCCTCCTGTCCTGTGTCAACGAGTACTTTCTGAAGAATAACATCGACTATGAGCCCGTCCATCTCTACAAGGACGTCAAGGTGAGTGGTGGCTCTGCCACAGCCCTCCGAGGGCCTCAGCATAAGGGACAGGAAAGAGGATACATTAGGACAGCTGGAGATCAGTGTGATTTTGTGTTAAAGGACGATGGTGCTCGTATTGCTCTCTGGGTTTCTAAGTCTTTCTGACCAAGGCCAGGGCCGGTGCATCTGGTCAAGGGGTGGCTGGTGGCTGAGGTCCAGCCCGACGCAGCTGCCCCTGAGCCTGCCCACGGACGGGGCCTTTCTCTCACACACGGAGGATCCAGGCAGGCCCTGCCCTAGCTGTGTGAACCCTGTGGGAGACATTCATAGTCAACAGGAGCCTTGCCGTACACGCACACACCTCATTTATAAACTTTGTACTCACATGTGTCAGTTTATATTCACATGTGTTTATATATGTTCTTTAAACCGTTGGAACTTTTTTTAGTGCTTAAAAATAAATATGTTCACGTATTAATATTTATTATATACACATGTCATATATATGTATGTTTATAAGCACGTATTTATATGCAAATCTTTATATATGTGGTATATATTACTTATTTACTTATAATCTTATTTATTTTTATTTTTTATTTTTTTTAAGATTTTATTTATTTACTCATGAGAGACACAGAGAGAGAAAGAGGCAGAGACACAGGCAGAGGGAGAGGCAGGCTCCATGCAGGGAGCCTGATGTGGGACTCGATCCCAGGACTCCAGGATCACGCCCTGGGCCGGAGGCAGGTACTAAACCATTGAGCCACCCAGAGATCCCCTATTTACTTACATTTTTAAGAGACCTGTATTTTTGTACTACAGTGTTTTTATTGTATGCTTATGATGAATTTTAAATTTTGACTGTCTTAAACCATGAGTTTTAGGAAGATAAAGGATAAATTCTAACTTCTCAGTACGAGTCTGATATTTGAACTAAAGTTAAATATTTGCTTTCTGTTCTTCTTTTCCTGTGCACAAATAGTTTAAGAATCTTTAAGCATCACTTGCAGTAAAAAAAAAAAAAAAATAGGGAAGCCTGGGTGGCTCAGTGGTGAGCGTCTGCCTTCGGCTCAGGGCATGACTCCGGAGTCTTGGGATCAAGTCCTGCATCGGGTTCCCTGCAGGGAGCCTGCTTCTCCCTCTGCCTGTGTCTCAGCCTCTCTCTCTGTGTCTCTCATGAATAAATAAATAAAATCTTAAAAAAAAAAAAAAAGCACATGTAGTCACATCACCTTGCAGTCACGAGGAAAGATGTTTATTGGACACCGCCCATGGAGAGCAGTCCCGTACAGTATGTTCCAGGCACTGTTTTTCTGAGTGCTTTATGCAAATTAAATCCTCATCACAGTGCCTGGAGGGGGTACTATTATTACCTTCATTTTACGGATAAAGAAATCGAGGCACAGAGAGATTCAGTAACTTGCCCAAAAGTCACACAGCTGGTAAGTGGTGGAGCCGAGCTTTCAGGCCAGGGTTTGCCTCCATTGGCTCTTCAGCCCAGCCGCATGCTTTTGTGCCGCTGACATGAGCCTGTGCTGGGACAGGCCGAACTGGAGCCGTAGTCCAGAGGTGCTCGCTTGTGGTAGAAATCTCCTGCCAATTTTCTACGGCTGAAGCCCAATCTTGCCAGCAGCGCAGTCCCCTGCTCTCGGCTCTGGACAGTCACCGCATGCCCCCGGGGAGCCCCCTGCAGTAGACATGCTTAGTGCACCTGGCTGGGCTGTGCCCTGACACCGTGGGGCCCAGACGCCACTCCTGGGACCTGCGAGATGTAGCGGCCTCCCGTCCTCGTCCTCGTGTCGCTGCCCGGCCGTGTCTCTGCCTCAGCCGCTGTCCCATGGATGGCCCCTGTCTGACCCTCGGTCTTGGCCTCTTTGTTTAGATTGGAGACGTGCTCCTGGGGGTCTAGGGAGGGGCGCAAAGATGAGAAGAGCAGTAATTCCCTTTTCCAGATACCCTAGAATCATTTGTCAGTGATACTGCATGCAGATCGCCCTTTATCACGTGGGGCATTACCCAGGGTTGTTCACACAGGTTTCCTCCTCCCAATGGCCCTTTGGGAGCTGCACTGGAAGCGGCCACCATCACCATGGAAACCTAAGTTTTGGCCGCCTGTGCGGAGTGGAGCAGCAGTCAGATGTCACCTGGAGTTGGGATGGCCAGGGATTCAGAGGCGCTGTTGTCTGAATGCCATGCCACGCCACCCATCCCGTGGCGACTCAGGCTGTTGCACTGTCCATCTCACTGACTCGAAACCTCTCTTTTGACAGGATTCGATCCGAGATGTGCACATCAAAGGGATCATGTACAGAGCGATCGAAGCAGACATTGGTAGGTAGGGCAGTGTTGTGAAGGTCGCCCCACATGTCCTTGCACCCGCGGCTGTACTATTCCTGTTGTGAGCAGGTGCTCAGCCCCTCCTTGCTCCTTCAGACCTCCGACCTCAGCCTTCTCGTTGTGTCACAACGTGAGCCAAGCTTCCCTCAGAAAGGGAGGCACTGACAGCCGCAGGAGGCATGCAGCATGTCCCCCAGGACTGAGGAGGCAGGCTGTGTTGGTGATGCCCGGGTGCTGGCGGGCCCCAAGCCACGCGTCCCCACACTGTTCCCCCAAGTGCCTGGGCAGCGCTGGACTGCGGGCCCCTGGAGTGACCCCGTTGGCCGACCTCATGCTCAGGTGTGTAAACTCACCTCTTGCCCTAGAAAAGTACATCTGCTATGCCGAGCAGACGCGCGCGGTGCTGGCCAAACTGGCGGATCACGGCAAGAAGATGTTTCTCATCACCAACAGCCCCAGCAGTTTTGTGTAAGTTGTTGTGGGCATCCTTGCCGGCGACAGGCTCGCGGCTCGTAGTCCCATTTGTCTCAACAGTTAGGAATTGGGAAGAAAAAGTTGCAGAAGCAGCCAATCTCCTTCTTGTTAGACTGACGTGCTGACCTATTGCTTCAGGGACAAAGGGATGCGATATATCGTTGGAAAAGACTGGAGGGACCTGTTTGATGTGGTCATCGTTCAGGCCGAGAAGCCAAACTTCTTTAATGACAAGCGGAGGTGAGCGTCTGTCTTTCTGGGAGAATCAGGCTATGGTCCTTTGCTGCTGTGGACACAGCTCATGTGACTTGGTAACATCTGGTTGTCACTTGGTGACGTGTGTACTAAAGAGGTATTTCCATGAGCTGTTTTTGTGAAGCAGATTTTCTGTGATCAAATACATTTAGAAAATTGGGGCTAAAGAAAGTTTCTCTACCAGAAGGGCTTTGTAGACTCTCAGTGATTTTTAAGGGGGACATAGTGGCACCTAGTGTTTTCCAGATCTATTTGACCCCCGACTTCTTTCCTCACTAAATGGATCCCAGGGTCTGCAGTTTGGGATGTCTACACCCGGCCAGGGAGTGTGGTGCTGGGGTGTGTGTTCCAGGGCTTTGTCAGGTTCTGTTCCCAGTGAGTAACCATGTAGGGTTCATGAGCACAGCCTGCACGATTCCAACATGGGTCATGGTGTTTCCGTTTCTGTCTAGACCTTTCCGCAAGGTGAACGAGAAAGGTGTCTTGCTCTGGGACAAGATCCACAAGTTGCAGAAAGGCCAGATCTATAAGCAGGTACCTCATGACTGATTTTTTCCCTTTTTGTTCCTTTGCTTTGTGGTCGGTTAAAACAGTAACAGCCCACATTTGTTGACCCTTACTGTGTGCCAGGCGTGAATTGGCTGTTTATACACTGGCTGTGAAACTTAAACTTAAGTCAGTATATTTTCAATGTGCTATGTCCAAATTATTTATTTAAGATTTTATTTATTTATTCATGAGACACACACAGAGAGAGAGGCAGAGACACAGGCAGAGAGAGAAGCAGGCTCCCTATAGGGAGCCCAATGTGGGACTCGATCCCAGGACCCTGGGGTCATGTTCTGAGCCCAAGGGAGATGCTCAACCACTGAGCCACCCAGGCATCCTGTGCTATGATTAACTCAGAATCCAACAGTCTTTAAAAACAAAATTTAAAACCTTACTTTCAGAGTGTATACGATTTAAGATGTTAGCAGTGAACTTTGGATATTTCTCTTGAAGAAGCATTCATCACATCACATGGTGTGTTACCTTAAATTTCTGATTATCTCCCGATGAGCTGTGTTTTGTACACAGTTTTGATATATATATTTTTTAAGATTTTATTTATTTATTCATGAGAGACACAGAGAGAGAGGCAGAGACACAGGCAGAGGGAGAAGTAGGCTCCACGCAGGGAGCCCAACGTGGGACTCGATCCTGGGACTTCAGGATCAGGCCCTGGGCTGAAGGCAGCGCTAAACCACTGAGCCATCCGGCTGCCCTATCTTTTATATTTTTTATTTTTCTATAAGATTCATAAAACATGAAATTATAGAATAGTACTACATGGTCAAAAACTTGATCCATGCCTGGTGGGTTGATAGCGCAATAAGTATACTTCCTAGACCTTGAAGCTTTGCTTTGATGCAGCCATCAGACTTCTTGGAATTAGACCAAGGAAATTATTAAGATGTAGCTACAACTTTGCTACCAGAATGTTTATCATGAGTTACAAAATAGATGACAGGGTAAGCGTCCAACATTAGGGAATCGTAACAGGAACCACAGCATTTCTCCCTCCTGAACTGGTGGGTTGATATTCATTGACATGGTCACCAAATGTTCAATGTAGAAAGATCATTACAAAGAGGTTTATACAATATGAGTCATTCTGGAAAGAAAGGTCTGAGGGATTTCACACAAAAGTGTTTTTACCCTTATGTTCTGAATTACTTAAATTATAAAAGCAAATTTTTTGTTAAGTTTTAAATAACAGATACCATGGGCCACCGGTTATGTAGGTTTCTATCTCATATGATCTAATACCTATATTTTTCTCTCATTGCAGGGCAATTTATATGAATTTTTGAAGCTTACTGGGTGGAGAGGATCCAAAGTGCTGTATTTTGGTGACCACATATACAGTGACCTGGCGGTGAGGAGCCTTTGTCTCCATTCCTTTGCTGGGGGACAGACATGTTTGTCCTACTTCATGAGGAATTTCTCTTGTGTTTAAGACCATTTTTATGCTTTCATAAATATGAAGACTAGGTCTCCCCCCCCCCTTTTTTTTAAATGTCTCATTTTTAACGACAGAATGGATTGGTCTAAAAAATGGTAGAATGGTCTAAAAAAAGGTAATTTTTTTTTTTTTGAGATGATAGAAAGCAGCAGTTTATTCAGGATTTATCAGAAAAGTCTTTCCATTTGAGTAATGGTAAGAAACAGATGCTAGTGTTCTTTTCTTTTTTTTTCTCTTATTGAACCTCAGAGGCATATGAAGGAGAATTCATAAACATCAGTCAGGGCTGCTTTTGCAAGTTCAAAAACTGGCATTTCCGGGAAACAGCTATTATAAGAAAGTGAGGCATTTCTTTCCCATTGGAATCAGTAGAGCAGCATTGCAGGACTTGAATCAGGATTTAATCCATAATTGGGACGAGACTGGGTAGTCAGTCCTGTGTACTGCATTGCTCAGCTCCTGGTGCAGTGAGTTTCTGTGGGTTAAGCGAGTCCAGGCAGGTGACACCACACATGACTTGTAGGGTCTGCGTGACGCCCAGTGTCAGTGCCCCCAGGGCAGGGTCGTGGCCGGCTCTCCTGCTCCATGACTGGCGTTTCTGAACATTCTGACCCACGTCAGAGCGGTCTCACGCATTTTTCCTTGTGTCTGCCTACCGTCGAGCAGGGAGCTATCGTGGGCTGGGAAGTATTTTCAGAGCACATGTGCTGCCGTCTGAAGTCTGTGGACTCAGATTCAGAATGGTGCAGGGTGGGGAGAAGGGTGCCTATGTGCAGAGACTCTCTCTCGGGTGATTGCAGCACACAGCCTGCCTGGTCATGTCTTCCCAGTGGGCCGAGGCCTAGTGGAGGGTATCACGGGTGTCTGTGTGGCTCTGCTGTTCCTAGCTGTGTGACCTTGAACATATCCTCAAGCCTGGTGACCTCATTTTGAGAAGAGAGAAGTAAGATAATGTGAAAGTGGAATACAAAGTGCTACTGTCTGTTGGCAGTACCAGAGGCTTGGCTGAGAGCCCCAGCACCGCACAGCTTTGCCCCTTGCTACATGGTGTTATTGGGCCTGAAGAGATAACCATGTGCTACCCTTGAGGTATGCGGGTACGTGACCCGTGAAGGCATGCACACGGGCAGGGCTTAGCATCAAGAGAGGTGCTTACCAGGAGTACTGTCTTCAGGTGCAGCCCCCATGACCTCGGCATCACCTGGAAACTTGGTCGAAATGCAGCGTCTCAGGCCTCACATTAGACCTGCTGACTTAGAAACTCCGTGTTAAGTAGCTTTTCACACTAAAATTTGACACCAGGGTAACATTAGCCTCAGAATAAGTTAGGAAGTGAGGCCTCCTCTTTAGTTTTTGGAAGAGTTTAAGGAGGGTTGGTGTTAATTCCTCTTTAAGTGTTTGGTGGACTTCAGCAGTGAAAGCATCCATTTGCTCCTGGGCATTTCGTGGTTGGAAGGATTTGGTTACTGCTTCAATCTCCTTACTAGTCCCAGGTCTTTTCAGATTCCCTGTTTCTTTGTCAGTCAGTCTTGGTAGGTTGTTTCTGGGAGTGTCATTTAGGTCACGCAGGCTGTTGGTGTACAGTAGTTTATGTACAATTCTTTTTTATTACAATTCTTTTTATTTCTGTAGAATGGGTAGTGTTGTCACTACTCAGTTTTCTGATTTTTAGTAATTTGAGTCTTCTGGGGTTTTTATTTTATTTTTTTGGTATGCTAAAAGTTTGTCAGTTGTCAATCTTTTCTTGGTTTTGTTGATTTTTTTAAATAGTTTTTCTAGGGATCCCTGGGTGGCGCAGCGGTTTAGCGCCTGCCTTTGGCCCAGGGCGCAATCCTGGAGACCCGGGATCAAATCCCACGTCGGGCTCCCGGTACATGGAGCCTGCTTCTCCCTCTGCCTATGTCTCTGCCTCTCTCTCTCTCTGTGACTATCATAAATAAATAAAAATTAAAAAAAAAAAATAAATAGTTTTTCTATTCTTTGAATCTCTGCTCTGATCTTTATGATTTCCTTGTCGTCTTAGCTTTCAATTTAGTTTCTTCTTTTTCTAGTTCCTTATCATGTAAAGTCTTATTAATTTGGGATCTTTTTTTCAGTGTAAATGTGCATGGCTATACGTTTCCCCATAAGGACTGCACCGCTGTATCCCCTAGGTTTTTTAAATGTATATGCATTTGCATTTACGTTTGTCGTAAGGGGCCCCTGGGTGGCTCAGTGGTTGGGTGTCTGCCTTCACCTCAGGCCGTGATCTTGGGGTCCTGCAATCGAGTCCCGCATTGGGCTCCCTGCTCCCCTCTCCTCCTTGGCTCGTGTTCTCTCTTGCTATCTCTGTCTCTCAAATAAATAAAATCTGAAAAAAAATTTTTGTCACAAAGTATTTTCTCATTTTTCTTGTGATTTCTTCTTTGACTCATTGTTTGTTTAAGTGGGTGATCTTTCATTCCCCCTTCTTGTGAACTTCTCAGTTTTCCCTTCAGCTGTTGGTCCCTAGCTTCACTCCTTGTGATCAGTAAAGATACTCTGTATGATTTTAAAGTTTATCACAACTTGTTTTGGGGCCTAATGTAAGGTCTGTCCTGGACTGTTTCATGTGCATGGAGAAGAATGTGCGTTCTGCTTTCATTGGGGGAGTGTTCTGCACACGTGCATGAGGGTGGGCTGGTCTTCAGTGTGTTCAAGGTCTGTGCTTCCTGATACGTCGTCTCCTTCCTGGTGGTTTTTCTCGAATAGAACATGGGCTGTTGAAGTCTCCTGCTATTGCAGCAGAGCTGACTGTTGTTCCTCCATTCTCCTCAGCTCGGATGTTTGCTGCCTGTGTGCTTATAATTGTTACATATTCTTGGTGAATTAACCTTTTATCATGATATGATGTCATTCTTGGTGTCTTTGACAATTTTTGATTCAAGGTCTGTTTTGTCTGATATTAGCATAGCACCCCTGCTATCTTGGTTACTATGTGTATGGAACGTTTTCTTTAATCCTTTCGATCCCTGTGTCTTTAGATCCAGAGTAAGTCTCTTGTAGGGATGCCCGACTGGCTCAGCCGGGGAAGCATGTGACTTTTGATCTTGGGGTTGTAGATTCAGGCCCCACATTGGATATAGAAATTACTTAAAAATAAATCTTAAAAATAAATAAGGTACGCTTGGGGGCTCAGTGGGTGAAGCACCTGCCTTTGGCTCAGGTCATGATCCCAGGGTTCTGGGATGGAGCCTCGTGTCCAGTTTCTCTGCTCCAGGGGAGCCTGCTTCTCCCTCTCCCTCTCTCCCCCTCTGACTACTTGTGCGTGCACTCTCTCTCTCTGTCAAATAAATAAGTAAAATCTTAAAAAAAAAAAAATTAAAATGAGTCTCCTGGAGTATATTGTTGGATCCCATGCCAAAAGTTTGAAAACTGTTAGAAAGTGGTAAGATCAGTTCATAACTAACATGTCAGAAATTAATATGGCAAAGCATATTATCTTTATAGGGTGTCACCTTGGGAATGCAGAGGCGTCTAATGTTCCTGCTGTTTCTCAAAACACATTTGGGTGCCCCTTTTGGGATAGATTTGAGAGCCAGGTTGAGGCACAGGAGAGAATGAGATTTATACTATTACTTTATTATCACGTACTTTAATCTTAGGAGTGTTCCAGATGACTTGTTATTTATTTCCAGAAATAAAAGCCACCTTCAAATGTTTGCCATCATTGGGTATGTTTGAAAGGTTGAGCTGTAGGTTTTCGTATATTATAGGAACATGAGAGAGATGAAAGGTTTAAAGCAATTTGATAGGTGAGGAAGGTAGGCATTCTTAGGTCATCCGGAGCAGGGATTCTGGCTTTAGGTAAATACACAATGAACTTTTAAAATTATAAACCTTAGACCACTTCACTTCTTAAAACCTCAGAGCTTTCCTTTCTTCAGAGCAAAAGGCTGACTTCCTACTGTGTCCTATAAGGCCCTGCTTGAGCTGTCCTTTTCCTGCCTACTTCTCTGAAGGCAGGACCCATAGCTGCCCTTGCCACTGCCTTAGGCTCCGCTGGCTACGTGTAACAACTCCACCTCCACACCTCCCACCCAGCATGTTCCTGCCGGGGGCCTTTGCACTTACTGTTTTTCTGGCCTGAATTGTCCTCCTCCCACATATTTGCATAGTTCACTTTCCTTCCCTGGTGATCTCTGCACCAACTTCCCTTTAATTGGCCTAACCCACTTTATATGATGGTAACTTTTCCTCTTAATCTGCTTGATTTTTGATGTTGTATTTATAACCACTTGCCTTTGTATATTTACTTGCTTATTTTTTGTATTTCCCACAAGGACAGGGTTTTGTCAGTTTTTGTTCATTGCTCTATCCTCATTGTCTAGACCAGGGCCTGGCAGTTAGAACTATTTGATAAATATTTGCCGAATAAGAAAATGAATAACCATTTAGCATGGTGATTATATATTTTAGATTTCCCAGGATATATCTGTTGATAGATGTTCTAGCTTATTGTCAAATCATGAGGCTAGTATATATACATATATATTTTAACGTCCAGTCATTGAAGAACTGTGGATTGATTTTATTTTTTATTTTTAAGATTTAATTTATTTATTCATGAGAGACACAGAGAGAGGCAGAGACCGAGGCAGAGGGAGAAGCAGGCTCCCTGTGGGGAGCCCGATGTGGGACTTGATCCCAGGACCCCGGGGTCATATCCTGAGCCGAAGGCAGATGCTCCACCGCTGTGCCCCCCAGGTGTCCTGAGGTTACTATATTTGGAATAAAAAATATGATCATGTACCTCTGTGTTGTAGGATCATTCCAAGTCTGAGATTCTGTGATTGCCCATAAGCCACAAGGCCTGGGCAGTGGGTGCTCCCCAGGAATCTGTGGATGAACTGAATGGAAACCTCCAGGAGCATTTTGGTGGAGCCTCTTTCTGCCCCTGACCTAACTGCTGTTATAGCCCATGGTTAATGATTTCAGACCCTGTGCTTGTGCAGGAGCTGTGATTCACAGCAATTATTTTCAGAATAGAAACTTTGGGTGTAATGGTCAAAGCCTGGGGCTGACTTGGTTTTAATTAAATGTAATTCATTGAATTGGGTTAATAACTAATCATTACAAAGAAAAAGTAGTTCAGCAAACACCTGTTGCATCTGGGAAAGGGAGAGAAATGGTTTAAGTTCTTTTGAGAAGAATGCTGACTTTCATGGTCTTTGCCATCAGGATTTGACCCTGAAGCATGGTTGGCGAACTGGTGCGATTATCCCGGAGCTGAGATCCGAGCTCAGAATCATGAACACGGAGCAGTACATTCAAACCATGACCTGGCTGCAGACCCTGACCGGGTTATTGGAACAGATGCAGGTTTGGGATTTTTTTTTCCCCCTTCTATGTTTTCTTTAAGGCTGAAGTTAGTCCATGAACCAAAGTTACTTCTTTTTAATTGTGGTTATAAAGCACAAGGTGTAAGTCGTCATGCAGAATAACTCCTGGGGTTCTCTTGCCCCTAAGAAGAGTTTTGTCAGCCTCCCTGTGAAGAGAACTTTAAAAAGCCCCGAAAATTCATTCCAAGAAAGAGCTTTGTGGGGCCATGTAGATGCGCATGTTTCCCCGCAGGAACCCTGTCGCCTCGCACTATAGCTCTGTTGGGGGAGGGCCCGTGGGGTGTGGGATTCAAGAACTGCTGATGCGTGGGCCTGGTCCGGCTTCTGCCCCTGGCCTGCTGTGGGACTGCGCCGTTCTGGGCCTCAGTTTCCCTGGCTTACTGGAGAGACTCTCAAAGCAAAAGTTTGGATGTCTGTGTGCAGCCACCCTTTGACTTGAGGAGAATGCGTATGATTTGCTGGTCACTGGAGTTCAGTGGCAGGTTTTTCTGTATGGAAGGTAGGTGGCCAGTCGTGGACAGTTAGTGAGGAATGCTGTTTTGGTGATTTTCTGGCCCGTGGCCCGTGGATTTTCTGCCCTGACTTGTAGCCGTGACCCACTCTGAGGCTCCTGAGATGCCTTGCTGCCTGCCCTCTGGGTTTAGCTGACTCGGCCTGCAGCCTCCCTGCCTGAGTGCTTAGGAGGAGCCTGGGCGCCCTCCCTCTTGTCTGACACCTGTGCTCTGGCCATAGCCGGGTGCCCACACCTGCCAGCCCGCTTTGGGAAGGGCAGGGAAGTGCCCTCCTGGCCCAGCCAGCAGTCCTCGAGGGGGCAGCTGGGAGCGAGCCAAGGTGGGGCTGGCAGCAGTGGTAGACATCCCAAGTATGGGGCCTCACACATCCCCCAGGGTCTTTTCCAGTGTGCTCTGCCCACATTGGTTCTTGCCTTGTCCATCATGCTGGTCTGTGAGATGCTTTTCTAAAAATCAAAGGCATCAATTCTGGGTTGATGTAGCTGCAAGTCTGTACATAGGTCACCCAGTAATAATAGTTACTTCTCATATGCCACACATTGTGCCACATGCTGGCTGCACACACGTTGGTCATTAATAGTCCTGCTGTCCTTTGTAGGCAGGTGTGATTTTCCCATGTTAGAATAAGGAGACTGTGTGTTTGGGAATTGGGCAACATGTGTGAGATCATAAAATGGCGAGAACTTGAACGCAGACTTATGTGATGCCTAGTCCATGCCTTTGAGCAGGTGTCAGCGTGCTTCCTTCCCTACTCTTCAGTTTGGAGGTCTCAAGTGTGGTGAAGGGCCCTTATGCCAGGTGTGCTTTCTGTGGTGCTGGCAGTTGGGTGATGCACAGACACAATCTGCATGTCGTTGGTGTCACTACATTTTATTTTATTATTTAAATTAAAAAAAATTTAGAGAGTATGCACCACACATGCATGAGAGCAGAGGGGAGAGCAGAGACTCTTCAGGCAGGCTCCCCACCCCATGCGGGACTCCGCCTCACCAGCCCAAGATCGCAATGTGAGCCGAAACCCAAGAGCTGGATGCTTAGCCAGCTGAGCCACCTGGACCTCCCATGTGTCTCCACATTTTAGCTTTGAGGGTAGTCTTGTTTTCTTCTCTCTGATCTATATAAAAGGGTTGATAATTAAGGACTGGAAGTGCTGGAACTATTTCTCTGACTTTGGAGGTAAAATTTTATAAGGCATCAGGTAGGGGAAGGAAGAAGAGAGTAGTGCCATTCATATCGCCACCCCCCATTTATAGGAGAGGAAATTGAGTCCCAAGGATGAATAACTTATCTTGAATTCCAGAGTTAGCAGCAGAACCAAGCTGTTTAGAACTGTTCTAGATACTGCATTCTAGAACCACGGTCCACACATGACACAGACACCATGTTCTAGATTCCTTGTTCTAGACACTGTTCCAGATGCTAAGGGCTTTGAAGTAGATGCTGATGGCCGCACCTGGGCACAGAAGGGGAGGATAGCCTGCACAGGTGAAGGCTGAGCTGTGGTGTAGGTCCTGCCAGCCCAACTCGAGTCTCACCTTCCACACTGACAGCTCGTGGCCTCTAATACTTTCCACAGCTTTCTGTGCAGTTAGATCCACCAGGATGGAGAGAAATGTGGCAGGAAATTAAAAAAAACCCAAGATGAATGTCATTTCTCAAGTTCTTCCTCTTCCCTGCTCCCCTCCCTGCTGCCCCCAGGTTCACCTGAAAAGCTAAATTATTCCAGTGACACTGGGTCACATATTTCTGTAGACTCCCCTGGGTGGGGAGTTATTTTCAGAAATGTAGTACATCATTGGGATTCTTTCCTGAAGATGAACATTAGTCCTTGGAGGTTGTGTTTGATCTTTGTCATTGGTGGAGCCAGCTGTGTGGCCTTTGGAACCCATCAGATGAACCCAATATAAGTATTTGATTTTGGTCTTAAGAAAATAGCTGTGAAGAATAAAGATAATTTTGTTAACTGGCCTGGAAGTGCAGCCCAGAACGGCATGATGGAGGGTGTTTGAGTGTGCTCCTGGGTTATTGTGGCACGACTGCATTTCGGTTGGGGGTCAAGGGACTGCAGCAGAGGGCTAGGCTGCTCAGTATATCGGGCTGTGCAGGGCAGGCGCCTGTCATGGCCGCTGAGCTCTGCTCGCAGCACAGAAGCATCCCTGGACACTGGGGTTGTGTCCCGGTGGCCTTATTGGTGCACATGAAGTGTGAATTTCGTTATCACTTTCATGTATCACAAAATTGCTTTTGATTCCCCACAACTTCCCCCCTCCCATTTGGAAAGGGACTTACTGGGATCCCTGGGTGGCGCAGCGGTTTGGCGCCTGCCTTTGGCCCAGGGCGCGATCCTAGAGACCCGGGATCGAATCCCACATCAGGCTCCCAGTGCATGGAGCCTGCTTCTCCCTCTGCCTGTGTCTCTGCCTCTCTCTCTCTCTCTGTGACTATCAAATAAATAAATGAATGAATGAATGAATGAATGAATGAATGAATAAATGACTTACTCTTTTTTAAAGATTTTTATGTATTTATTTGAGAGAGAGCGTGCACACATACCAGAATGGGTGAGGGACAGAGGGAGAGGGAGAAGCAGACACCCGAGAAGAAGGGAGCCCAATATGGGACTGGATCCCAGGACCCCAGGATCATGACCTGAGCTGAAGGCAGATGCTCAACCACTGAGCCCACCAGGGGCCCCTGAAAGGAACTTATTCTTAAGCTCAGAAGCTCGAGGGGAAAACTGGGTGGTGGGCTGAACTCGGCCTTCCTGGTAGAGGCTGTGGCGTGGGCTGGGTTGCGGTGCCCTGTGCACACTGGGTGGGAGGGCTGGTGCCACAGGCCCAGGCAGAGTATCATCTAGTTTTGCTAATGCAGAGCTGGTTAGGCTAATTTGTGATCAGGCCAAAGGTGGGATCAGCTTCTCGTTAGCCTTCTCTGATACTATGTGCCCTGGACTGCATGGTTACGTAAAGATTAGTGTACCTAATGAGCACACCCTTCTTTCTGAAGTGGTTTAAAGTAGATTTCAGGCCTATAGGAGACCCTATAGGGGGAGCAGAGCTGGAAAAAGAGGTGCCTCAAGGAAATATAGCTTTTTTTTTTTTTTTTTTTTTTTAATGGGAGAGACTTGAGCGTGTACAGATGCTGATGGGAGGGCACCGGGTGAAGGGCTGAGTGTCTGGCAGTGAAGGTGCGCGGTGGAAGGGTTCCAGGAGGGCGGAGGGGGCATCACCAGAGGAGCTGGAGAACGTGCCCTGAATTGGGAGACCCAAGTTGGCCCTTGATATGTGCAGCCCTGCCCTGGTATGGGGCTGCTGGAGGGGAGGGGGGCACGGAAGTCACGTGTCCCAGGGCAGCTTGTTTAGGATAGTGCTGTGCAGTAGCTGGAAATCCTTAGGCCCCAGGAGTTCTCCCTTCTTGCATGATAGGCGGTGAGGAACCAGAAATTGCTCCCTCCTGCTGAGACAGGGTGCAGGAGCCTGGGTCCTGGGCTGAGAAGGGGCTGTGGGCAGAGGTCGGGGGTTCCCACTCATGGACGGACTCCTTGCTCGTTTTGTCACGGTCTGTTTACCTACGTGTGCCTCCTGTGGGGTGTGTGAGCTTGCTTGTCCTCTGTTGTACCCTTAGCATCGAGCACAATGCTGGGCACATAGTAGGTGCTGAATACAAATGTGCATGTGTGTGTATATTTGTGTGCATGTGTATGTGTATGCAGGTGTGTGTGTGTGTGTGTGTGCATGCATGTGTGTTTGCATGTGTATGTGTGTGCATGTGTATGGACATTTGTGTTTGTGGCACCCTATACATTTTGGTGCCGTTTCTGATCCAGTCACATACTTGTGGAGCCTATACTCTGTAGTGAGCCTTTTCCTGGGTGAAGCATGCAGACTAAAGCACGCCCCCAGAGCCTCTGTGGCTCCCAGGAGCCGTCGCAGTCTCCAGCACTCCTGCCATGCATGGCCGGGTCCCCCTTTGGGAGCTGCCCCCTGCCGGTACAGGCACAACACCCAGGTACAGGCTTTGTGCATGCGGGTTTGTGGGTGGCCGAGACCCTTTGCCGCTGCCTGCCCGTCAGGCAGTGGAGCTAGGCAGATGCTAGGCAGCAGAGGGCTGGGCTCCCACATGGGAAGCACGTGGTCTGCTTGCTTGGTGTTTCCTCCGGGTCCTATGGCTGCTGTGTGACCATGAGTTTGGGGACCCCCCTGTCCCTGCCATCACTGGCGCCTCTGACCCCGCCATGGGCAATCTCTGTTCAGCCACAAGACACTTGGGAGACTCTGTCTATTAGGATGTGGGCAGTGGTCATCTCTCTTTTTGCCTTTTGCTCACATTTCAGCCCAACGAGGGAATCCTCTGCTTTTCCAGAGGTGCTCTACCTGCTTGTCTCTTATAAAACCATGATTTATTTTCTCTTGAACACTTTAGAGGATAATATAACATGAAGGAAAAACATTAAAACCATTTATAATCCTACTTTCTGTACACAAAGAAAAATTTTCACGTTCAAGGAGTAGAATTCTTCTAAGAGCTGCCTGTTAAAAAAGTCGTAATCTAATGAGCTTTTGTGCAGCGAGAGCAATCTCCGTGATTAGCTTGTATCCTGCAGGTTCACAGAGATGCCGAGTCACAGCTGGTTTTACAGGAGTGGAAGAAGGAAAGAAAGGAGATGAGGTAAGAGGGGTCTGTTTTGAATGCGGTGAGCCTACCACCCTGTCTGCACCCCGCTCAGCCCCAGGCAGCCCTCCTTGTGCAGCTGCCAGCGGTGAAGGTCACTCTTGACATCGCCAGAACCAAGCATGTCTGTGGTCGTGTGGGATGGGTGACCTTTCTTTGTGCAGCAGTGACCTTTCCCAAACCTCCTGCCTTTGCCTTTCAATGCCAGGGTTAAAGTTGCTGTCACTGCCCACCCCTCTCCCTGCCTGCTTGACATTCATGTTTGGGCAGCTGGTGGCCCGGTGGGGGTCATGCTGTGCAGTGTTGCTCATGGGACAGCATAGGGGCAGGCCCTGAGCCCCAGTGGATTCTCAGGGCTCCTGAGCCCCGGGGCTTATCTGTAACCAGGGATATGTAAGCATGCAGTGTTGAAATGCTTATTGGTGAGGATAGCCCCCCTGTAGTCTGAGGTCTGGGATGGGGACATCTTAGGGGAACAATAGTCTGAAGAGGCCTGTGGACAGTTGAGCTTCCCTAAGAAGGATGCCGTATACACAGACGCTGTTGAGACCACTTAAGCTCTTGTGCGTGACCTCTCCTCACCCGCTGGGACGGCTTCGGGTGTGGAAGGAGTGGTCACTGCCTGGGTCCTGGGCTCTGAGCAGTGGATTGCCTGCTTGCGGGGGTTGGGGTCCTCCTTGGGGGGTGGAGAGGGGACGGAGTCCTCCCTGGAGGGTAGAGAGGGGACAGCGTTCTCCCCGGGGGTAGAAAGGGGACAGAGTTCTCCCTGGGGGGTGGAGAGGGATCAGAGCCCTCCCAGGGGGGTGGAGAGGGGATGGAGTCCTCCCCCGGTGGGGTAGAGAGGGAACGGAGTCCTCCTCCGGGGTGTGGAGAGGGGTTGGAGTCCTCCCCGAGGGGTGGAGAGGGGATAGAGTCCTCCTGAGGGGGGTGGAGAAGGGATAGAGTCCTCCCGGAGGGGTAGAGAAGGGACAGAGTCCTTCCCAGAGGTTGGAGGGGGTCGGAGTCCTTGGGGGGGGGGTGGAGAGGGGATAGGGTCCTCCCCGGGAGGGGGGGGGAGAGGGGTCAGAGTCCTCCTGAGGGGGGTGGAGAAGGGATAGAGTCCTCCCCCGGAGGGGTATGAGAAGGGACAGAGTCCTCCCAGGAGGTGGTGGAGGGGGTCAGAGCCCTCCCGGGGGGGTGGAGAGGGGATAGGGTCCTCCCGGGAGGGGGGTGGAGAGGGGTCAGAGTCCTCCTGAGGGGGTGGAGAAGGGACAGAGTCCTCCCCCGGGGGGGATGGAGAGGGAATAGAGTCCTCCCGGGGGGGGGGTGGAGAGGGGTCAGAGCCCTCCCTGCGGGATGGAGAGGGGATAGAGTCCTCCCCGTGGGGGGTGGAGAGGGGTCAGAGTCCTCCCCGGGGGTGGAGAAGGGATAGTCCTCCTGAGGGGGGTGGAGAGGGATAGGGTCCTCCCGGGAGGGGTGAAGAGGGGTCAGAGCCTTCCTGGGGGGTTAGAGAGGGATAGAGTCCTCCCGGGCGTGGGTGGAGAGGGGTCAGGGTCCTCCCGGGGGTAGAGAAGGGATAGAGTCGGGGGGGGGGGGTTGAGAGGGGTCAGGGTCCTCCCCGGGTGGGGGGGGTGAAGAGGGGTCAGAGTCCTCCCCGGGGGTAGAGAGGAGATAGAGTCCTCCCCGGGGAGGGGGGTGGGTGGAGAGGGGATAGGGCCCTCCCCGAGGGGTGGAGAAGGGACAGAGTCCTCCCTGAGGTTTGGAGAGGGGTCGCAGCCCTCCTGGGGAGTGGAGAGGGGACGTGGCAAGGTGTGAGGCCCTTGGAGCCGCCCACTCCTCCTCGGCGCCCTGCTATCGGAGCACTGTGAGTTCTCACGGGCTGTCACTTCTTAGGGGAGTCGTCACAGTGACCTCATAGAGGGGTCTCGATCCCATTGTGCTGAGGGGCGGTTTGCACCCAGAACATTCTACCCCCCTCCCCCCCCCCCGCGGCCGGGGAGCCTGTGCAGGGGGAGGGCCTGGGCCCACTGAGGCGGCTCTAGGGACCAGGGCAGGGGCGCATCCTTGCGCAGGGGACTCGGCGCCCCCCCTCTCCGGGCGCACTGGCGGGTCCGGCGTCCTGAGGCGTTCCTCTCTCCGCGGCCGCGCTCTCCTCTTGCTCCTTCAGGGACATGACCAAGAATTTCTTCAACGCCCAGTTCGGAAGCTTGTTCCGCACGGACCAGAACCCGACGTACTTCCTGAGGCGCCTGTCGCGGTTCGCCGACATCTACATGGCGTCCCTGAGCTGCCTGCTCAGCTACGACGTCAGCCACACGTTCTACCCGCGCAGGACTCCGCTGCAGCACGAGCTGCCCGCCTGGTCCGACGGCGCCCGCGCCCCCGCCCCCGCCCCCGCCCCGCGCCCGCGCCCGCGCGCCCCTGCGGGAGGCCCGCGGCGAGTAGGCCCCGCCCCGCCCGCCCGCCCGCCCGCAGCCCCGCCCCCGCCGGCTGGACGCGCCGCGGCTGACTCGGTCCCAGGTGACTGTCGCTTTTGGAAACGACGCCGACACGCCGCCGTTTTATGTTTAGTTCGCACCTCGTGGCGCTGCCTTCCGAGCCTGTGTCAGGCCGGCGGTCGCCAGTTCCGCCTTGGCACTGGTCGCCGGGCGCTCGGCCGCTTCGCGCGGAAGCCCTGCGGTCAGGTCAGCCCTGCGTTTGCAGGTGGCCGTGGCGGGTGGCGGGTGGCGGGCGCCCGGTCCGGGTGGGCGGGGAGCTCCGGGTGCCGCTCCTCCGCGCCAGCCGCGGAACCGCTCCAGACCCTTCCGTGGAAAACGGCTGACGGTGCACAGGCAGGTCTTCGGCGGCTGCGGCCTGCAGGGAGCTCCGACATCAGCCAGCTCCGATGGGGCTCCCAGGGCGGGAGGCGGCGGGGGCGGGCGCCGCAGCGCAGCCGCCGGGCCTCCTGGCACCTCACCTGCTGGGACACCCGGCCTCCCCGGGGAGTCTTCTGTGAAGGAGCCAGACGAGCTGCGAGTCCTTGAGCCTTGGCGGCCCTCGGGGTCAGCTCCCCGGCCGTCCCGCCTGCCGCGGTACCCGTGCCCCCCGGGCCCTCCCGCCCGCTGGGACACCTGTGCTGCTGCCTGTGTGGACTGGCCGCCCCTTCCCCGGGCAGGGAGGCGAGCAGAGCAGAGCAGAGAAGGCCGCAGGACCGTCGGCGTAGGCTCCAGGTGCGGAAATGCGCAGGTCAGAGGAACGGGCACGTGTGTGGTGGGCCTCCTCCCACCACGTTATCAGCCTGGAAAAGTCCACCCAGGTGGTGTTTTCTTCGCCTGCGGGGGGGACAGAAGACAGAGCTGGAGACCGAAGTGTCCTGGTCGGGAAGGGCTGCGCTGTCACCCTGCAGGGCTGTGTTGGGCACTTGGTGACACGCAGGCATTTCCACCGGGGCAGAGGAGGTGGCCCGGTACCCGAGACCCCTTCCCTGCTGTGTTTGTGGGGCTGTCTGCGAGTGGGGTGGTGTTCCTGGGGTGTAGGGTGGGAGGGGACACCTAGGAATGGCCTTGCGGAGTGAGCAAGAATCAAGTGTCCCACTGCATTCTGAGGGCAGCGCGCGTGCCCCGCCCGCTTATTCCGCAGTGGCAGGTCTGTGGAGGGGCTGTGCAGTGCTGGCCTTGTCCGCGCTTTTACTGTGATGAGTGGATGGGAACCGGCCGTCGATGACAGCTTGGCCCCCGTAGACTGGCTGCGACAGGGAAACTCAGAAGCGAGTTACAGGTCCCCTGCACGCTGCTGCTCGTCTGCCCTTTAGATCCCGTAGGTCCTTCCGCACCTTTATTTTACCAATGAATTTGGTTATGAGCACAGTGGCCTGTTTTCCTAGGATGGGGCAGCAAGGGGCAGCGCTGCCTGCTGGGTGTTAGCGCCCAGGCGTCGTGAGCAGCAGGGGCTGTCGGAGCCTGGTGACCACAGTGCAGGTGGGTCCCAGAAGCGCCCAGTGGTGGGGCCCTCAGCAGACACACTGCTGCTTTTGGCTTTGGGGTTCGTGCTTGGAGACGCTGAGCAACGAGGTAAATAAAGAATGTTTTCCTCTCCCTCCACCAGTTCTAATCAATCAGTCGGTCATGGACGTGTCCTAGGTACTGGTCGTCCTAGGTGCTGGTTAGCGGTGTCTGGGTGACCCAACGGAAGCAGCACTGGTTTAAAGCTGCCTTTGCGGGTGGGTAGCCTAGGTGAGGCAGGCTTTAGTTGGGGGAGAAGCAGGTTTTCCTGGAATGAGGAATGTCTCTTATGACATCGTGTCAGCCGAGACTTCAGCTCTGGGCCACTGGACACGGCGTGCTGGGCTCACAGGGCCTGGCACCTGTCCCCAGGGGCCCGGAGCCTGTGGCTGGTGGCCACTCAAGGACGGACAGAGGCATTCTTCCTGCCACTGCTTGGTCGGGAGAGATTGTGGCTCGGCCAGGCTCGGGCACCTGGTCTCATGGTGCGCACTGAGGAGGGCACGTTGGTGCAAGGGGAGGGAGTGTGTTTTGTAGCATGTGAACAGTCAGCTGGGAACGTGAACGGAATAGAGTTGGTTGGTACACTGAAAAGCAGCTTCTGCTTCTCACGTGGGTGGGGACGGCAGGGAGGGGACAGCGGGGAGGCCCCGGGCCCGCAGATTGCCTCAGAGGGGTCTCGCACAGCTGGTTTGCCGTGGCTTTTATAGACAAAACTTGCCTTTTAAAATATTTTAGGGGTTTGGTTTAGAATGCCCTCCTTTCTCCTGACGTAGCCATTTTTTTTTTTTTTAAATTGTTAAGACTTGTCCTCAGCCCCATTTTCTGCCACCAGCACTAATGCCACAGATGCTCTGATCCTGGTGTGGGCACATTTCACGCTGAGTTACTAGTTGCTTTGAATGCATTGACCCTGTTAATTATTGCAGAGGAGAAATGAGATGTGTTCTCCCCCCTCACTAATTTAGCTTTGGGTGAACTAAACGGCTTTTCCTTTCTTGCCCCCTGGGGCCCCAGAAGCCGTAGAGTCTGCTGAATCCTGGAGTTGGTTCCCTAGGCCCCAGGCTCGTTTGCTGCCAAACGCCCCCTTGGGGCCCTTGTCCAGAATGTTCTAAGACTACATGTGGCTGGAGGCAGGTTCCTCGATTGTTCTATTCAGCCACTAGGGAGCCTGTGTTCTGCCCCCTAAGACTCATTTCCTTGTGTGTGGGTGTGTTTTCTTTCTCTTGTCCTCGCCTGCACTAGCACCTGGGAACTTGGCCTCGGGCTCAGTCAGCCTTTAACTGCCGGTGGACCTCGGAGGGAGGGGATAGGCTTGCCCCGCGGGGTTGGGTTCAGCCGGGAAGGGCTGGTGGTCAGCTCTGCTCCCTGCCGCCCCCTTCCCCGCCCTGGGTGGGGCTGCGGCCCGGGTTGGGCGCCCCCGATGGTTGCCCTCCCCGCCACACCCGGTGCTTTGTGTTGGTGGCAACGATCCCCGCACCCCGGGCCTGCAGACGAGGGCCTGCACGCAGGTAGAGAGCTTGCTGTACCCCTACAAGTGGCTTCCAGGTACATGGATTCTGTGGCCAGTGTTCCCTGCACGAGGCAGACCACCGGATGTAGTGAGGGGCCTGGCTGAGTGCTCTGCCCATGACTGTGCCACACATGGTGCTGGCTGTGCGCTGCCTGGAACAGCCTTGGGGACCTCAGGACGCCCTGGAGCATCCCCCACTCGGACAAAGTCATGCCTCTTCCTCTGGGAGCACCTGCTCCAGCCCTGCCTGCTTCCCTCCTCATCCCTCTCCCAGCCCCTCCTCCCCACCCCTTCTCCTCTTCCCCTCCCCCTCCCCAGGCGTCCATCCCAAGTGCCCCCATCCTGGTCCTGGGCGCACACCCTGCACTGTCTGGCGGCTTCCGGGACTCACCTTGCTCCCGCGCCTCTGCTCTGGCCCCGCAGTTTAGCAGAGCGACAGGTTGCGCCCTGTGGCATCAGGCCGATCGTGCAGGGGTACGCAGACCTAATATTTATTCTGAATGTGAATTTGCTATTTATTCCCAATGTTGATTTGATGTCCTAAGATCAAACTTGTTGCCAAATAAAAGTTTGAACTGTGTTGTCCAGTTTGTTGTGTGTGCTCTGTGCTTGCGTGCTGCTGTGGCAAAGCCCTACCAGGACCTAAGGGACCCAAAAGGAACAGCCCCTGAGGAGGGGAGGAGGGTGTGGTTCCTGGTTTGCCCCTTCCAGCCCAGCGGCCCGGCAAAGTCAGAACTGGGGGGGGGGGGGCTGTGTCATCAGTACCCCCCCTTTAGTGGGATGAGAGTTCCCTGGAGGGAAGTACCACCATGGGCTTGTCCCTTTGTGAGATTGGGGCCGTTTCTACTTTCTGGCTGTTAGGAATCCTGCTGCTATGAGCGGGCAGATATGTTACCATGGGGACGTGTTCTCTACTTCCCCGGGTGTAGACCGAGTGGAACTTCTGAATCGTGGTAACACTGTGTTTAAACATTTGAGGAATGGAGCCACTTCTCCGCATGGCCACACCACTTCACTGCCCACCTCTCAGCAATGTGGGGGGGTCTGACTTCACATCCTTGCCCACACCTGTCTGATTACAGCCACCCTCGGGAGGGGAAGTGTTGTCTCCCTGTGGTCATCATGTCTCCAACACAAGCAAACAAAACCAAGAAAAAAGAATTCCTAAGGCAGGTGTTGACTAAATGCCATGGCCCTTAATGAGCCCGAATAACTGGACTTCACCTTCAAACTTTGACCCTTCCTGCAGCACACAGTATTTTTGTTTCTCGAAACACCAGATTTGTTCCATTGGCGATCATTATCTTTCTTTCATAAACATTTATTGAGCACCATGTGTGTGCTGGACCCTGAGACACAGGGGGCACGGGGGCAGGCCTCGGCCTTCGGATGCTTATGGTCTAACAGGGAGGGGAGGCAAGGTCATGGTTAGTGCTGGGAGGACATAGTTAAGTGCCATCTGAGGGTACAAAGAGACAGCAGAGAGTTGGGCCCCCTGGGTAGGTGGGTGGATTTAACCTGGTCACCCACGGAAATGAGATAACCCCTAGAGTCACCAGACAGGTGAGGTATGCTTGAGTGCTTCATATTTGAAGTGTTAAAGGACCTGACATTCCAAAGGGCAGCTGGTGCTGAAGATGCATGGTGACGGGCTGTTGGAGGAGGCAGGGTGGCTTGGGCAGTTTGGGCAGGCAGGCGGCCAAGGGCAGGTGGGCAATCGGGGCAGGTGGGTGTCCGGGGCAGGTGGGCAGGGCAGGGCCCTCACAGTGCCCCCAGGGGGTCCCTGCTGTCCCGCTGCTGGCCTTCAGCATCCTGGAAAAGAGAGAGGTCCGTGCCACTCCCACTGCTAGCCTTGCTGCTTGCCCAGTCTCTGCGGGTGGAGCACTACTTCGGGCCGCTGCTCGGGGCCTCCATGAGTTGAGACCCTGCCACCCCACAGTCCACCCCCTCCCCACCCTAAGTATCTCAGGCTGAAGGAATTTCTGAGACAGCAGCAGCAGCAGGACGGGCAGCCCTCCCTACGGGGTCAGAAGACAACGCTGATCCCTGGGGATGAGGAATCTGGAGCCAGGACCCATCTCCAAATAACCTGGCTACGGTGCCGACCCTGAGCCAGAGCCCACCCAGTCCTGTCAGGTCTTCACACAGATCGCGGAAGCTTTCTGCCCTGGTCTCATCAGGTCCTCGTTCCCTCAGGGGGGATCCCACCTACGTGCAAACTTTCAGTGAAGCTTCTGTGCTTTCTCCCCGTGAATCTGTCCGACTACTTCCAGGTCCAGCCAGGGACCCTACGAGGGCAGAGGAAACCTTTTTCCATCCCTACAGCCTGAAACACTGCTCCAGGTGCCCGGTGAGGGCGTGTGGTGGGGTGTGTGTCCGGCGCTGTCTGGGGTCGGGAGGCAGGTGCGGCGGCCTGGGGGCAGCCCGGCCTGCAGCTCTGTGCCCAGGACAGGTCTTCTCAGTTCTGCTGGCTTCTCCTACTCGGTGAAGGGCCTTGATGGTATGCAGGGAAGTGTGAGGATTAAATGAGATACGACATTGAGGATGGCACCAGCTCCCTACGAAAAGGTGATTTCTATGATCACAAAAACCTGCGTTCAGATTAAACATTCTTCTTCCAACTCTGGCGCGTTGGTGGGAGTCTACTCAGAACCCAGAAGCTGTGCTCCCCAGGCAGCACCCCAAGCTGTGTGCCGTGTGCACCTCTGATGGCGCCAAGGTTTTGTGAGGCTGCAGGAGCTGCGTCCGGGTGTCCGGGCTGGCTGCGACAGTGCCAGGTACGAGGGTAGAGGACAGCACCCCCGCTGTAGGACTTCTGATCCTGGGGCAGTTCTGCCCCCTGGGCTGATGGGAAAGGTTTGTGTGAGTCCCATGTCTGGGATACGCCATGTACTGTGTCAGGAGTCTCCATGCCTGGGGCTGGCGGCGCCGTCAGGAGAGGACAGGCAGCGAGAGGCGTGGAGGGTGCAAAGCATGATGGGGACCGTCCCCCGAACCCCCCCAGCTAGCAGTGCATGTGGAACTGAGCCACCAGGTAGCAGACGCATAGCCGGCCTCCCCCTCCCACATCTGCGTGGGAACCTTCTCGTGGACTTGGTTGGGAGAACAAAATCAGACATGCCCTGATTGTTTCCCTCTGTGAAGGTATAAGTCGTAAAAAAAAAAAAAAAAAAAAAAAAAAAAGAAGGTATAAGTCGTGCTCCGTGGACAGGGGAACATGGCGTTTACAGTGCTTTGAGCAGAGGGACGATGACGCCCGTCGCAGCACATGGCCACACGGTACTTGTGTAATATCCCAGGGCCGTCGGATGCGAGGGCAGCTACCGGCTGCAGCCTTGGGGGGGGGGGGCGGCAGCTGCGTCCTTGCAGGAAATCCTCCCAGCTGCTGCCTAGCTTTAGTTGCCTCCCGAGCATCTGAACCAGCAGCCCAGGTGTGGGTTATTTCCCGGGACCTGCGTCGTGCTGGTGGCCGGCCCCTGAGGTCCACACTAGCTGCCGACGTTTCTTATCTTCGTGTACAGGGAAGAATTATGTTTTATTCCTGGTTTCTCAGCACAGACCTGGATCGAGCAGGATGACAGCAGGTGCACCTTCCACCTGTGGGGAGCATCGGGCACCGTGCCACGAGCTGCCCCCAGGTTGAGGTCAGTGGGGCCCCATACGGGCTCGGGGATCACTAACCAGAAACAAGTGCCTATTTCCTGGGATACCAGGATGGAACATGTCCCCCTGGATGTAAACGACCTGATCCAAGGGAGCTGGGGAAACTGAGGGCTCCATGGAAACCTGCGTTTGCTCCTTTCCCTGCTTCCTCTCCTGCCAGAACCTTCACCCGACCCCACCTTACATATGCCTCCTAATGCAAACAAGTGTGTTGTCCTCGTGTGGGACAGGAGTTCATGATTTCTCTAGAACACATAACATCAAGGGCAAGACCAGGTGAGGAGGACGGGACTAAGTCACAGGTGTGTTCCCGGCCACTGGCCACCAGACCAGGAAGAGCTCCGGGCCTTGTCTCGGTTCTAACCAGTTCCTGGGTGCCCGAGGGGACACATGCGCCAACCACCGTCCTCCACAGAAGCCCCGGCCCAGAACAAGCAGGACACCCGTGCTCCCTTCCTGCCCGAGCCTGCTCTCCCTGCATCTTTAGTAAACTGTGGCACTTCCTGCCGGCCCCCATCCTGTGAGGAGCCAGGGAACTTCTCAGCTGGTCCCTTGGGGTCCCCTGGGTCCATGGACCCTGCCTGCTGCCATCAAAAGGAACGTAGTTTTAAAGGCAAGAAGCAACTCTGACAATGGGCAGGAAACTGGTTCCTTGAACTCAGGGGCCTGAGATCAGGAAGTGCATATTCCACCCACGGAGGCAGCCAGGCAGCCCCATGTGCACATGTAAGTTCAAAGCGTAACTTAAGGGGGAACCTCTGTGAGGCGTGTCCTTCTTGGCCTTGCCCACCTCACAATTTTCTGCAGCAGGACGAGCCCAAGAGTCTTTGTGTGGCCTCTTACTTCTCACCAGGTCGAAAGCTTGGGGTGGGCAGCCTCGGCCTCTCCATGCTACCCTGAGTAGTTGGAGGCATCACCCAGACAAACGCATGGAGCCTGAGTGGCCACGAGGCTTGTCAGCTCACAGTGCTGGCTTTTAGGCCTGTTGCCTGGAAGATGTTGTCGTTCTGACCCCCAGATGCATCTGCTCCAGGCGAAGATGCCAACTTACCATACAGCGGTCACAGGAAGGTTCTGGGGCTGTGGGGGCGTTGCTCTCGTACAAGGGATTGGGTATGTTCTCAGGCCGCTGGCTGCCAAGACCCGAGACGTCTATATCCTCCTCCGACTGTGGGGACATGGGCACAGGGCACAAGCTGACAGCCAGGGTGTCCCCAGGGCAGGGGAGGCTTGCTCACGTTACGGTGAAGCCAGGCCCACCCCCATTCCCCAGAGCCTCTCAGATCGCCATGGGCTCAGAGGCTCCATGTGTCCGTCCACCCGAGCCTGAACCCGAACCCAAATCTGCTCCAAGGGCATTTCGGGCCTGCCCCTGCCCTGGGAGCCCCCTCATGCCCCAGCCTGATCCCATGTCACCACTCCAATGACACCCATCCCCAGAGTGACTTTGCCTGTCCCTGAACTTGGTGTAAGAGGCCCTGTAGGACAGGCACAGTGTCCTTGGTGCCGGGGCTCAGGAGCAGGTGGGTGTGCACTGTCCTCATCCGCTGGCTGGCTGGCTGCCAGGGGTGAGAGCGCAGAATGGAGGCCATTGCCAGACCCTGTCCCCACGGTGGCCCTGGGTCAGCCGAGGCCATGGACCTATGTGTGTGCTCAGCACTTCAACTGGGCGACCTCGGAGGGTGGCTGCACAGGGAGGCCTGATGATCGGCCCCGGCTCTAGCCTCTGCCCTCAGAGGCCGTTAGCCCCTCAGAATGGGTGCCCAGCCCCCCAACCCTCCAAGGGAGGGTGCTCCCAGGCCTGCTGAACATTCCCCCCAGGCCCGCTCATGCCCCCCCCAGGCCAGACCCCCAGGCCTGCTCAGCAGCACCCCTCTACCCTGACCCTACTCACCTGCACCCTCCCCCCCACCATGACCCTGCTCACCTGCCCCCCCCCCACCCTGACTCTGCTCACCAGCATCCCCCCCCCCGACCCTGCTCACCGCCACCCAGGGCCAGACCCCTGACCCTGCTCACTCGCACCCCCACCCTGGGCCATGCAGCTGGACCGGAGCATCCCCACCCCAAACCCCACTCAGGAGGCCGGGGGTACGCCGAGCCCTCAAGCCCTCCAGTCTGGGTAAGCGGCCAGTCAAGCTGGGATCTGCGTTCCTCTCTCACCTCAAAGTGCTGAAAACCCGCTCTTCTCCGGTTTAGTCGAAAGTAGGAATATGCAGCTGAAGCAGCGGCTCCGAGGACCAGGATGGTGGCAAAGACGATCCCTGTCCTTGCGGCGTGGGCCGGTGGCTGCAGAGGGGAGGCGCTGAGACTGCCCGGCCGCCCTCCCAGGATGGGACTGCTTCCGGGAGCCCGCCCCGCTCCTGCCACCTGGGCCACTCGGGGTGATGATGGGGATGGGGAGCATGGCATGCATTTGCCCTCACTACTGCCCAGGGCTGCGGAGCCCCTGGGACCCGACAGATGTCACTGTTTCCATGTGCGGGGGTGGGGGTGGGGACACTGAGGCACAGAGAGGGTGAGTGCTTCCCTGCCCTCACACAGCCAGCGCTAAGCGGCTGGGCCTTAGAGCTTGTGCCCCTAATGCTGTGCCGCGGAGCTTCCCAGAGGCGGCTAGGCCCTCCTGTCACACGGTCAGAGAGGACCTACCACCACCAGCCAGGCTATGCTCGCTCGACCGTGCCAGGTACTGTCCTCGTCCTACTTATGGACTCGGGTCCTCCTAAGAACCCAGGGGTAGGCATGAGAACGCCCGTTTTGCAGATGAGAAAAATGGGGCTCAGAGATGCCATGGGATTTGTCCAGGGGTGCATGGCTGGCGATGTGGAGGGGCAGGCCAGAGCTGGGGTTCCTCGCTCCCCTGCTGGTGGCGTCTCTGTGGCCCTTTCACTCTACAGTTACTGACAGTGGCCGGAGCTGTGCTGCTAACGTAGAGGAGCAGGAGTGGGAGGAACAGGGCCTAACAGCTGAGGCCTGCTGCCCTGCTGCAGGTGTGGGAGGCCCCCCAGTGTCCAGAGGAGAGGAGAGGGCTCTTAGTTATGGCTTGCTCCTTGGGGGGGTACATGGACACCCCCCCAGTGTCCAGAGGAGAGGAGAGGAGAGGGCTCCTAGCTACGGCCTGCTGCTTGGGCAGGGGGAGATGGACGGACACCCCCACCCCCAGTGTCCAGAGGAGAGGGCTTCCAGCTACTGCCTGCTGCTTGGGGGAGGACATGACACCCCCCCCCCAGGAGCCCTGGATACTCACCAGTGGAGTGGGGGGTGCTTTTAAGGGCCTGGAAATGACATGAATGACCCCGTTGGAAGCAAAGACGTCCCACTGCAGAATGGCTCTCCCATCCACAAACCTGGTCTCCTGGGAAGCAAGAGCGGGGCTGGTGGAGCTCCAAGCCGTTGGCATCCTCCCCCACAGGGCCCCCCAGAAGGAAGTGGCTCTGTTTCTTGAGGCCCAGGATGGGGCTCCAGCCTGTCCTTACCACAGCACAGGGCTTCTGCTCCCCATCTGGATGGCCCAGAACAGAGTCGTGGCCCGTGGGCGACAAAGCAGATCCAAGAGCTGTGGGGACCCCAAGGCCTACCCTGTCCTACCCGCTTGTCCACCGGGTGAGAGTCCAGAAGGAAACGGTTTGTCCGAGGTACGCAGGTACCAAAGGGCAAACCGTGAGCCTCCGGACGTCAGGTCTATTGCTCAGAACACCACCCTGGGCTGTCAGAAAACGGATTTTTAAGGGATCTAACCCCCTGCTAATGAGTGTGTACTCTCCCGTCTCAGGGATGTCGGTGCCACCTGAGAGCTCACAGACATGCAGAACCTGAGCTCTCAAGCTCCTTGGGCTGAGTTACAGTCGCCATTTCAGCAAGTCTCTAGGGGACTCAAGTGTACTTTAAAATTGGAGAAACACTGGTCTGAACCATGAATCTTCAATAAAAAGTAATTAATCGGGTCAATATTAAGAAACAACACTCATCTGGCACTGGCTGCGGGTCACACATTATTTTCACATGCCACACGCATTGGTCACTGGATTCTCACAAGTGCCTAGGATTCTGACATCGTGGTTGGCATGGTCACCACCGCTGCCACCACCACCGTCTCTTGTCATTAGCACCCTCACCATCACTGTCACCGTCACTGTCCTCACCAACACCACCACCACCACCACCACCACCACCGTGAAGCAGAGACGGACAGTCAGCTTTAAAAATGGCTTCATGGAAAGTTCTTCATTGACCTTGATAAGTTCCAGGGCTGGCAGTCCCTCGGGGTGTGCTCCCCTTGGGGCGCAGGCTGCCCACTGGTCAGCACCGTGCGCTAACCTGACTGCAGGTGTGGAGTTTGTTATAATAGCTGCCATCTATTACGCACCTCCTGCATGCTAAGAGCTTTGCAGGCATTGTCTCTCGTGCCAGTAAACCCAGGGGATTTTTCTCACCGGTTGTTGCTGGTCGCGGCGGGAGGTGATGAGCAGCTGGCTTCCCAGCTTGGTCTGCAGGACGGTACCGTTGACAAGGTCGTTGTAGAAAAACATGCTGATGTTGGCAAGATGGTGCTCGATGTCCCGCCCAGACAGCGACTGACGGAAGCGAGCAACAGGGAGGTGAAGCCGGGCAGTTTTATTTTTAACAATGAAGATGACACAGAAAAAGAAATGACTTCTTGGGCCTTGGTTTTGTGCATCAGCGTGGAGAAAGGAACCTCACGCTTGTCTCCGGCTGTGTGGCTGGGCATGTTGGTGAGTGTGGGCAGCAGCGGTGGAGGCCCTGCCCTCTCAGCCAGGGGGGCCGGGGCAGGGGTAGGGGCAGCCGGCTGTGGGGTGGCCAGCCCTCCGTGCACCCAGCAGCTGCCCCCCACCTGCCCATGCCATGGCCTCTGGGCACTCCCCCCCGCCCCCCACCGCCCAGGGCTTGGCCACATGCCCAGGCCGGAGCTCGGAGAGTGCGGGCGAGCAGGTCCCTAACACTGCACTGCCCTGGTAGCTGGCGGGGGTGGTGGGAGGCGAGGAGGTGGGCAGGTCCCTAACACCGCGGTGCCCCAGGAGCCCGCCTCACCTGGTTTCCCCCCAGCCCGCTGTTGTGAGGGGCGAACAGGGTGCTGCGGAGGGACGGGTCTGTCAGGAGTTTTAGGAACGCCCGGCCCCTGGCTGAGCTGTTGGAATAGGCCAGCACGTCCTGGGGGGAGAGAGTGCCGTCAGTAGGGGGCAAGGGCCGGCTGGGGGTTGCACACAGTTGCCCCACCACCCATTCCAGAAGGTTCCTGACCCTGCCTACTCCAGCCACCTCCCATCTTGTTGTTTTCGGCTGTGGGGATAGCCCGTCATGTGAGGATAAGTCCCGCCCTGGGCCTCCCGTTGGCCTGCGCGCACCACGGGAACACTAAAGGCCTCACAAAGACTGGCGCGTGAGCCCACCCTTGCCCGGTCGCCCCGGCCATCTGGCTGTGCCCCCCCACCCCACGGGGCTGCAGCCGCGCCAGCCCCCTTGCTGCCCTCCAAGCCCACACACAAGTGTGTGCAGCACGCAGTTGCTGTCCACCCTTAATCCTCTCTCCTTCACCTGGAATGTTCTGGCCCCGTGTCTGCATGGCTCACTCCCCTGCCTCCCTTGACGCCTTCCTCAAATGTTGTCTCCTCACCAGGGCTGCCCCGTGTCACTCTGCAAGTCGAGAACCCTGCCCCCCTTCCCCTCCCCTGTCCCCACATATACACGGTCACCTCCTAGCTTCCAGTACTGTCTACTCATTCATTCCATTGTTTATTCTGTGTCTGTTCTGTGCACGTAGCTCATGCACGTAGCTCATGCACATAGTAAGTGCTCAATAAATACTTGCTGAAACATCTTGAGAAACCTTACTGCCCAGTTCAACTCTGTTGCCATGCGGACAGAGCTCCTGAAGCCCAGAGAAGTTCATTAATGTGCTGAAGAGCACATGGTCAGTGGATTTTGTTAGGACCCTTTTTCTGGAGCTGTCACAAGCCGAGCTCCCACACCACAGAGCCACTGGCTTATGTGCTGGTCTTCACTGTGTTTGTGGTGACCCTGAATATCAGAACAGTTACAGGGATACTTGTGGTCTGTGGATAGACACTCATCATCTTGGAGTCCTGGGTTTAATTCCACCCTAATCCTGCAAGCGTATACTTGTACCCTGTCCTTTCTCCATGGCTGTGCCCTCAACCTGGGTCAGCCTCAGTTTCTTTACCTACAAAATGGGATTAATAGTGTAAGTGACCTCATAAAGTCACATGGGGATTGCTCCCTCGTAACAAGTATTTATTGAGTGCCTGCTAAATGCCAGCCATTGGTGGAGAAGGTCCTTCCCCTTGGGGAACTGACACTGTGTAAACGGAGTTCTAAGTGCTCTGATGGGTTCATGCGTGCACAGTGCAAAAAAAAAAATGCCCAATAAATGTTACTCTTGTTCTAGTGACTGTTGTCAGCTCAGGCCCTTGGCCCGCCCCACAGCCTCCCCTGGCTGCAGGCCTCTCCTCCCTCCTCACGGCCCTGATGTGTACAGCACTGCAGCGGCTCTAAGTGCAGCGCTAAGCGCAGATTGCCTGCATGCCGGGAAGTGGCCCACAATCTGCTGGCCACAGCTTGGCTGCCTGTGCCCACCCTGCTTGCGAACAGGGAGCTTAAGCTGCTCTGGATGCCAGCGGTGGCCACGTGGCCATTCTGCGTGCTAGCCACAGGTCCAAGTAGCTCATTTCATCCTCGCAGCGATGCTAGTCCCTCCCTGTGACTGGGGAAACTGAGGACAGGAACTTGTGGTGTGGCAGGTAAGTGGCAAAGCCAAGCTTCACATCCAGGCGGTGCGGCCCGCTACCCATGCTCTTAGCCAGATGGCGCCCGGGGCTTCTTCTAAGCACTCGCGTCTACAATAACGGCCCCGACGCAAACCCTCCTTCCCCGACGCAAAGTAGGCATGTACCATGAGGAAGTTGGTCAGCGAGGGGAAGGATGTCAGGACCTGCAGCAGATTCCCACTGCACGAGAAGCCGTCTCCCACGTAGCCCGCCTTGCAGGTGCAGTTCACGTCTGGAAGGCAAAGGCATGGAGCCAGCCCGGTGAGCGGAGGCCTGGGCCACTCCGGCTCCCCCTGAGGGTGCTGCCCAGGCTGAAGACTGCTCAGCGGCTGCTTGGCCGGCAGTCCCAAGGGTGCCCAGGGCAGTTACCTTTCATCCGATAGCAGAAGACATCCCACGTTTCACTTTTGTTGTTCCTTTGTCCATAGTCAATGATTCCAACAACGCCAGAGCCACAATTCTGGGAAGCATAGGCTGTGGGGTAGGCCACCCGCCCACTCTCCAGCCAGCCTGCTGAGCACAGGTGGTACCTGGCCTGTGGGGACACATGCATGGCCATGGGTCAGCGACAGTTGCATATGCAATGTGGGCTCCTTTAGTTCATGTCTGATTCTTCCAGTGGACCTTACACTCCACAGAGCCTGGGGTATGGTTCATCTTGCCCCAGGTACCCCTACACCATGAACACGATAGCTGTTCACTAAATTTTTCTTGATTCATTCACTGAATGGGTGAAATGATACCTTTTCTTGTAGGTGCCCAAGTCCTTCACACTCATTTCTCTTGTTTGCTCTTGAATTATATTTACTCTCGGCCATCTACTCCTGGGTGCAAATTCTTCTGCTTATGCATCAATAGAACTCTAATTGATCATCACCACCATGATCATCACTGTGATCACCATGATCATCACCGTCATCATTACCACCACCACCACCATCATCACCATCACCACCATCACCATCATCATTACCATGATTACCATCACTACCACGATCACCATCATTATTACCATTTTCATTCACCACCACCACTACCATCACCATCATCATCACCATCACTACCACAATCACCATCATCATCACCATCATTATCACCATCACCATGATCACACTATCACCACCATCATCACCATGATCATCACCATCACCATCATTATCACCATCACCATGTTCATCACCATGACTGCCATCATCACCATCATCACTATCACCATGATCATCAACCATCACCATCATCATCACCATCACCATGATCATGACCATCACCATGACCATCATGAGCACCATCATCATCATCACCACCACCACCATCACCACCACCACCATCATCACCATGATCATCACCATCATCATCACCATCACCATCATGATCACCATCACCATCATCCTTGTCATACTTATTGAGAGCTTACTCTGGGTGAAGTTCTGGTGTAAGGGCTTTTCCTATGTCCACATCTGTAACCCTCACACCAACCCTAAAGATAGAAACTTTAAAAATCCCTATTATATAATTGATACAACTGAGGCAGAGAGGAGTTAAGTAATGTGCTCAAAGTCATGCAGCCAGCAAGCTGAGATACAAACCCAAGCAATCTATTCCAGAGCTCTTAATGTAAAAACTGAGTGTACCAGTCACTGCGCTGTATTAACCTTAGTCCTATATAAACATACGAGTAGGACAGAGGTTTCCATGGCTGCATCAAGGGCACAAAATTGGCAAGCAGGAGAGTGAAAGTCAGACCCTCCAATATGCTGGGTCCTGGCATCATAGGTTTTGTTTCTTGGTAAAGAAATGTCAGGTCTGAAGGAAGGCAGAGCCTGGATAGTAAGGGGGTTGGAGGAGCAGCCCTGAAGTCATACTGGGTAGACAGTCTCCTCTATGCCCACTGGGCAATCGCTAGCAGGTAACTCCAAGGTGCTGGGCCTTCCAAATAGGCAGGGCTTCTGGTTTTAGGGGCCAAGACCACAGCCTTCGCTAGAGCTCCATCTCCTCCCTGGTTGCAGCTGAGAGCTGGGAAAATCCCCATTTATGACCTTCACTGTCCCTCCAAACATTTGAGGGACACTCAGATGTTTTGTGGGGTCAGGGAGATCTGAGGCCTCTGGTTATGGACCTCTTTCTGGCTTTTAGCTGTGGGGCAGGCACTCCCAGTCTGTGCTTCTACCTTGGTGGTGGGACATCAGGGCAGAGATCAGACTTTTGTAGTAAGGGCTACATTTGGCCTCTTGTCTGGGTGACCTTGGGCACATTACTTAACCTTTCAGAGCCTCACCTGCCCTGTTTATAAAATGGGGAGAGTGACTCCTACTTCCAGGGATGGATGTTGTAAGGATGGACGGTATTGCCAACAGAGCACCTGCACAGAGCCTGACAATGGCACATGCCCGATGTAGGTAACCAATTGACATCATGGTTCCAGGGCCACCCTCGTCCCCTCCAAAGAGGCCCAGGTCTCCCTTGTGTTAAGAAGAGGCTGCACCCCATCCCTGCAGACCCTGCCTGCCTGGTGCCGACCGACTAACTAGGGACCACCTTCTGGGCGTAGGAGAGCTGGTTGTAAGTTGCCATGCTTGCAGCCTCGTTGGCACAGGCCTCTCTGGCTTTGTCAAAGGTGAGCTTGTACTGGCCCAGTGGGGAGCGGAGGTGGAACACGCCAACGGTGGCATCTAGAGGGGGGAAGAGAGGAATTGCCAGGTCAGCCCACCCGGTTGGCAGGGCTCCTGGCAAAGGATGAGCAGAGCCGAAGGCCAGCTGCCTCCCAGGGCGTCTCGGAGAGCCATGTCCTTCACGGGATGTCGAAGTACATCACTTGAGAAATTGATTTCTTTTGAATTAGAAAACCAGCATATGTGATTGCAGAAATTTGGGCAACACACAAAGGTAAGAAAAGAAATAAACAAAAATCATGTATAATCTTTTTCCCGCAAAATAATAGCTACTCCATGGCTAACACTTTGGTGTACTTCCCCTTCCCCTAACGAATTTTTACTTTCTTTTTTGGTAACTTTTAATTTTGATACAATTCATACTCTTCTAGTCTTTTTACCTACACATTTCCCTGTCACATACATCAACGTGGCAGCATACGGCGTGTAGAGTTTTTAGAAATCTTTTTTTAAACGTGACATTAAATCATGATTATTCCCCCATGTCATAAATTTCCTCTGGCAACATGATTTCCCCCTCAGTACTTATCATGGAATACTTCTAGGGAACTTTACAGCCAAGAAAAAATACTTTAAGGAGCATTTTTGCCAAGGACTCTTGGTTTTCTGATCGCCACTATGCCCTTAAATAGGTTTTGTAGCCATTTCTCCCCTGAGAAATCCAAAGATTTATCATATTTTTCCTGGCTGAAATCTTTTGTAGCAGACAACTAAATGTAGAGACCAGAAAGAGTTCAAGAACAAAGTCACATGTGCACATTGTCACATTCATCAGCAACTGCTAATAAAAGGTCACTTTCTGCACCAAAAAAAAAAAAAAAAAAAGAGAGCTAAGTTCCAGATGGCTGCCTATCGCCCAGCAGTGACTGCACGGTTGTGCAACCATGTCAGTCCTGCCAGCACAGCGGCGTGAGGGAGGATGGAATGAGGGCTTCCTCATTTTCCTGCTAAGACCACGTGGTCTGCGACAGTGCCTTCGAGGGGACGTACCACGGTAACAGCGCTACTGTTGGGTGTGGGTCATTCACAGTGCTTCGGGGTCGAGATCACGATGGGCTGAACGGCTTCCCATCTGCGAGCCAGCCCTGGGAGCAGGCAGCCGGGCTGACTGGTCGTGCCCTTGGCTGCAGCCTGGCACTTTCTGGACGCCACACTCCGAGGCAAGGACTCACCCATCAACATTCCGGTCGTGCCACGCGTCCCAGCCTCCAACGGCCGGGAGGCCTAGGGACTCCCTGCATGGCCGCCTCACCATCACCTTGAACACAGGTCCTCAGCCAAGCTGTCAAAGGTCACACCGTGTGCCCTTCCCTGTGCTTCTGCCCAGTCAGCCCTGGGCTTGTTCTCCTGAGATGGAAACCTGAGTGATTCCCTACCCCGCCCTCAGGCCTGTGTGCCCCAGGCCCACCCTCTCCCTAGTCAAGGCCCTGCTGCCGCGAGGTCATTGCCTTGATGTCCTGGGAGCCTCCCCCTGAGTCCCAGGCCTCTCAGACGCCTCCCTCTCTCAGCTTCCCTACACATCGTTCCCATCTCTGACCATTCTTTAAAATCCTTTTGACTGTGGTGAATATACAGAACGCACAGTGTCCTTTTTGTCCACGTTAAGTGTGCCATCCAGTGGCACCCAGTAGACTGACCATGTCACACAGCGGTCACCACCATCGGTTTCTAGAGTTTTTCCATCACTGCAAACAGAAACTTGGTCCCCATCAAACCATGACTCCCTGTCCCCCCCCCCACCCCGCTGCCCCCAGTCACCTCTATTCCACTTCCTGTCTCTGTCACTTGGCCTATTCAAAGTACCCTGTCCAAGTCCACAATGTTTGCCCTGCTGTGTCTGCTTTGCTGCGCGGGGCCTGATGTTTGCAGCTTTCATGCAGGTTCCGGACTGGGCCACACCCCACCGTGTGGATGGGCCACAGCGGGTGCCTCCATTCACTGTGGATGGATGCTTGGCTCCTTCCCACCTGTCAGGAGAGCAGAGGCAAACACCCATCTGTCCAAGTCCCTGTTCCCAGCATCTTTTGTTCTTCTCCCCCTCATTCCAGTTGACCCATCAGCAGGAGGTGAGCTGCCATCTTGTGTGTCAGGACTCACCTGTCCTTGCCTTGTGGTTCCAGGAAGGTCCTCGGCCACACTGGGAGTCCCCTTGCAAGGGCACCAGGTCTTATCTTGTGCATCTCCCTTGCTCCTTCAAGCTCATCCCAAGAGATATGATGTGTCTTGGGCTTTGACACACATCATGGACTGCCTGTCTGCGTCCTCCCCAAATTCGTGGGTTTAAATCTTAGCTCCTAATGTGTTGGTACTGGGGGAGCATAGGGAGGCCATGATGTCATGGGGGTAAAGCCCTCTTGCATGGTGTACACGTGTGTGTATTTTAAAGCAATCTCTACCCTACGTGGGGTCACATTCACAACCCTGACATCAGGAGTCAGCTGCTGTACCGCCAGAGCCAGCTGGGTGTCCCAGCTCAGTGCCCTCCTAATGGAAGCCCACAGAGCTTCCTGGCCCCTTCTGCCGCGTGAGGGCTGGTGGAGAGTGGCCTGCCGCCCAGAGAAGGGCCTGCCCTCACCCAGATACGCTGGCACCTGCATCTGGTACTTCCAGATTCCAAAAAGGAGAGAAATGCATTTCTGTTGTTAGGCTGTGGGGTCTGCGGCACTCTGTTCAGCAGCCCGAACAGACTAAGAGCGTGTGACAGGTGTTGACCCAGCAGTCATCCCTGAGGTGTGCAAGAACTACCTCACCTGAGTCGCCTCGTCCGAAACACGGCCCAGCCCCGACCTCTGTGGCCCTGATGGACCAGCGCACGAGATGCCCCAAGTCACTGTCTGAACCTCTGCAGTCTCTCCCTCCCCGGCCGCAGGTATGTTCTGGGCCCTGATGAATTTCCTGTTAGCTTCACCTGCACCTCTGCAAGTCCCATTTGGCTCTTTATTGTGTGTTGTGAGGCTTAGTTTTGTGACACCTGTGGGTTCAGACCGTCCTTGGAGGACAAAGCCACACAAGCCAATCAAGGTGCATTAGCAAGACAGCTGCTAAGAAATTGCATCATCACATGGCTTCCCCCCATTATTCAAACCCCAGCTGCGCTCCTGGGATGCAGCTGCAGTCGATAGTTGCTGAGCACCTGGGGGAAGCAGGGGTCAGGAAAATGCGTGACGGAGGATGTTTGTGCTCCCCCTGCATCTCAGGCTTGGCTCTGTGCTGTTCCTGAGACCGAGGCCCGCCACTTCCTAGGCCCTGGGCCCTGGACAATGCATGGGCTGTTTGGCATGGCTTTTTAATTTTGTTTTCGCTCTTGCAACAATTCCCTCCCCAGCCTGAGGCCCGGGCACTCTGGGCCAGCAGCCCCCAGCCCACTGACCCTGGAAGTGGAGGTCAGCACAGTTGGCATCTGCGTGACACTGCCCGTTGTCCTGCAGACAGCGGTCGAGGGGCAGCTGCTCTGGCTCACAATCCATCCCGTCTCCCACGTAGTGACTCTTACATTCGCACTTGTGCTTGCCCTGTGGGGACAGAAGAGTAGGTGGGAGGCCCCTTTCCTAGGACCCCAGGACCCTTGCGTGCCCTGCGGGCCACCAGCCAGCCTTGGAGGCGCCCAGAAGCACAGGAAAGGTGCTGCCTGTCTAGCAACAGTTAAGGTACAGGCTCCCGGTGAACCGTCAGTGCAGCCCAGGTGTCACGTCTTCAGAAAACATGTCCCTGCCCTGGGAAGTGAAGCAGCTCCCAGCCCTTCAATCACTTGAGCCCACTGCATGAGCTTCCTGACTCTCCGTGCATTCTGGAAGTATTTTGTGCATCTGTTTCTGCACTGGGCATCGCCCCTTCCCTCCATAAGTTCTTAAAATTTTTTATTTAGATTCAATTTAATGAACATATAGTGTGTTATTAGTTTTAGAGGTAGAGTTTAGTGATTCCTCAGTTGCACATGACACCCAGTGCTCATCACATCCTGTGCCCCCTTCAGTCCTGTCACCCAGTGACCCCGTCCCCCTCCCCACCTCCCCTCCAGCGACCCTGTTTGTTTCCTGGAGTTAAGAGTCTCTTATGGTTTGTCTCCCTCTCTGATTTCATCTTATTTTATTTTCCCTCCCGTTCCCCTAGGATCCTCTGTTTTGTTTCTTAAATTCCACATATGAGTGAGACCATATGATCAAGGTCTTTGACTGATTGATGTCACTCAACATCACACCCTCCAGTTCCATCCACGTTGCTGCAAATGGCAAGACGTCGCCCTTTCTGACGGCTGAGTATATGGACCACATCTTTGCCTGTCGTCTGCCCATGGACGCCTGGGCTCCTCCCTTAGTCTGGCTGCTGTGGACACTGCTGCTGTAAATGTTGGGGCTGCTGTGTCCCTGACACTGACAGCAGCACAACAGTGGGTGCCTGGTGACCATTTGCAGAATCAAATTAGCCGAGTGAGGAAACGGAAACCCAGTGAAGTTAAGTAGCAGCCCAGGCCCCAGAGTGTAAGTAGGGGCACTAAGGCTCACACAGTAATGCTGCGTTCACACTTATGACCATAATGCACATCGTCTTCCACCATCTTCCCTTCCCAACAGACGGACTGGGCACCAGGTCACCGAACCCACTCTAAAAAGACTTGAGTGGGTGCCCAGACCTGCACTTTTCCTGCCACTTCTTGACGACATTTTAGATTTAATACCCTTTTTACTTTGGATAATTCTAGATTTGTAGAAGAGTTGCCGTGACAGCAGAAAGAGCTGCCATCCACTCTTTACCAGGTTCCCCGTGTGATGTGACCCTGGCACATTCGTCAACACAAAACAGTGAATGGTGGTGGCACATGACTATGGATGGAACAACACACTTCATGTAATTTCCCCAGTTTCCCCCTCGTGCCCCTTCTCTGCTGAGGATGCTGCTTGGCACGGAGTCTGCAGACATAATAAAGTGTAGCCTTTGTCGGGGGAGGGGAACGACCTCGAGGAAGACGCAGAGCCCGAGGCCAAGGGCCGTGTGGTTGGGCTGGGCCAGCACTGCTCCCAGATATCCCCAGGGAGGCACTCACCGGGCCGGTCATCCTGCAGGTGGCATGCTCGTGACACCCACCGTTGAGGCCGTCAGCGCAGGGGTCTATCTCTGTGCAGCTGCGGCCATCCCCTCTGTAGCCTTTCTGACAGCTGCAGGACACCTCTGTGCCCTTCTGGGAACACTGGGCCACCGTGGCACAGCCCCCATTGTTCTGTCTGCAGAAGTCCACAGCTGGGGGCAGAGCGAGAGGGTGCATGTAGGCACAGTTGGGGGAATGCGGGCTTCAGACAGGGTAGGGGTCAGCCTGGGCTTGGGGGCACTGGGAGGTGAGTGCACCCTTCTCCACAGGCCCTACCTCTGTGACACCAGGGTCCCATGGCTGACATCCTCACATACCTGAGCCCTTTCTCACATACCCCTGGCCTACACTCTGGCAGTGGCTTGCTGAATGAGTTTGGGTGTTTCTATTTTTTTTTTTAAGATTGTATTTATTTATTCATGAGAGACACAGAGAGAGGCAGAGACACAGGCAGAGGGAGAAGCAGGATCCATGCAGGGAACCCGATGTGGGACTCGGTCTCAGGACCTCCAGGACCACGCCCTGAGCTGAAGGCAGATGCTCAACCACTGAGCCGCCCAGGTACCCAGCCATTGTTTTTTTTAATACTTTAATATATTTTCTGAAATTTTTAAAAGGCTTGATTATTTGCAGAGTTTCACAAACCTCTGTAAAATAAAGCACATCACTCTGAGTGTGCACGGCGATTACAGAACAGTGAGCTGGCAGGGGCAAGTCAGGCATGAGCAAACCCACCAAGGACGCGTAATCCCACAGATGGTAGGTGTTGGGACAGCAACCCAGGCAGGAGTGGAGGCTCAGCATGTGGTCCAGGCGCTGTGACCAGGTGCCGCCCTGCTCCCACCCTGCCCCAACCCATACACGCACCGACAGGACCTACCTGTGCACGTTATTCCGTCCCCTTCGTAATTCAGGTTACACTCACACGTGTTGTTTTCCCTACAGGTGGCATGAGCAGAGCAAGGAGGCATGCATGCTGGAGGCACAGCTGTAAACGAAGGGGTTGCCATTTGGGCCGTGCCTGTGGTGTGAGGCCCGGGCAGCATGGGGACTGGCTCTCTGGCCAGTCACAGAGTTTCAGAAGTGGGAGGATTGGGGGACTTGCCCCAGTTCCTCCAGCCTGGAGGTTCTGAGGTTCCAGGATTGCTCCTTCATGTTCACACACAAACTCTACAGTGTCACCCAGGTCAGAACGTAAGGTGTCCCCATGTTAGAACTGCATTCCTCCACAAAGTACACTTGGCAGATTAGCTCAGGAGTCTCAGGTTGCTTCGGGCCAAGGAAGAATGCTGTGGTGCCCCCCTGGCCCCGGGGTCTGTGGTGGGCGCTGGCCTCCATAGCCGGGATGCACCACCAGCACAGAGGGCTTGGGTTGTAGGGGACAGCTTGGGAAACCCGCTGTTCGGGAGGGGTGCAGCTTGCGGTGATGAAAGCCATGATGGAAAATGAGGATGGCAGCTGGTGTTGGCGCCCAGGGCCACCAGGCAGGCTGCAGCACCGCCTCCCACCCTCCCAGCAAACCCTGTGGAGGGCAGGTTCCCAGGGCCATTAGTCTAGTGACTCCACAATCAGGAGGTCACACCCGGGCTGCAGACAATCGTGAATCTTCTATGCAAGAACTGCTGCTGGGCACACATCTGGGCCTACACGGGATCCTGAGCCCTCAATCCTCCCAGTCCTGTGTCTGCCTGAGGCTGCTCCTTCCGTGGTGGCCGTGGTGGCCCAGCACTGTGCACCGGCTCCGCGGGTCTCAGATCAACCTCTCCAGCCTGTTTGCCTAATGACCCACCTCCTGAGGCCTGGGGCCACACCCCCAGACCATCTGTCCCCTATGGGCAAGGAAGCACCCGCCTTCCCGTTCTTTCCCGTTCTTTCCAGGCGTCGCTCAGCCCTGCCAGCCCCACATGGATGCTCTCGGGGCTGGGCTGCTGGCCCGTGACTGACCTGTCCGGGTGTCGCAGAAGCGGCCTGTCCAGCCCGCCTCGCAGAAGCAGCGCCCGGAGCCCGTGGTGCCGTCGTCACACTGTCCGTGGTCAGAGCAGCGGCAGGCTGTGGGGCAAACCCGAGCCCGGTGAGTTGGCGGTGGTGGGGGTTCAAGTCCCGCCAGTCTGCTCCGGGCCACCTGTCGGCTGCGTGGGCAGCTGGCCTCCCAGCATTCATTCATCCAGAAGTTCCAGAACTGACATCCCAAGGGCCCGTGGCTACCACGGGGTGGACTCGACGGGGCACCTAGCTCACTGGGAGGACCCCAAGCCCTGGAGTTCCTGCTGTCGTGGGGCTACAGTCCCGGAGTGACGGGGTTTGGACACGTGATCGCCCATCGCGCTGGGTGTCAGGGACGCTGAGGGAGGGGGCGGGGGGCAGGAAGGAGCAGCACGAGGGCGGAACCGTCCCTGGGCCCCACAGAACTTCCAGGACTGGCACCCGGGCTTTCTGCCCTCACCACCTCGAGCATGATGGCCCAGCCGGTGGCTCTCACCTCCATGCTGCGCTCCGGCCCCCGGAGGCGGCAGAGCCCCCCCCCCCCCGCATCCTCCGCCTCCCCCCCTTGCCCTGACCCCACTCCACCCCATGGTCCCCTGCCCCGCCCCCTCCCTGCCAGCCCCAGTGTGTTCTCCTGGCAGCCGCCTTTCCAAAGTGCTCAGCACACTCCCCGGTGTGCAGTCCTGTGCCGGCGGCCACTGCACTGAGAACACAGAGAAGTTGGCTCTGGCCAGGGTGCTCCTAGGAGCCTGGCCCTGGTGGCCTTCAGACTGCCTCTCTCCCTTCTCTTCTTTGCCCACAGTGCGCAGCCAGCCTGGCCTCTGCTGCTCCTTAAACGCCATGCTCACGTCTGCCTCCCGGTCTTTGCACCTGCTCGGTTCTCTTCTGGAAAAGCCATTCCTCTGGTCTGCACTTCTCAGTACTATAGCCCTTGCTATACATGGCAACTTAAATGGAAGCTAATTAAAAGTGTAGAGATCCATTTCCTGGTCACACATTTTGAGTGCTCAGTAGCCACGGAGCAGGTCGCTCCGGTTCCTGAAGGGACAGGGAGAGAACGTTCCCAGCACGACTGCACTGGTTTGGGCAGAGCTGCCGTTGGAGCCCCTCACCTGCCCCCGACCATCCACAGCTGGCACATACGGATGACCACTGTGCCCAGCACCAAGGGCAGTCGTGAGGATTAAGGGAGGAAATATACCTGCCTGGCACCTGGTAAGTGCTCTGCAAACATGAACTGCAAACCCTGAGGTGCCAGTATTACCCGGGACCGAGTCAGCGGCTGAGTTGCGGCTTGTGTGGCTAAGGGGCCAGGCCTTGCACCTCTAGTCCCGGGGCAGGGGAAGAGGGGAGGGGTCAGGCGGCAAGCAGTGTGGCTGGGTGGCGAGGGGGCACGTACGCTGGCAGTCAGGCCCGAACCTCCGCGGCAGGCACAGCTCGCATGCCGTCCCGTTGAAGCCTGTGTTGCATCTACACTGCCCTATGCCTGAGTACTGGTCCAGGCAGACGCCACGGTTGTTGCAGGGAGCTTCGGCGCCTCCGGGGCAGGCTGGAAGAGATGAGACAGCGCTGACCTAGAAGCCTCCCAGCCAGGGTCAAGGAGCCCAGAGAGGGCGAGGCCGGGGCAGCACTGAGTGTCACCAGACGTGCAGGCCAGGCCAGCGGCCTCTGCAGGACCAGCTTAGGTGTACATGCTGGATCCCCGCGTGGTGGGGTGCTTGCTGAACCATGCACGGGATTGGGGGTCAGCGGACTGGAGGAGATAGGGGCTGACCCGCTTTGAGCATCAGTCCTCTTAGCTTGAGCCTGAGCTGAGGAGGAGGAGGGGGGAGTAGACCGCACTGTGACCGAGACCATTGTGGGAATAAGGCACTGAGCACACGTAAGGGGGTGTGCCGATCACTTCGCACTTGGGTGATGAAGTGTGGATACTGAGGGATCGCCCCAGAATTTTCTCAGAGGCGCCACAATGAGTGGCGTGCACGTGGTTCAAACCAGGGCGTCTGGGGATACCCTGTGGGGCCTCTCGCTTGCTGCTGATCCTCTCCCCGTCTCAATATTCTATCTGTAAAATGGGGGTAACAATAGACGACCGCCCAGAGGTCGTTGGCAGGTTTAAATGCTGTCACATAAAGGGAGGGGCACTCAGTAAACGTGCTTGGTACAAACACAGGCGCAGATTGCAGGGGCCCCAATAGTTGTGGTGCAGCGGCCGTTCATGTGTCACCAGCCAGAGGTTCTGTCCGGACCCAAAGGTTCCAGGATGGGCCCACGAGTCCTTTTGTGATGAGCCCTTTCCTGGCAGGGTGGGAGGGGCGAGGAGCATCTCCGGGGGCGGGGACGTGGCCCTCGCCTCATGTCAGCGCAGCACCGGCGCACGTGCGCTTCTGAACATCTGAACTTACCCGGTACCGGGTATCGATCCCACACTAGCGTCAGGAATGAAACTGAGAGTTGGCAGCCCCGGGGGCGAGTGTCTTATGCTCCCACCCGAAGCAAGGTCGCGACACAGCGACAATCTAGGCTCTCGGAAATCTCCGCAAAGATCAACATATGGCCACGGGAGAAGCAGGAGCCCAGCTATGACTGCTTGCAGCCCTTTCCTTAGAGGCCTTACTGGGAGCAATGCTCTCCACCCCCACCCCCACCCCGCTCCCGCCTCCTCATTCCCACCCCACCCCACCCCCCCTCTGTACTTTGAAAGGCTGCCAGGTCCGTGCCCAGTGGCAGGTGAAGAGGCCCCTCACCCTGGCAGTCCCGGCCATAGTAGCCCTTGCAGCACCTGGGGAGCCGGATCACCATGGTGCACTGCTCCCGGCAGCCGTCCAGGGAACCCCGGAACGACAGGTTGTAGCGACACTTCTGCTTCACGCCCTGAGGGAAGAGAGTGCACTAACCCTCTGCTCCTGAGGCCCCACTCGGGCTCTTTGGTTCTAATTGGTCCCAGTGGAGGATCCGGTCTGGCCCAGAGGGGAAGTGGGGGCTCTGGCGCTTTGATAGGGAAATGGATGGGGGAAAGGGCAGGTTTGGAGTCCACAGAGAGCTTTCTTCCCAGTGGTGAGAGGAATGCCCAGCAACCCTCAGAGCTGTCTGCAAACAGGGGGGCTTGGGCAGCGGGTGGGGGACCTATAGCTTTCCCACAGGGGTGGGGGTCTGCGGCAAGGCCCCACATCGTGTGGGTAACAGTTGCGTGCAGGGGTGTTTTTGTTAGAGGTTTTACTAGCAGAGAGGAGGGAAATTGACTTTGGGATAAGGACAAAAAGCAATATTTAATGAGGGCTTACTATGTGCCAGACTCCACACCCACACTTTGAAACGTCCCTTTCCTAATAAGCACACACGCGATGGTTATTAGCTCCATTTTACAGAGGCAAAACCATATAGATGACGTAATCTGTCAAAGATTACCCACTGGAATTATATCCCAGAGCCATGGCCTCCAAATTTCCTGGGCTTACCGCTCTTATGTTCCTTTCTGGGCCCTGATCCTACAGTTGGTCCTGACCAGCTCTGTGGCCTTGGCCTGACTGCTTACCGTCTCCGAAAGACATTTTTTTCATATGTGGAGGAAATAATAGCTTCCTATGAGACGTATAATGAGGGGAAATGCGTAATAAATAAGAGGCCCAGCTCTCAGCTGGGGCAGCAATATTGGCCAACAGAATGCAGCTATGATTTGTGTGATTATCATTACTAATGAAGTCCTTTTTAGGTCTACATCCCATGCTTTCTCTAGACAGTTCCTGGAAGGTGGGGAGTAGGTTGATGCCTAATTGTCGAAAGAATGACTGCAATCGCAGTTACACAACATCTGCACATATGCTCAGGAACACACATGTGCTCACACCTCAGAGGATGGGGTCTGACAACGGAGCAAACACACTCTCCCAGGCATCGCCACATTCATGTTTACCTTCGGTTTGCTCCACCTCGGGCAGCTGGGCGTATTGGCACAGCTCCAACAATCTCCCTATGCATGGAAGAAAAGAAATGCTCAGAAACCAAGAGTATTGGGAAACACAAGGGTATGCCCTGGTCACTGCCTAGGTGAGCTGACCGGGAACTCCATCCTGATTCTCATCCTGCTGCAGCCAAGACCACAAATGCAAGTGCGGCAGTTTTGCCGCGGACAATTCTGAAGTATCTCTGGCCTTCTAGGCCTTGGTTTTTGTTCTCTGAGGTGGCAAGCGCCCCGCTGTCTGGAGCAGCACCAGGGTGGGTGGTGTCCTTCAGACCTCAGTGGCGGCTGAGGGAAATGTGCATACTGTGCCACTCTGCCGGTTGTGATACTTTGGGCCAGCCATACTCTTGGACCCTTCATTTCCTGATCTACAAAATTGTGGTGCTAATTCCTGCTGCTACTTGACCTTCCTGGGACTGATGATGGGAAATGTCAACTGCAAACGTGTGCAAATATACTTGGGGAGTAGGAAGGCCACAACGTGTGCAGCGGAAAGGACAACTGATTTTTCATCTCCTGGCTGCCTGGTGTCTGGATAATTTGGGATATTTCTTGAAACACTACAATTCGCCAGGTACTAAAGCCAACTGGTTGCAGACTTGGCCACGCAAGCCACTCCACCTCTTTGAGACTCAGTTTCCAAATCTGCATCATTGGGTTGCTGGTAACAACTTCTACTATTGGATTACTTTAGGGGTGAGCTGAGCCCTGAGTCCACTGGCTGGCTCAGAGGTGCAGCTCTAAATAATACTGGGTGGATGAATGAGTGTGCAGTGTGACAGTGCCTCTCAGACAGGGCCTGGTTGGACATTCAGTCACCATTGGTAAGTGAACAAATGAGCGAGGACATGGACAGGGCGTAGGTGGCATGCCATACTGGGCCTGGGCCGGGCTGCGTGCTGTTGCCAGTTTGCAATCACAGCCCCGCCAAGTACGGCGGATTAGCAGAGGGCGTGCGCTCTGTGGGGAGCCGATGCCCCTACAGGTGGGTCTGAGGAAGAAGAGCATGTTGCTGCGCAATGGGCAAGCAGTTGCACCCAGCAGGCCCCTCCGCAGCGCCGGGATGCGTGGATGGGCTGCCGGACATATGGGTGTGTGCCTGGCCTGGATGGGGCCTGTAGACGCTAGTGAAGAGGACCCACCCTGGCCCTCAGATCTCCTGGCAGCTGGCCTGGCTCCCCAGCAGTGCCCAAGCTGAAGCAGGAGGTCTCAAGCCCTGGCTCCCCCATTACGTTGTCCTGGGGACTGACCGAGAAGTTGTATGTGGCGAAGGTGTCACAGCGGCCGCCGAGGGTGGCACTGACCAGGAGGCAGTCTATGCCGTAGGCCACTCCCACGTCAAACAGCAGTTCTCGTTGTACAATTCTGCATGGTTGGTCATTCAGGAAGAGGTCGCCCTGCGGGCAGGGTGGCGGGGCAGAGAGTCAGCATCCGGGACTTGTCTTCCTCCCAAGGCCGCACAGCATGGTCAGCACCCAGGGGACCCAGGAGGAGCTCTGTGGACGCCCACCCTTGCGTGTGTGCGGTGTATGTAGTGGGCCGTGGGGTGTGCCCCAGGCGTGTGCCCAGGGGCACTTTGTGTGCTGCACCTGCACGAGCCCCTCACCTCCCCACCCAGTACCGGGCCCAGGACCAGGCCAGCTTCGAGTGGTGTGGACACACTGGCCTGGCCTGTTGGCCCTGAGCGCACCCTGTGGCTGCTGGGTAACCAGCCGCCCCCCACCCCTCACAGTGGGAGCGCGGTGGGGGGGTGCCGTGGGAGAGGCAGAGAAGCTGAGGGGCGGGGCTCGGGAGCACGTGTTGGTGGGGGAGGTGGCCACTCAGGGTGTGTTTTGAGTGGCGCTCCCCGCGGGGCTAGAGGGACGGACTGTGACTCCGTAAGCAGGAGACAGCGTCCCTTCCCTATGCCACCGAATCCTGCTCTAGGTCCATGATGTCACTTTATGTGCAACCAGTCTAGAGCTTTCTTCTGTGGGGTGCACCCAGTGGGCAAACTGTGGAACACATCCCCCCCCCCAAGGAAAGTGTCTGGTGGGGGGATGCAAGGGACAGATGCGGTGTGATTCATGGAGGAGCCCTGGGGCATCCCCCGCTCCTCTCACTGCTGTGCGACCACAGCAAGGTACTGAGCGTCTCTGAGGGCCAGCCGTTTCCAGCAGGTGGACAGGGTTGGGCTAATCGATCCCTGCCAGGGGCTCTGAAGGCTGCACTAGCTCACAGGCGCCCAGTGCACGTTCCTGTTGCACCTCTCCGTCGGGCTTCATCTATGGACAGTGCCGGGATGGGTGCAACGATGCAGGGAGGGCTTCCTGGAGGGGGTATAAAGCTGCCCATGGTCCTCACATTCAGGTTATCAACTCAGTGCAGGTGCCAAAGGGATTCTGGCTGCTGGTAAGACGATGTCCCAGGGCGCTGCCCAGCAGGCTCCCAGCAGGCACCGGCTCAGCTGGGAACTGCATCCTTCTGTCCTTCCTCCTTTGTCCTGCTGGTTGGAGCTCCGGCAGCCACACTCTGCCTTGAGGTGGCTCCAAGGTGGGACACGTGCTGCTGAAACCCCAAGGGGCTCCCCTGAGGAGCCCCCACACAGCTCTGGGTCAGCTGCCCCTGGCTTTCTTGGAAGAAGACAGAAGCCGTGGACACCCGGAGGGGTCAGCGGTGGAGCATCTGCCCTCAGCTTAGGTTGTGATCCGGGGACTTGGGATCGAGTCCCACATTGGGCTCCTCACAGGGAGCCTGTTTCTCCCTCTGCCTGTGTCTCTGCCTGTCTCTCTGTGTCTCTCATGAATAAATAAATAAAATCTTAAAAAAAAAAAAAAGACGCAAGCCCTTGGATGTTTAAGCCATTGTCATTAGGGTTGTGCTACATGCCGGACACAGGCCAGGCTACTATTATCCCATCAGACTCACATAGGGTAAGGAATCACGGGGATGCAGGACTGTGGGGGCACCAGCCAGGGGAGTGGAAACTGTAGCACCCTCCCCTCAGGCCATGGGGCAGATGCAGACTAGGGCTGAAGGGCAGGGGCTGGTGAGGCTGTGGGGTGTGGTGGGGGGAGCAGTGCTGGCCAACCCCCTGCCACAGTGTGGCATCTTGCTCTGCAAAATAAATGCCCTAAACACAAAATCCACCCAACGCTACTCTCTGTGAGGCTACAGGTCCCCAATGGCCACCAGGGCTGCTGCTGGCCGGGATTTGCCAGGGCAGTGCCCCTGAAGGTGGCCCCAGTGAGAAGCATGTCCTGGAAAGGGCGGTGGGCACGGGGGGTGGGGCGGCAGTTGTCAATACTCACGATGTCACCACCAGCTCCACACTTCACACCCAACTCTGAGCCCTGCAGTGTCTTCCAGGCAGTGGCCCTGGGGAGCTCCGCTGCCAAGATCTGTGGGAGGGACGATGCCCTGTCAATACCCTGCATGTGGACCCAAGAAGCACCCGTAGGAGCTTTGCCAGCAAAGCACATCCAGACAGACACAAACTCTTCCGGCTTGAAGAGGCTGTGGCCGTCACCATAAGGTGGGTAACCTGGGCTCCCGGGGGGTATGCCCTCCGAGGGACGTCTCTTCCAGCTGGGCTTGCATCGCACCCCCTTCCGAGCCTCACGTACGCTCAGGCTCAGGACCCTGGCACTGCTACAGGGCGTACAAAGCCAACCGTGGGATCCATGGGTCGGGGCAATGGCAGAGGGCACCGCCACAGGGTCAGCGGTGATCCCTCATAAGTGCTGTTGATGTCCTGATCCTGAGACCTCTGAATAGGACCTTTCCTTAGACATAAGGTCATGGCAGGTAGGTGTAGGTAGGATGAGGTTACAGTGAGTCGGGGATCCTTGGTCCAATGTGACTGCGTCCTTATCAGGAGAGAAGAGCCACAGAAACGTGCAGGGAGAGGACAGCCCGTGGCAAGAGCAGCAAGGCTGTGGGTGCACGCCAAGGATTCCCCGCCACCACAGGAAGCTGGAGAGAAACATGGGACGTGTTCTCCCTCCAGGCTTCTGGAAGGAGCAACCTTGGCAGCTCCCTGACTTCAGGTCTGCAGCCTCCACGACGTGGACGCCTGATTTCTGTGTTTCTAGCTTGTGGTTGTTGATGCGCAGCCCAAAGGCCATGATGCAGGTGGGATGAGCCAGCACAAGTGAGGGCCCTGGGCCCCCTTGGATCAGACAGACCGGGTCCTGCTTGAATGCTCAGGGGGCCAGGCCATCAGCTGGGGCTCCTGTGCCACTGCAGGGTGCATCTTCCCTCATCCCGGGGGTCGGCCCAGGTGCCAGCCACTCATGGCACCTGCGGAAGCAGCCCTGGACCTCTGGACCTAGGGTGGGCCCCCGGGACAAACTCGGGGAGCCTTGCCAGCAGCCACCTGCCCTGTGAACTGGGGCAGGGGGAGAGGCATGCTGCAGGACCGCAGGGGAGTGGTGCTCCGGGGACCATCTGCAGTGAGGGGAGCGGGGTGTTGGGCTGGGCCTGGGACAGGGTCAGCTGGTGAGGCAGGGGACACTCAGGTGTCCTCACACCATGGACATGGGGATCCACCGACTGACTGTTCCTGGGACCCATGCTCCCCTGCCCCCGGGCCCCGGGCATCCCCATGCTCACGTCTGTATGAAAATGAGCTACCTTGGAATCTCGAATCACATGGAACTTCAGATACTCCTTGAGCTTGTCCTTGTTGTCTTGGTTGAACAGGAAATCCTGTTGTTCAGGGGGCAGGGCTTCCAGGGCTCGGTCACTGGGCCAGAAGAGAGTGACTGGAGTGTGGATAGGGTCGGTGATGATGCCTAGCAAGCCCAGGTCCTGAAACACAGGGATCGAGGTGTGCGCCTCAAGGCCCAGCCATAGGGGACACAGGGGCTTTCTGGGACCACAGCCAGTGTGTGGCCCCGGGGCTGTCCTGGGGCTCCTGGGACTCCAGCTGGTGCAAGGCTGATGGCCTGTCACATTCCAACAGGCCCGACCCGCATTTTCTTCGCTTGCCAAACAGAAAGTCAAATTCTGGGCTTTTGTTAATAGAAAAATAACCTTTCACAAATGTGTGTGTGTGTGTGTGTGTGTGTGTGTGTGTGTGTGTGTATGTATGTGTCCACTGCCCGAATGTTTTAATTTCTGGAAGATCCAGTCAGTATTTCCCCCATATTTAACTTAAAAAAAGTGAAACTTGCACAGTATTGAGATACTCTGTGTATTTATAAGGTTTCTAATCACATGGCCTCAGAAAAGAGAAGGCCAGGCGCATGGAGAGGCATCGTCTAGACAGCATCTGTGACCTGGGCATGGCCTGCCCCTTGGGCCTGCAGGTTTTCCCTACAACCCTATAAGCCTTATTATCATCCTGTACTCAGGCTGAGGTTTGCTAGCTTACTATGAAAGCTCGTGTTTGGCCAGATGAGATGCTCAGATCAGGGGTGGTGATGAGGTTCCGAGGCCAGGGCACCAGCAGCACCATGGAGTTGCATCTTGGGTGCCTTGAACCCGTTGGGAAGGGCCCCTCAGGGCTGAGCCCCAGACTGTTGTAGACATGGCTGGTCTGTGCCGAGGTCCAAGGACCGGGCCACAGGAGTGTGGCAGGGGCTCTGAGGCTGCCCTGGGGCCTTTCAGGGTGGTGGATGGATGGGGGAGCTCGGTGGCCTGCTCCCCTGGGTTCCCCTCCGAAACCTCTGTCTGAACAGTTTCTCTCTACTCAGCTAGTGGGAAAGCATCTGAAGCCAGGAAGGCTTGGTCCTAAATGCGACTTGCACTCACGCCACAGGCGTAGATTTTCCACATCTGTACTCAGGGCCTGCTCATTTCGCAATGGAGGTGACAGTCCCAGACGTGAGCCCTCGTTCAGGAACTGGAGCACCCTAATTCCCTCCCTTGCTCCAGCTTCCAACACAGAGTGCCCTGGACAGCTAAAAAGGCCCCACACTGTGTTGGGAACGTGGTGGCCGAGTGTGGCCCTGTGCTGTAGCACACCAGGACTTCCCCACGCAGATCCCACAGCTGCCTCAGATAAAACACCGAGTGGCCAAACAGGACACCAAGCACAGCAGCAACCACAACACACAACAGTCCAACCAACAAGGTCCTGAGATGCCGGTCCCCTGGGCCTTTACCTGCAGCAAGCTGCTGAACTTGGTGTAGCCGTGGTTTACCGCCACTGTCGTCAGGTTTTGCTGAAAGACAAGAAGTGGAATGATGGTTTCCTTCCATGGCCCACGAAGCACTTTCACAGAAGCTTAGCTGGATGCAATATGCCTGGGTCCAGGTACGCAGGCAGAGTGGTCGGCACCCACTCCACCTCCAAGCACCCGTCCCTTTCCAGGTCCCACAGGCACAGGCGCTTCTGTGACTTGGTCGTGGGATTCAAAGTTACCTTTGCTCTCGATTGGAAAGGAGTTTTATTCCAAGTTTGGCTTGACTGATATCTATCTATCATCTATCTTTTAAAAAGCATTTATTTATTTATCTTAGAGAGCATGTGATAGTGGAGAGGCAGAGGGAGGGGGAGAGGGGTATCCTTAAGCCGAGCCTTACTGAGCGAGCAGCTAGAGTGGGGCTCTGTCTCACTGCCCTGAGGTCATGACCTGAGCTGACACCAAGAGTCAGATGCATAACTGGCAGAGCCCCCTGGGAACCCCCCGTCTGTCTGTCCTTTACCATCTGTCTCACCCAGCTACGTGCGTTTTCTCCATCTTCCAAGTCTGTGCAAGACCACGTAGCCTTGGGGAAACCAAAGGAAAGCTGACAAAACCCATTTATCTACTTAAATTAGATTTTTTACCGATTTCCTTCTTACTAGAATTATATTCATCAGGATTTTAAAGGTAGCTTGAGGTGGAAGCAGGAAAATGAAAATGTCTCCCATGACACGTCCACATCAGAGCTGTGACAATGACTCATGAGCATCATGGGTTTCTGCTGAGGGCTGACGGGGGTCACCCACCAGAACCCTCCCGGAGGCATCCTTGGGGGTGACCAGCAAGTTCTGGGGGGACAACAGTCTGTCTATGATGTGGATGACTCCATTGGTGTTGATGAGGTCACTGGTCACGATCCTTGCCTGATTATTTATGTACACCGTGTCCTAAATCAACAAGAAAAAGGGAACAGGAAATGAGCGCAGAGAGCAAGAGACACGAGATCATGCCTTCCAGGTTGCTTTACCCACAGGCCGAGTGGTTGTGCGTGGGGACGTTTACACAGAGCCTGGGGCAGAACTTGAAGATCCGGGTTCCTCGGACACATTCGTGTGTTATGATTGTAGAAGGAAAGCTGGGACAAAGCTATGGCTCCCGCCTAAGCAGCTCCTGGCACATGACCACCTGCAATGGTCAATTTGCCGTGATCCTCAAATATGAATAACGAGCACACTGAGGTGGCTCCTGTCCCCCACAAGGTGTTCACACCACCCTCTCTCCCTGCTACATGCTTGTTTCTCTCGGCTGTGGATTCCGCAGCCACCACGTGCTCCTCCGCTGGGGGTGAGGCCCAGTGTCCAGCGGCCCTGCCCAGGCCTCTTCATCCTTGTCTGGCTTCCAGCCTAACCCCGTCAACTGCTTGCCTGAGTTTTGATTCCAGCGATCCGTACTTGCCATGTGACCTTGGACGAGGCACCTGCCCTCGCCGAGCCCCGTTCCCTAATTTGTAAATTGGAGAAAGGAGTAGTTTCTATGTCCTGGGGTTATTTTGAGGATGAAGTAAGTTGGCGCACGCCGGGTACTTAGCGTGCTACCTGCCCGTAGGAACCCCTGAGCTTGCACTGTGCGCTGTCACCACTGTTCCTTGCGGTGCCGTTCTGCAGGGGAGGGGAGGGGACGAGAGGGGCCCTGTGGGTGGCGGGTGTTGTCTTGGAGCCCTGGGGTGCTTCTCACCTGAGACACAGAGATGACGATGCGCTCCCCTTGCAGAGATGTAGCATTCGGGGTCAGCCGCAGGTTCTCCAGGAGCAGCTGTTGGCAGGCGACCACGTGGTAGCGCAGTACCTGGGGCATAAGGCCCTGCCTGTCCCAGTCTCTGACCTGTGGGAGAGGGGGGTTGCTCGGGGGACCTGGCTGTGGCTGCCCCCTGACCCCTGGGCCCCCCTGGACCTCCCTCCAGGCCCCTGAGCACCCCAGAACTTCCCCCAGGCCCCTGAACCCCCCGGAAGGAGGCTGTCATGCTGTCGCCCAGGCCTGGTGACACGTGCGCGGGGTCCTCGCCAGTGCCCTGCGTACAAGGCAGCCTCGCAGCAGGAGGGCCCCAGGGTCCCTGGCCTCACAGTCACCTCAAGTGTGGTGGGGCCCAGAGTCCCGTGTGCAAACTGTGGGGGACACTGCATGGTACCCCCCGGGGGCACCGGGCCCGATATAGACCTGCAGCGTGGACACCATCATGGCACTTCCCCATGTGAGCCAGCGCACGAGCACTGTTCACCATGAACAAACAGCAGGATGAGGAGGAAGAGCCACAGATCCTCATGGTCTCACAAGATCCCTCCTGACACTTATTACAGAAAAACTATTGAATGTCCACATCCTCCAATAGGTATTTGTGCAGTTGGCTTCAGGGTGTCCAGAGCGCGTGCATGGGGGGTACTGTGTGCGGAGGGGTGCAGGCTCTGTAGTCAGCAGCCCGTCCTCGCTCCCCACTTGTTAGTCCTACAGCCTCAGGACGGCCTGGCCCGCAGAGTGGGGACAGCAGCACCCAGTGACAGCGTTGCAGTGAACTAGCCTGGGCCGGGTCCCAGACACAGTGTCTGGCACACTCGGTACATGTCTGCTACCTCATTATATGCCAACGGGTAACCCAGCAGGAAGAGTCCCAGTGAAGCTTAGGGTGCTAGAGGCTCCGGTAAGGTGCACAAGAAAAAAGACTTATTTAAATTACTTTAATCCAGCTTTGCTTTGTTTTACTTACTTTTCTTTCTTTCTTTTCTTTCTTTCTTTCTTTCTTTCTTTCTTTCTTTCTCCTTCCTTCCTTCCTTCCTTCCTTCCTTCCTTCCTTCCTTCCTTCCTTCCTTCCTTCCTTCCTTCTTCCCTTCCCTTCCCTTCCCTTCCCTTCCCTTCCCTTCCCTTCCCTTCCCTTCCCTTCCCTTCCCTTCCCTTCCCTTCCCTTCCCTTCTTTCTTTTTTGTCTATGGAAGGTTTGGATTATTTAAGAATTGTTAAATGTTTCCAACCTCCTACCCTACACAGGAATGTAGGCCTCTGGCCATTGCATCCCAAATCCACTTAAATCCTTTCCCTCTATAGGGCCCCTATGCTGAGTGGCAGCCTGCTCCATGGCAGATTGCATCTAGCTCATCCTAAACCTTCCACCCAGAAATGTCTCCAGCATTGGGTCCAGGGTGACACCCAAGCACCAGGTGCCAGCCAGTCCCAGACCTCTTCTGCTCGCCTTCACACTTACCCGAGGCTCCTCATCGAAGGCTGTGGATAAAGGTGCAAAGACGGTGTAGGGGCCTGGGCCGCTCAGGTCTCGGACAGAATGCTCCTGTGGGAAGGAAGGTGGGGCCACATCCTCCTTAATATCATCATGGGGACGGGGTTCCAACAAATAGCAGACAGAGTTGAAGGTGGCAGAGCCAAGTGATCACCAAACTGGACACTCTGTGTTTCATTTAGTCTTGAATTCAGTCATCCCAATTCTTTTAATCTAATTTAGTTGAATTTATTAATTTCCTTAGCAAGAGCACATGAGTGGGGAAGGGGAAGGGCAGAGGGAGAGGGAGAGACTCTCAGGTGGCTCCCCACTGAGGGCAGAACCTGATGTGGGGGCTCTGCCTCACGGCCCTGAGATCATGACCAAAACTGACATCGAGAATCGGATGCTGAACCAATGGAGCCGTGCAGGTGCCCACATTCATTCCAATTCGATATTATTGAAATGTTTATTTTCATATGGTCACAAAAATAACATATGCTTATTGTAATAGAGACTGGAAAAGCCAGCATGGAGGAGGAAATGAGCACCCTAATCCCACTGCGCTCTCTGGACCTTATGTGGATGCACAATGCGTGTAAAGATCTCACTTACTATCTTCACCCAAAGACTCAGCCAATCGCCCCAGTGATGCTTCCTTCCTGGTGTGACGGCCATTTGTGCGCACGCCTGCGTGCTCATGTGTAGAATGGCCCAGGGTGGCATTGGTTGCACACTTGCTGCCCGTGCCCACTCGAAGCCCGAGAAGTTCCCAAGTGACCAACAGGGACCCTACTTCAGGAGTTCAGCTCCCGGACTTCCTTTTCTCATCCCCAACCTCAGAGGCCCCATCCACTTGCATATCTGGCTGCAGACCCCAGCCCTTCCACTCTCGACACACACACACGTCCTTACCAGCAGCTGGAAGAAATACTGTGACGTTTTTGGGTTCTTGGGAAGCTCCTGGAAACAAAGATGGGGTAGGGCCACTTTAGCTCTGGGAGTTCTTGCAACAACAATCAGGGCTGTCACAGGACAATTTCTCTACGGTGGAGACTCTGTTATATTTTCATCAGGAAATCTGCCCCAGGGGGCCTTTCTCAAGTCCCACCCACAGGCCCCCACGGATGTTCAGAACGACTCTGGGGACGTGCTGTGAGTTCCCAAACCTTTCTGGAGTCACCATCTGATTCATCAGAGAAAGGGCCCACCATTTCCAGGAGCAGTGGAGCTTTCAGTGCATTTTTAAAAGTTCAAATATTAAAAAAAAATCGGTTATGGGGTTTGTGGCAGATTTCATTTCTCCGTGAACAAGAATATTCTTGTTAGCCACAGTGCTGCGGTCCCTCTTGAAACCAGATAACAGAACATCCACGTTATAAAGGGGTAGAAACCCACAAGGGTCACACAGCCTCATCCTTGGTGTAGACACTCATGTGCATGCACACACTGGGCACTGCAGGAGCCACCACAGCAGAGTCACCTGTCACATACGTTACCTCTGATAACAACTCGATAGACTTGGTACCATTAATATTTGTTTTATGAATTAGAGAGCGGACGTGTAAGGAGATGATGTCAGTACCCAGGGCCACATCTCTAATGGGCAGAGTTGAATTCCAACCCAGGGGCCTCTGACTTGGAGAATTCCCGCTGGTACATACAACCCCTTTTCACTCCCAAGTGACGTAAGAACAGTCTTTCACATTTGTGTAGAGTTTTACGAGCTACAAGACGCTTGCCTCTTCCTTGGGGAGCCTGGATTTTTAGCACCGTGGGGGTGTTGGGTTTACTTGATAGGCACATGCCTTTCCTTACCTGGTAGATGTTGCCACGGCAGGTGAACCCATCCCCGATGTAGTTGGGCTTGCAGGTGCACGTCCTTTCTTCTCGCCCCGTGTGGTTGCACACGGCAAATTCACTACAGCCACCATTTTTCTGGTAACATTTCCAAAGGGGGTTGGGGGTCAGACCAACGTGTCTCCCAGTGCCAATATTCACGAAGCAGTTCTGCACTGACATTTATTTTTTTGACTCATTCTCTGACTTGTTTGCAGAATTTGCCCCTCTCATGAACTCATGTCTCAGTTCCTAGATTTGGAAGGGCCATTTGTCCACACACCATCCCGAGATGCTCGAGTCCCACCCAGCAGATGTCCAGCCCCGTGCAGACAGGCCCAGAGGTGCCACATGGAACATTTCTTGGCCAGAAAGTCACCAATCCTGTCTGACAATTCCCAGCTTTCGGCTTAAACTCCAATCTCGTAAGAGCCAAGGAAACAGTCGTCAGCTGGGAGGCTACGGGTAGAAAGCAGGACACGCCATCCTGGTTCCACAAAGGGCCTAAACCTCTGGGAGCTGGGATGGAGAGCTAACATGGAAACAGCAGAGCAGCTTTCAGAGCGGATGCCTGTGGGGGTCCCGGGAAGGACTGCGTAGCCCAGGCTGTTTCTAAAGTGGGGAGAAGGTAAATTCAGGAGAAAGAACCCTGCGGGGATGATGGGCAAGGAAGGCAATGGACCCAAACTCCTGCGGTGAACGCCTCTGACCTCCTCTTCCTCCAGCTCGGCTCCTGGAGGCCCTGGGAGGTGGCACCCAGCGGGGGCGCTGCCTGACTCCTGCCCGGCTGCCAGCTCCGTGAGCTCTCCCGACTGGCCTCCTACAGACCACTCACCATCTCCCCCAGGTACCCGGATTTGACTCTGGGTTTGGAGCTGCCACCGGATGTGGACACTGTGTAGGCACGGCACGGCGGCTCCCCTGCATGGACCCAGGCCCCACCGAGGGCCCAGGACCGACCCCTCCCTGCCACAGGGCGTCGTTATCTCAGTCCACACAGAGGCCTGGGACCTTGCGCCCCCCCCCACCAGGCAGACGCCCCCCCCCCCCCCCGGCGGACACCTTCCCCACTTGGCTGACGCCCTCCACAGCACCCCTTCCTGCCCCACGAGCCCTTCCCGGGCCTTCCGCACTCATCACCTCTACTCGGGTCCCCACACTCTCCGCCTCTCCCCACAGAAGTCTATCGGCCTCTCTATCTGCCTCTCTGGAGAGGGACTATCCCGCAGACACTATGTCCCGCACCCCGAGGAGCTCTTCCTGCCTCACCCTCACTTCAGGGGCTCCAGGAGTGGGGCGCTGGGCGGGGGGGTGGGCAAGGTGTTGGGCTCATTGCTCTTCCTCGACTGCCTCAGAGCACCTCAACTCTCTCATCCTTCCCAGGCACCCCCCAACCCTGCACACTGGGAACCCCCGACCCCTGACCCAAGCAGGTGCCTGGCCACCACCTTCCCCTCTACATGGTCATGGTCCTCAGGGGCATCGACACCCCTGTCAAGGGTCTGCCTGCCAGGAAGCACTCTGCTCTGCCCCCACGTGACCCCATCCTGCCTTTGTCTCTGTCAAGGCCCTGCCCTCGCCCACCCCTCCTCTGACTGCAGGGCCCTTTCCTCCTTGGAGCCACTTCTTCATCCCTGCATTCCCACCCACTTGCTGGCCCCCCTGCTCCCCACCTGTGTTCCACGGGATGGCCCCACAACTGCCCCCCTAGGCTGGCCTGACCCCAGGGTGCTGCCACTTGACTCCCTTCCAAGTCCTTATAGGACTACTCAGGCTTCCGTGCTCCTCCAGCGCCTTTAAATTCCTGTGTCCCCAGAGAAGCCACTTGATACCCTCAGTGGTCCCTGCACCTGCCAGCCCCTGGCCCTGGCCCCCAGCTCACCCCTCAGCCCACACCCCAGGGAGAAAGGACACACAACCACCCCAACCTCCCGCTGCCCCCCCACTGTTCCCCAGGCTGCTTTCCTTCCTAAACAACTAAAGGGGCCACAGGGGTCTCTCCTCACTCAGGGCCAACTCTCTACAGGAACACACTAGGCGGCTTGGTCACTGATGAGCTCCCAGTGCCCACATGGGCCTGGTACCCAGGGGACAGCCACCGACCCGGGTGTCCCCCAGATATGGAGACATTCGAGCACCAAGGTCCTCGCAGGACTAACAGGGTGTTGGAATGTGGTCAGACAGGCTGATCCACAGTCAGGGCTACGTGCAGTACGTGACTAGGAGGGACAGTAACTGGCTGGCTGACTGACCAATTGAACCGACTACCTACCTACCTGGCTGCCTGCTTGGTTGACCCACTGACCTCCTACCTGCCTCCCTACTACTGGCCCTGTGCCCTAGGGCTCAGCAGGGGGCTCTGGGCCCCCTCCTCCTCACCCATGTACCTGCCTTCCTCCCCTCACAATCCACCTTCCCTCCTTCAGGAGGCATTTCCTTCTCTCTACTGGGTCATACTCATCAGCAGGAAAACATACTTTACTACAAGCACCGCAAGATGTGACCAAGGGTGCTGCCTTCGAGGGAGATGGACACGGGTTCAAGTTCTGACCACGCTGTGTGCTCACTCAACACCTAATGGGTCTGTCCATGTCCTCAGCCCTGGGGTCATGAATGTGACCTTGTTTGGAGAGTCCCTGCGGAGGTGACTAAGGACCCTGAGGTGAAGCAGGAGGAGTCTTCAGGGCCTGACTAGGAGAGGACCTGATGCCTGCACAGAGGTGGAGGCCATGCGGAGAGGAGGGGAGGCAGAGAAGGGGTCTCTCCAACGACAGCTGGAACAAGGGGGAACTGGGCCTCCTCCTGGGCCACCCCGGCCAGGCTGCTGCCACGTAGCCCCAGGCCTGACTCACCGTAAGGCAGGTGTTGATGAGCGTGCAGACCTTCCCGTCTCCGGTGTATTTGGGCAAACAGTTACAGACTGCCTGTGGGGTGGGGGTGGGGGGTGGGTAGTGGGTTACTTCCCCAAACACTGTGCAGGCTTCACACTCAGTGCTGCATGGCCATGGCCATGCCACAGGCATCTCTATTTGGTATGGGGGTGTCCAGCTGCTGTGGGAAATGTCACCTTATAGCCCAGCTTTGCGGCTGAAAAGCCATGGCCATGTGGCTCACCCCGAGGTCTTGGTGTCTCCGTGCCCATGGCGCCCGAGTGGCAGGGGCTTTGGAACCACTTGAGGGGCACAGGTAGAAACAGTCAGAGCCACCATTTGGCCCAGGAGGTGGGGGGGGGCTCCAAGCTGAGGGAGGGGACACCATCTGCAGGAGGCTGGGGACAGTCTTCTCACCCTCATTGCTGCGGTGTTCTGCTTAGGAACTCGCAGGCATAGAGCCAGGGGGCTGAGGCCCAGCCATGCTCTGGCTACCACACCATGCACCCCCGGGGCAGGGCACCTGGTTCTGGTGTGTCCATCAGCCAGGTGGCTTTTCCAGTCCACATAAAGCCTCTCCCCAGGACAGGGGCTTGGGTGTGATGTCCCCGTGTTGGAGCCTGAGGTCACGGCCAGGGCCAGGTGTCCACTCCTCTGCTTCTTCCTTCATTATGTGCCCTGACCTCAGCCCCTGACCTCTCCCAAGACCCCACCCTGTCCCTGGCCACTGTCCTGGGCTGAGGTCCTGTCTCAGAGGTGCGGTGTTCCTCTCATGGCCTTTTAGGTCTGGAGGAGGATTTGCAGACGGCCCGGGCACCATGTGCTTCGAGGTGTTCCTTCCTCCACAGGTGGCTTGACAGAAGAGCTCTGCTGAGCCCTAAAATATGTCTAAGGTAGTCCACCACTCACTTTGCTGGGTTCCCTAAGACATACATGTAGTTCTTTCAAAACAAGTGTGATTTTTTCTTTATTTTTGGGTGCTTTATGCACCTGCTTGTACTGCCCATTGAGAGACCCGGTACTGAGGTCGGGGGCCTAACAAGGTCCATAGAACATGCCCTGGGGACTTCACTTCATCGTGCAGCTTCTGATGGAGCTCACTGCCTGGCCGCTATGCTGGCTCCAGCTGCACGGTGTGCTGTGCGGAGTGAAACACGGCCGAGAGGGCTGAAAACCGCCACGGTCTGCCATGGCCTATGTATTTCAGAGCCTTGGGCCAGGGAAAAAGTGTGGAATTTGGACCTCAGAGAGCCGAGCATTGTTGGAAACTTTCCAGATGCTTCTGCGACTGTGTGGTGTTGGCCGCTGTTTACGTCTCCCCCGTGGGAGGAAGCCACTTCTAGGGACCCTGTCTGCACTCACTGCCACCACTTCTCAGTCCCAAAGAATGACCCCTGGGAATTCGTTCAGATTTCCCCCTAAAGGATTTGTTTTACTCTGCTGGTGCTCACAGACCTGTTCTCAGCTCCCTTCCTCAGGTCTGGGTCTGAAGACACAGGAATTCGGTCAATTTGGTCAGAGGAAGTCCTAGGGCCCTGGCAGGCAGAGCTCACCTGGTTGGGTCCTGTCTGCGTGCACTCTGCATTCCTGTGACAGCCACCGTTGTTCTCCAAACACGGGTTAATCTCTAAAACAAAAAGCCAATGCTTGGCATGACAATCAAGGCTCCTTTTCAAGTAGAGACACTTGAGGAACCAGGCGGGCCCTCTAACTGAACTAGGGGAGGGGCGTCTGCCCTCCACGTAACCCACCAGGTTCCTCAGAATCAGCTCCTTTGGGAGGGATGGTGCCCGGAGGCACAGTCTGTGGGCTTGCATCTGTCCCTTTACTGAATAGCATGAGCACTGTCAGCCAAGGACTTGAAATAATAGTCTCAGAGCCTCATCTACCATGTTGTGAAGGAAAACATTCAGGGATTAAACCAGCCGCTTGTAACTATCATAGCAGATTTGCTTCAGGGAGAATCATCGACAGAGCCTCCACCTAGGAGGACGGTTAACGAGGAACAGGGTATTTGCGTGGTGTTAAGGTAGCTCTGCGCGAATTGCTTATCAGTGGCTAAGGGGAAAGGCAGCTGTGTGTGGAGACCACAGATGAGAGGCAGCTGGAAACCCTGAGCCCGCAGGGCGATACCCTGAGCAGGACGCACGCAGGGTCACTGCTGTGATGCTACGTCTGCAGTGCACCACCTTGACAGGATCATGAGCAAACATCAGACAAACCCCAAATCAAGGACGTGCTATGAAAACCAGTTCGGGTGGGGGCTGTATTCTCCCCAAACGTCAATGTCATAAAAGAAAGCAAGGGAGGGGAACCATCCCCAATTCAAGGAGACTGAAAAGACGTGGCCGCTAACCACAACGCCCATCCCTAAACGGGATCCTGCGCTAGAGGAAAAATATGCCCAAACAGGACATTATTGGGTCAGCGACAAAACCCGAATACAAAGTACCACATCAATAGTGAAGTGACTGACGTTGGTAACTCTGGGGGGTGTGAGAATTTACGCTCACTCTCGAATATGCTCGAGTGTCCACACATAAAGGGAATGTGATACACACAGTCAACGATCTGAAGGGTGGTTATTTCCAGAATGTACCCTCTCGCAGCGCATATGCATTCTCCAATTTTTCTACGGTGAGAATGTGCTACTGTGTAAAAAATAATAAGTGTCAAACAAAATTCAGTCACCACCATAACATCTAACTGGAGAAAGTCTCTCCCTTTTTCCCTTTTTGAGTGACTTTCGGACATCGCACCCCCTGAACAGCTGTGGCCACATTTCCATACCCTCTTGCCTTCCCGGCTACATCCACGTAAAGGTGGTTCTGGGGCACCCTGCCCTGCTGGCGGGGTCACTGAGCAGGGCCCTGACTCCTAAGCAGGGCTCTGGGCCGGGCGAACGGCTGCTACCCACCGAGGCACACGACACCGTCACCCGTGTAGCCTGCCCGGCACACGCAGCGCCGGCCTCCCGGTGTGGTTCTCCTGCAGTCGGCCTCCGAGGAGCAGCCCCCGTTGCTGGTCTCGCAGGCGTTGATGGCTGCAGGGGAGAAGTGGGACTGAGCGTGAGTGGTCGGGGAGCCAGCGACGCTGCGTCCCCTGGGCAGAAATGGACAGTGCTTCCACATGTCAGGTGCTGGACTGCGTGTGAATGATTCAAGGCAGCGCAGGGCACTGGGTGTCTTAACTGCTTGATTCTACTGGACATTTAAGGAAGGACAGGTACCAGATTTTCACAAACGCTTCCAAAAGCGAGACGAGGGGAGATCCAATGAGGCCACTATTGCCCTGACACCAAAGCCAGACAGGGCCAGCCCAGGATATTACCAACCAGTATTGGTACAGCCCAGTGTAAATGCAAAACTCCTCAAGAAAGGAGCCTGGGGGCTCGGCAGCTGGGCATCCGCCTTCAGCTCAGGTCCCAAGATTTGAGTCCCGCCTCGGGCTCCCTGCAGGGAGCTTGCTTCTCCCTCTGCCTGTGTCTCTCATGAATGAATAAATAAAAAAAAAATTCTAAGAAAAAAACTCCTCAAGAAAACACTTGTAAGTCAAATTAGAAAATGTATAGAAAGAATCGTGCCCCATAACCAAGTGGGAATTTGGGTGCAAGGTGGCTTCACATTTAAAAATCAATGAATGGGGATCCCTGGGTGGCGCAGCGGTTTGGCGCCTGCCTTTGGCCCAGGGCGCGATCCTGGAGACCCGGGATCGAATCCCACGTCGGGCTCCCAGTGCATGGAGCCTGCTTCTCCCTCTGCCTGTGTCTCTGCCTCTCTCTCTCTGTGTGTGACTATCATAAATAAATAAAAAAATTTAAAAAAAATAAAAAAAAAAAAATCAATGAATGTACCGCAGTGTATCAATAGAACTAAAGACAAACCCACACGCTCATCTCAAGAGAAGGAACAAAGCACTGGGCAAGACTCAGTGCCTTTAGTAATAAAAACTCAATAGGCAAAGAATAAAGGAAACTTCCTTAACCTGATAAAAGGATCTCTATATATAGAATGGAATCGAGAGCCCAGAAACAAGCTCATTTACCCAAGGGCAACTGATTTTCCACAAAGATGCCAACAAATTTCAATGGGGGAAAGAATAATCGTTCCAACAAATGAGACGGAGACCATTGGATCTTCACATACAGAAGAAGGAACCTGCACCTCAGCCTCACAACCTGTACACAAATTAATTCAAAGTATTTCGAAGACCCAGATCCACTCAGAGTTCCCTCATGTGACCGTGGACAAGTGGCTCAGTGACCGTGACCCTTGGGGTCCACCCACAGAGGTCTGTACACAAGCTCAGAGACCCTGACCTGAAAACGTATATGAAAGTGCTACAGAAGTGCTGGCTCGTCTCGTATTAACTTGTGTCCTCCCACTTTTGGGTGTTTTTTCCTAAAAACTGAGGGCAAGAAAACCGCTCCAGCTGCTGTTCCCTTCAACTGTTCTCACTGGCATACTGTTCCTACTGTCAGGGACGTCTGGGGCTGGGGTCAGGGTGTGTGCAGGCTGGGACAGTCCCCAGGGTAAGGCGGTCTAGAAGCAGGTGGTGGGTTCGCCACGTGGCTGCACTGTCACCTGGACCGAAGCTTGCCTGCACGAGGTGCGCCAGGGAAAAAGGGCACCCAGCGTTCCTGTCGTTACAGCAGCAAATACGTGGTGGGAGCCGCAGCGGGGAATCAGCTCACGTGGGCTGAGATTAGCTGTGTGCCAGGCTGGTCTGAGGACCGTCCAGGGGTTAGCCCAGGCCGGTAGCCAGGGGTCGGGGTGGGCAGGGGGCGGGGGGAGTCTCTGAGTATTTACTACCTCCAGAGAAAAAAAGAAAGATGACACAAAGATGAGCCAAGCGACTGTCCATAGGTAAGAGAAGTTGTAGGAACTGGGACTGGAAGCTAGGGGGATGTGAGGCTGCCTCGTCCTGGGTTACACAGGAAGGAGGCTTCACCCCAAACTGCTATGCAGGGCAGACAGTGACTGAGGGGGTGCACAGCAGGTGAGACAGCTGCCCTGCCACCTGGGAGGCAGGGGGGAGCATGGGGTCCAGCCATTGTCCCACCCCAGAGTCCCCAAGCCTGGGCCACACCTACGCCCATCACAGCAGGACTTTTAAAGTTGTTCAGGTGAACTTGTCGGTTGCCCTCAAGGCTGTGACCCACTATTTGGGGAAGAAAACAGGTGCAGGGGGCCTGGGCATCCCTAAACCAACAGGGGTCCTTCCGTGAGCAGCAGCTCCCTCGCCTGGGGGCACAGCCAGGGCCCGTGAAGGCCAGTTTGGCCTCAGTGGCCGGCAGTGGCTGCCCCCGCAGGCCCCACCTCACTTGCCTGTGCACACGGTCCCATTCCCTTGGAATCCTGCTGCACATCTGCAGGAGGCTGTGCCGTTGGCATTGAGGAGGCAGCTGCAATGAGAAAGGGCAAGTGCCATCGACAAAAGAAAACAAAAACCACCCAAACCCAGAAGCCCAAACTCAGGAACCACCTGCGGCCACCCTGTCCACCCCTGGCCCCCTGGCCCCGCCCCCACGGGTACTCAAAGGTCTCGGCTCAGCCCTGGCAGAAGGGGCCTTCCTAGCGTGGCCCTGCCTGGGCAGTGAGCACTGTGCACTGCACTCACGTACCATTGGCCCGCAGGGAGGGTGAGGCACCCCAGCCCGCACTGGGCCTGGAGCATTCATGAAGAATGAACGGGGTGCTTGGGTGGCTCAGTGGTTGAGTGTCTGTCTTTGGCTCAGGGCTTGACCCCGGGGGGTCCTGGGATCGAGTCCCGCATTGGGGTCCCCACAGCAGTGTCCCCGCAGGGAGCCTGCTTCTCCCTCTGCCTGTATCTCTGCCTCTCTCTCTCTCTCTCTCTCTGTGTGTCTCTCAAGAATAAATAAATAAAATCTTAAAAAAAAAAGGTTGGCTCTGGCAAGGTGATGGCAGCCTTTTCAGAGCGAATTGTCGTTTCATACTTGATTGTGTCCTAACTCCTCAGAAATGGTCTCAGGACATGACGGCCCCGAGGTGGACGCTATGAGGGAAGGTCCTGTTTGCCTCAGCCCCAAAGGAAGCTTCAAGGTACATACTTGGCACTAGTGTGGCATGTCCCATGGCAGTCGTCTTCTGTGACCTCTGGAAAACAAAACCACTGGGTCAGTCCTTTCCCACACCCTGCCTGAAGGACTGTCTTGGGGGGTTGATCCTGAGGAAAGATGTAATGTCTCAGAAGTAATGATACGCATCATGTGAACTTTGTAAAACTTAGTGATCTTGTGAGCCCCCCACCCCTTTTTTTGCATTGGCTGCCAGGAAGCTCCGAGCCCAGTCAGCAGGGCAAATATGCTGATGGAGTGTGTGCTGCATGCCAGGCCCTGTGCTGCAGTGAGCGCACAGGAGGGGAAAACACAGTCTCCAAACTCAGGATCTGCATCCGGATGCGTGTTCCTCTCTGGGGCCTGATTCTCCACTTTGGTTTATATCTCCTATGTTCCTTATTCTTTCTAGGTTTTCATTGTTTTATTAGAGAGAGATATAAACAAAGAAAACCTCATTACAACTAATATTAAAAGGTTTTTTTTTTCCTCCTTTCATATATGCAAAAATAACCCAGGGCCACATAGGCATTCAGCAGGCACCTGTTATCTATTAGTCCAATTCATTCCTAAATTTCCTGTGCTCGGAGGCCCAGCTAGCGCATTTCCCCGCTGGGCAGATCCAGAAAGAAATCATTGGAGATAAAGGAGGAGGCCCTAGGGGGCAGGTGCTCATGCTAAGAGCTTGGGGACGGAGCCTCATTAAAGCGCACGTCCCACAGAAGGTCCTGACCACAGGGGTGGTGGCCCGCACTGACAGCCCCGGTTGGGGACAAGGTGCAGCCTGGTGCCTTCCTGCATGCTCTCCCCTCCCCCTCCAATCCCTGTTGCTTGAAATATGCAGGTATTTCAGTCATGTTTTAACTCCTCTCCAAATCTGGGGCTGTGCTTGTTGTTTTATTTTATTTGTTTGTTTAAGAGAGAGAGAGAGCAATCGCATGAGCAGGGACAGGGGCAGAGGGAGAAGCAACTCCCTGCAGGGAGCCCAATGCGGGATCCCGGGAAATCAAATCTTACCTACTGCTACAGGGTGAACGTGAGTCCCCGCCCCCCCCCCCCCCCCCCCCCCCCCCCCCCCCCCCCCCGTCCTATGGGGAAGCCTCATCTCCACCAGGATGGTACTGTGGGCCTGGGGAGCTGGTCCTAAAGGTGGAGGGTGCACAACTGGCTTTAGAGCCTGTCAGAGATCCTGGAGGGCACTCGCGCCTCTTCTGCCCTGTGAGGACATGAGATGGCTCTGCAAGCCAGAGGAGGATTCTCACCTGAACCTGGCGGTGCTAGCACCTCACCTCACACTTCCATCACCCAGGACGCTCAAGAGAAACCTGCTCCTAATACGTCATCTTGTTCACAGTGTTTGTTGCAGTAGCCCGAACCCAGACATCTGTGCTTTGGAAAGTCGTCTGTGACAGTCGTGCGGAGGATGCCACCAGGGGCAGGGGGACAGGTCATGGGGCTCCTGCTGGCAGCCGAGCGAGCGAGCATGAGGGATGGTGGGGTTAGAACAGTGTAGACATGTGAGTGAGGGAGGAGGGAGCAGGACTGGGAGGCCTGGTGGCCAAGCGGCGGCTTCCCTGGGGAAGCAGGTGGGGGAGGACCAGGTCTTCCTTCCAGCAAGGGAAGAAGGAAGAGGGTGTGTGGACCCTATCCTCGGCACATTAAGAAGCATCAGCACAGGGGCGTCCAGGGGGGCCTTGGTTCAGTATCTGACTCTTGGATTCGGCACAGGCCCTGGCCTCAGGTCTTTGTTGTGTTGGGCTCCGTGTTCAGGGGGGACTCTGCTTGAGACCCTCCCTCCCTCTGCCCCTCCCCTGGAGCGTTCTCTCTGTCTGAGGTAAACACGTAAATCTTAAGGAAAAAAAGAGCAACATCAGTGAGTGTGGTGGGGCTGGGGAGATGGGCCCTGTAGTGGGAAAACAGATGGATGCACTCCCTGAAGGACAGTGTGGCATAAGCAGCCAGCCCTTCCCCCAAAGTGCCTGCTCCTCACTTAGAAACCGCATCTCTAGAAACTAGAGTGGGTGAATTAGTTAGACAAATGCAAAAAGATGTGTGTATGAGACATTCACTGCAGCATGACGATGACATGGGAAATCGGTCTCAGAAAGTGTGAGGTAGTTGTGTAACAGACTATCACATGGAAATTAACTGATACTTACTGACATTTATTCACATGGAAAGATATCCATCCCATATTGTGGAATGAGAGCTGCCTGGGGAGCGTGGTGTCACCCTGTATGTTCATACTCCCAGAAAAAGACGGGGCGGTGAACGTAAAATATCAATGATGGCTCTTTCAGGCTGTGGAAAGGTAGGTCTTATTTTCTCCTTTATGCTCTTCTTTTTTTCAAGATTTATTTATGTTTTTGAAAGAGCATGAGCACAAGCAGGGGAGGGGCAGAGGGACAAGCAGACCCCTGCCGAGCAGGGAGCAGGGAGCCCACACAAGGCTCCATCCTGGGATCCTGAGGTCGGAACCTGAGCAGAGCCCCCACGGCGCCCCTAAAGGTGTCATTTCTCATTCAGGAAGACAGAGATGTAGCCCTTCAGAAGCGAGGCTAAGAACTCATCCTGAGGAAGGGGGAGGGGGGCTTGCCCTTACCGGTGTCACATTTCACTCCTCGCCAGCCAGCATCACAGTCACAGGAGCCGTCACCTGAGGGTCCTTGGCTGCATCTCCCGTGGACACAAGAACACACTAAGGGGAGATCGAAGTGGGATACAGGGCAGAAGAAAACTGTTACATGTCCTCACTACCGCAGCCCACCGCCAAGTCCTTCAAACAGGCAAACGGACCTCCCTCCAGGGGCTCAGCCGCCCAGAGGCTGATCCCTTGCTGAGGGCAAAGGTGATCTCAGCCCAAGCCCTAGGACCTGGTGAGTCTACTCTGACATAGAAAACCTCCTCTGGAAACTTCCTTTATCTCTACACCCCCAAGATCCATGTTGGCAACCACCCCCAAGCATAAGGCCCACTGATATACATCTAGGGGTCTCATGACTGAGTTTTTACAAAACAGTAATAAATGATCCTTCCTAACAATAGCTGGGCTCCTAGGGATCCTGGAAACCTTGTCTCCAAAACACCCGGGAGGCTTCCGCTCTCCATACCCACCTCCCAACCTGAGAGTCTACACTGTGCCCTCCCCGTGACCCTGGTGCAGCTCTTCCTGTCCGTGAGTCCTGTCCGGGTGTTCTAACAAAACCACTTTTCTACCAAAGACATCTCAAAATTCTTTCCTGGCCGCTGGCTTCAAGCTCTAATGTCTTTCCTACATCGGAAAAGCACCCACAGGTCGTTAGACCTTGGACCCATGTTCAGGGATCGTTTACTAGAAGCAGCTCTTCACACGAAGGGCACCTCGGTCTCTAGCCTGGTTCCAGAGAATCACTGTCTTCATTGGGCTGGGCTGGCAGGAGGGGCAGGGGCAGGGGCAGAGTCGGACCAGGTCGTGACCTGTGGGACTGGGTCGCACTGTGGGTCGGTGACCCATGCGGGGCTAGTGTGCTCAGCTGAGGCTATCTGAGGACGCAGGGCGACACCTGGATGGGATCAGGTTGGCTCCCTAGGGTCTGTCCACTAGGTGTGTGGACCTGCGGTGGGTCCTTGGTCACCTGACAGCGCCGCCTCTGAGAACTGGCGGGAAGCCTTGGGGTGGATGCCTTCCCCCCAGTAAGGCGTTCAGCCATGGGGCTCAGATGGCCCCAGGAAGGTAGAATACGGATCCCCCGTGCAGAAGTCCTGCACACGTGAAAGCAGAAGATGCTTCCAAATGATAGAAAGGGGGGTGGTGCTAGACTTGCAAGTATGTGTTATGTGGTCCAAGGACAAGGATCCCCTTATATACAGATTTTGTCTGGCTTGGAGGAACTGATGACAAAGCAGTGACACCAGCGGCAACGTATGGCTTTTAGGGCAGAGATGAGAAAAATGCCTTGTTTTCTCATTATGGGATAGGAACCTGTTCCCAAGCATGTGTCCTCCCCGGAGGAAGTCCGGGTCAGAGAATGCAAACATCTGATGATTTTTGCGAAATCAGCTTAAAGCCTGTGGCCTGCTGACGGTGAATTAATGATCTGCCGGCAAGGGACAGCACAACTCAAAGGCAAGACTCCCGGGCCCAGCAAGACATGCATTCAAATATCAGGCCTCCCCCGGGGGCAACCTCGGGGGAAGCCCTGCAGCCTGGCCTTCACACACAGGCCCACCTGTGAGAGAGGCGCACGCAAGGTACGTGGGTGGAGCCGGACACCTAGCACCCACGGGCGCTTCAACTCTCAAGCAATGTCTGGGCCTGAGAGGCTAGCTGCGGGGCCAGCGCACAGGCAGACGGGAGGCCGCAGTTGGCTGCGGGGCAAGGAACAGATGGCAGGGCGGTCAGGGGGGTGGGAGGGTGCGATTAGTGACCTGAGAGTGTTTGAAAACCGGGTTCTATGCAAACAACCCAATCCAGACATCCTTATAATCCCCAGGATGACGGAGGTGGGGCTGGGGGGGGGTACCCTGGGGAGGCGGCGGAGCAGTGGGGGTGGAGCAGGCAGGGTGCACACCTTGGTCGCAGTGGGCCCCATAGGCGCCAGGGGTGCAGGTTTCACAGGCCGTGCCCAGGAAGCCTGGTCCACACTCGCAGGCGCCCGTGCCGTTCACGCCGTCCAAGCAGATCCCGTTCCCGAAGCACACGTTTCCCGCTTCCCCGGGGCAGGGCTGGCATTGGGGGCCATAGAAGCCGGCACAGCACTCTCGGGTCTGTAAGGGGGACCAGGCCGGGCTGCACAGGGCAGGGGGGCCCTCCATCCATGGGTTCTGGCCGCTATGGGGTCCAGAAAGTGGGGGGGGGGGGCTGGGTATGCAGAGCTTGGGGGGCTGGGAGAGCAAGGGGAGGGGGACAGGAAGCTTGGGGGGCTGCTGGAGTGAGGGGAGGTGTTGGGACGTGGGGTGGGTGTGGGGAGAGACAGGAATGAGGCCAGAGGGAAAGGAGGGCTGCAGGAACAGAGAAAAGAGTACTGAGGGGGTGGGGGGAATTTAGGAAGAGGAATCATGAGAGACTCCTGACTCTGGGGAGCAAACACAGGGTTGCAGGAGGGGAAGTGGGGGAAATGGGGTGTGACTGGGTGATGGAGGGCACGTGATGGGATGAGCACTGGGCGTTATACTGTATGTTGGTTAATTGAATTTAAATAAAATATTAAAAAACCCAAAAACAACAACAAAAGAATGATGGTGGTGGGGGGTGATTCTCCTCCCCAGGCTCCTGACCCCTGACCCTGTGCTCCTGAGCCCTGACCCTATGCTCCTGACCCCCAGGTCCTGTGCAGGAGAAGCCCTGGGCATTTTGGATGCAGATTTCTTATCTTTCCCAGAAGCCTTACAGACAGACTCTGCCCTTGGCCTGGGGCCCCCTTTCTTCCTGTTCTTTTCATTTTTGATTTTAATTCCAGAACAGTCCACATGCAATGTTATGTTAGTTTCGGGTGCACAATATAGTGATTCAGTAAGTCTGTACGTTACTTAGTGCTCGTCGTTATAAGTGCACTTTTTTGTTAAGATTGTATTTATTTGGGCAGCCCGGGGGGCTCAGTGGTTTAGCGCCGCCTTCAGCTCAGGGCCTGATCCTGGAGACCCGATATGGAGTCCCACGTCAGGCCCCCTGCATGGAGCCTGCTTCTCCCTCTGCCTGTGTCTCTGCCTCTCTCTCTCTCTCTCTGTGCCTCTCATGAATAAATACAATTTTTTTTAAAGATTGTATTTATTTATTCATGACAGAGAGAGAGAGACACAGGCAGAGGAAGAAGCAGGCTCCCTGGGGGGAACCTGATGCAGGACTCGATCCCAGGACCCCGGATCATGCCCTGAGCCAGCGAGGTGCCCCACAAGTCACACTTTAATCCCCTAAACTGCCTTTATTCCCGAAAGCACCAAACTACCCACATCTACACAACTCAGCTCTCATCACATTAAGGGGGCATTACCACAAATCACTGACGATAGTCCCTATGCTGCACTTCTCATCCTTGTCCTGTTTGGTAACTCGAAGTTTGTACCTCACAATCCCCTTCACCTATTTCACTCATTCTCCTCCCACCTCCCCTCTGGCAACTACCAGTTTGTTAGCTCTGTGTTTAAGAACCTGGTTTTTTTTTTTTTTTTTTTTTTTTTTTTGGTTTTGCTTTGTTTTCATTTTTTGGGGTTTGTTTCCTTATTTCCTTGTTTCGTTTTTAGATTCTGCACAGGGAATTATTGACTCACAGTGTCTTACATGCGAAGCGAATATAACATTATATGTTAATTAAACTTCAGTAAAAAAAATAAATGGATGAGCATGGCTGTGTTCCAGTAAAACATTTTTGGATACTGGGAAACAAAACCCAAAAAACCCACAAAACCTTCTGCATCCCCAAGCTCTGCAGCCTAAGGGCTGAATCATCCTGTTTCTGCAGGGTTGGCAGAGGCGATGTCTGGTCTTCTGGGAAAGAAGCAGGATAGGAAGTTATAGAGAATTTTCTTGCATATTCCAAAGCAATAGTGCAGAAATGCTGAGCTCTGGGGCCTGTCTTCTAAACAGCCAGGTGCACCTTCTCTTTCCTTCTGGTCCTGCCGTGACCTGAGGTGGTCCTCCCAGGCTCTCAGTCCTTCACTTTCCTCATAGTGCAAGGGAATATCACAGCTTTATCCTGTTTCCCGACTGAGGTGTCTGTCCTGAGTTTTCCTGCCACCTCTGCTACCTTGTATGGCAGTGACAGCAAGGACAACGAGGGGGAAGAGGAGAGGCAGAAGGATCGACGTGAAGGCATCTGAAAAGTGTGACCTATGATATGACTTCCTGCCAGAACTGGAAGGGCAATTCGATCGTTGTACTCACAATGATGGTCTTCACACATTTTGCCTGGCACCCAATGAACAGGGATCGCTTGCCCATGAAATAGATGGTGTAGATACATCTCTTTATCTCTGTGCCCTGTGGAATGGAGATGCTTGTGTCAGCTCTTTGGTGAGGAGGAAGTTCCAGTTCCTAAGGGCAAGTAGGTGGGTGACATCCTGAGTTTTCTGTGCCTGAAATGTCCTGGACAGGGAAGGGGTTGGCTTCTTGGAGCTGCTTTGTGAAAAGGAGACATGCAAACTCAATATTGGCTGCCAGAACTGAACAGGTGGCAACAGCCAACTGATTACACCTTATAGTGTTTCTGCAACAAGAACTTTGGTCTAGAAAACCAACTCACGTTAGGAAGATTGTCAAGGACATTAGATAAAGACATCCTGCAATAACAAGATTTGAGTCTAGGGAGAGAATCAGCATCGTATCATCACAAATTCTTATTCTCGTGCGATGAAAGGTGCAGAAGCATCTGTTTTTTTGGTCATTATTGGAACATTACCAGAAGTAGCTTTTGTAATAAGTGGCTACGAGAAACCCAGATTGGTTGTCAACTCAAAGACATGTTTACTTCTCCCAAGTTTGCTGTCTGTTTATTGGAGAAAGTTGTAACTTCAAGTGTAAAAGGAAATCAGGCAGGTGACATTCACCCAGATTGGATGTGGTTTTGGGTGTGGAGTCTGCCTTGTCTGATAAGATTTCTTGCTCTTGTCCTCACCTGGCTTCTGGGATTGGAAGATGTAGAAGGTGAAAAATCCCTCCCTGTATTGCACATCAACTGATGTGAACCCCAGCTCCTATTTAGGTATTAATTAAATTTTGCTTTGACCCCCCAAAAAGAAATAGATTCAAGACTTTAGAAAGATGCATATGAGAAGGTAAAATTAAATTAAAACCAAGTGCAAGAATTGAGGGCAGTGAAAATGAGGTGAGCTTGAGGCTCATTTCCTTCCTTCCTTTTTTTTTGAGGTTCTTTGTCTGATTTAGACCTCCTGAGAGCTGCAAACTACTTTGTAAAGCAGACAAAATACTTACCAGTGGTTTAGTTCCAGCTGGGCAGATGGGTTGCTGGAAACACTTCCCACATTTTCCCTTCATAAAGCACAGAGAGGAAAAGTGAACATTTCATGATTATTACTTTTAGTGCAAAGTGAGGCTGCAAGTACTTTTCAGACCTTGGAGTTGAAGGCTTTAGGATATACAACTGTGACTCAGAAAGGTATTAGGGACGTTCATCCAGTCGACCTCTGTCCTATTCACTTAGGCTTGCACTCCAACTACTCGAGGCCTGGGGTGTCTGAGCATCGCTTTCCTCTATAGTACCTTTCTGATGATGCTACTAATCCTTTACCCGGAGGAGGTCTTATCCCATTTACACCCTAATTCCTTTAATAACAGCCTCATGTGTGGAAAACGCACTATTTGGGGAATTGGTCCAGATTCTCGGGCTAAGATGATGGGTCACACTTAACACCCTGTCTTGGGAGCACCCGGGAGCCGAGGGCTTGGCGTACAGAGGATACACGCTGTCCTACAACAATGAGCGCACATGAAGAATGTCAGAAATTTTTAAATGTGACCCATTCCTAGGACAAGAGGAGACTGCTGTGACTAACTCTTAATGTATTCCCACCAGACAGGACAGTGTGGTCCTTCAGGGCTCTGGCTCTGGGGCCTGGATTTAACTCCTTGCCTGCCACTTGCTGGTCCTGTGAACCTGGGAGCATTACTTGACCTCTTGGTGGCTCCCTTTCCCCATCTGTAATATGGGGACAGCAATCATGCCTATTTTGTAGGGTGTCATGAGCACAGATTGATATATGCAACATGTGTATTGACCTGCATAAAATCCTTATAATTATATAAAGTATGGGCATCGCCTGGTGCCTAATAAGTGCCTCCAACATCAGCAGTTGTCACAGTTATGGAAAGGCCCCACACCATCCCATGGGCTGGAGTCCCGGGATTGCATTCTCTGTTACATGGAAATACTCCCATCTCCGTATTTTCTGTCCCAGCAGAGCAGGCGTGGCCAACAGCTGCCTGGGCACACTGTAGGCCCCTCTCTGTGCCTACGTGAGGCCTGGCCTGTTTCTCTCTGGGAAGACAATGGCTTGAGTCTTGCTCTATACAACTCTCCAGGAGGTTCCCTGGCACCGACGCTACGGTTCATTGCGCCGGACTGTGAGCCCACACAGAGGGCAGGGATTGTGTCTTATTTATCTTTGATTCTGCTTCTTCATTCACCACAGATGCTCATTCAGTGTGTTGTTGAACTGAACCGAGAGACCCGGATAGAGGAATCATATGCTTAAGAAAGTCACAAAAAATGAAGCCAACAGTTGCCTCATTGGCCTTGGATATCACTTACTCGCACAATAGTAGTGTCGTTACTGACACACCTGTTCTTCTGAATTTCCAGAACTTTCCCCAAACCGTGGATCACTCCCTTGTCAGTGGCTGCGTTGGTGTAATTTATTGGAGCCTCGTTTACATACAGCTGTGAACAAGAGGGTCGAATGTGAGTTTTATTGTGGGGATTTCGAGGGAAACAGGGAAGCTAAGGGCCCGAGGCTATGACATCCCAGCAGCTGGGGGATGTGTCCGGCAGTATTCCCCTGGAAGGTGACGCCCGCTCGCTCGTAGGAAGTGCTCTCCTCATGGAGGGGAGTCTGGGTGACAGGCCCGCATCTGGCACCGTGTTGTTGTGTGTGGGACCTGGACTCTGTAACTTTCCTCTCTCAACCTCAGTTTCCTCTTTTGTAAAAGGAAGAGGCTGCTCTAGATCACCGTAAGGTCTCTTTCCACCCTCATGTTAGTTGATTTGTGACTGAAGAATCCTGACTCACGACGGTCACATGAGTCTCACTGGCAAAAGGGCTGTGTGGGCAAGCTCAGCTGTGCCCGGGCAGTGGCCCTGGCGGTCTGAGCACCTGCCCAAACCAGGCACGGAGAACGACCCGCGCTGGCCTCTCAGCACCCCTGTCCGGTAACTTGTAAGCAACCTGCAGAAAGGCCAAGCCACGGGCACTTAAGAAAAAAAAAAATGAGCATTTTTTTAGTGTTTTTGCTTGTGAAAAGTGTTCCAGTGGGTGGTACCCTCTCCCGGGGCATGGTGTGTGCTGTGAGGTTCTGTGGTATACACTGGTGACTCAGATTCAAGTCTGAGCTGAAACTTGTTTTGTTTTGTTTTAGGAGAGACCACTGGGATGATTGAGTGATGCAAAACAAGCAAATCCATCCATTCATTCATCAGTATAAATAATATAATCGGGAACAAATTGTTCTTTAAAGAAATTGGAGAGAGAGCGTGCGTGCGTGCATGTAGGTGTGGGGTGGGAGAGGGGGATCCTTATTGTCCGAAGGAAACGTTGAGTTTGGATCCAGTAAGGGTTTTAGAATGACGGATAACATGCCCACGTTTTCTGCAGCCGTGATACTGAAATGACTCCTTGTAGGTGCTGAAATGTGAACTGCCCTGGCTCGTCCAAGGCCCTTATGATTCAGCTGGAATCAGATGAATTTCCGCTGGGCGTAGAGACAAATCGCGGTGGACCCCACAGAGGTGGAGTCTGAGATTGGGAAAGCAGCGGGAGGCTGGAGGCTGGTGTCAGTGGGGCTGCAGCACAGACGCCCCAAACCGGAGACACGGAGCTGCTTGAGAATCAACAAAATGATGGGACTTCTGATGACGTAACCCTGTGGATGTGGCCTTAAAAAGAGTCTGAATAATTCTCATTCTCAAGTGCACTGTGTGCTGCATTGCAATTCTTATCTGAGCGCAAGTTAGCTGGTTGTGAGGGCTTTCCCCGCAGCTCCCTCGCCCCTCGAGGAAGGGAAGAGCAGAACCCGGACTGGGACGTAGAAGCATTTGTGTAGTATGAGGTAAAGATTGCTTTGGACCCAAGGATTTCCAACCAACCGGGAAATAAACGTGACAGAGCTGACCCTGATTCAAGTGATCGCAAGACAACGTTCATCTCTATGTGACGGAACAAGGAGTGACATGGATAAACACACAAGACGTCTATGTCCTTTACCAACAAAAAGTTGCCTTACCAGGACAAATAGGGAAAGGATCTCCTCAACGTCATGACGGGACAGGTGGGATCATTTACAGGAGTCAGAGGAAAATACCTGGAGTCAGCTCTATCTGTAACGAAGACTTAGGCTCTTTTTTTTTTTTTTTTATTCAAGCAGGTTGAAACAAAACGTCCGCAAAAATTCACTTGTGAAAAATGATGATACCACTGAGAACGTTGTTTTTAACGCGGCACTTTTTAAAAGGACCAAAAAAATATTATAGTTAAAAAATGTCTGTGATGGGGTACCTGGGGACTCAGCAGGTGAGTGTCTGCCTTTGCCCCAGGGCATGAAACCAGGGTCCTGGGATGAGTCCCACATTAGGCTCCCCACAGGGAGCCTCTCTGTGTCTCTCATGAATAAGTAAATAAAATCTGTAAAAAAAAAAAAAAAGTCTGTAATTAAACTTTCGTCCTCTCAATACGGTGCGTAGTTTACCTGAAACAATGATTTATTCTTGTTTGCTTTCCTCGGGAGGATTTATACTAGGGCTACATTTGGGTTTCTTGTTGAATGTCCTTAAACGATCTTCTTCCTTGAGGTTTGAAATAGGTCATCAGGATTACGCTCGAAATACTTTACGTGTCTTGTCTCATCAATTCTCTTGCGTGAATTCTGAACACGGACCTATTTAGAGGTTGTATGAGATGAAGGCTGGAGCGCTGGTGTGGGGGTCAGTTGGTCCTAGGACCGCGGTCTGGACGATCAGGCTGTCGGGCCATCACTCACGTGGCCGCTGGGTCCCACCTGTCAGTTGGCCCCCAAGAGCCGGTGCCACGTCCTGGGAGTTGGGCCTTGCTGTGGGTCCTCTTCTAACTTACAGACTGCTTGGGGACTGCCCAAGGGCTGTGTCAGGACTCAGTGTCAAAGGGTTATTGCCAGGACTGGTGAGACCCACTCTAACTATCCCAAGGCTGGTGCCGGGGAGGGCGAGCGAGCAGCCTTCTAGTGAAAGACAGGCAACTGCGCTTTGTCGGTAAGGCTCAGGGAGCACTGGAGTGACGACGGATCATGGGGGAAAGGCCAGCATCCCTAGGTTTGAAGTCGCAGGACCTCACCTGGCCATCCTGGAGAAAGAAGCCAAGCAGGTAGGGGAAGCCCAACATGGTCTCCCGGTGCATGCCACTGTGCAGGTCATTCCTCAGCAGCTTCTCTTCCAGGACCACGTGGTACCTGAGTACGTCCTCCTCCTGGACAACAAACAGAATTGGAAGTCACCCCACAGGTCAGCGAGTCTGTGGGCACTAGGAGGCTGCCAGGCGCCAGGCACGGTGGGAGGGATAGGAGCCACAGGTTGTGGAATAGGAAGCTGTAGAGGCATCAGGCACAGTAGATGTCAGATACTGAATGGAGACACATCACCTCACACTTGGCCAATCTTCCAGGTGGGATGGCCCAGATCTCGTGCTGTGACCCTAAAACCCAGGTGGAGGACATGACACCTGATGGAGGGTTTTAAAGATGATTTATTTGAAGAGCACTGCTAGGAAGGGAGAGTCCCACACCTCAGCCTGTGTTTCACCTCAGGGGCCTATAAGGAGATCTAGCTGGATCTTTTGAAAGATGGGATGTGTGTTCTCTGCAGATACAGTGGCCTGTGGGATGGGGGCGGTACTGAGCCCTGAGGGTCTCACACCTCAGACAGCTGGCAGGCTGGTCCATCATGGAGGGAGGAGGGGTGTCACTGCTCCGGGACAGCGCGTCCTGTGAGCTGGAGGACCGGGCCTGAGGTCCTGTGTTGGAGGACTGCCTCGGCGGGCACACAGGCCCTGGGGAGAAGCTGGAGGCCTAGGGTCTGAGGACATGACTACAGGAATAGGGTGCATGCACACGGCTCAAGGGCAGTCAGAGACAACCAGGGATGAGCAGGGTCCCTGAAGAGCCACAGGAGCACTGGAGGGAGGGAAGAAGGGATGGGAGGGAGGGATGTGGGAGGTGGGGGATGGGGGGCTATAAGAGATTAGTCACTTGAACATAATCTCTGCAATTCTCTCTGTGTCGTAATAAATATTTTATGGATTCACAGGAAAAAAAAAAAAAGGAAAGAAGGAGGGTGAGTGAATGAGACACAGAGAGGAGAGTGAGACAGCACGAGCGTGGGCTTTGCCCCTGGGCCCAGCCCAGAAAGAGCGCTGGCTTCCCAGGACATACGGGTCAGGCATAGCAACCTTCCTGCCCCTAAGGTCTCCTGAGCGACCACTGAGACTTCCTGCTCTTCAATGTCAAACCTGATATGACCACAACTGAGCTCACTGAGCCCGGGATGGGGGTGGGGGGTGGGACCAGAAGCACTGCTGGGCAAGGCTGGACGCAGGTGACTTGATGGTCTCTCAGCTCCCAGCCTGCCCCTGACTGCCCGGGACTGCGGTCTACAACTGCCTGTGTCCCGACTCCTGCGCAGCTCTGCCAGTGAAAGTGCTGGAAGGAGGCTGAGGCCAGTCAGAGGGAAGGAGGGAGAGGGGGTACGTCTCCCCTTTGCTCCCTGTCCTTGTGGGCACCCCCAGCCCACCTGCGCCCTGGGAGTGGCAGTGGACTCTGGGAGGGCTGTCTCCCCAGCGAAGCGGCTGGGGTGGGCAAGGCACTCCACTGGGTCTGCTCCAGGCCCCAGGCCCTGGGGGGGTGGGGTCAGAGCGCCTGGCGACCTGCACCTCCTCCATAGCCTGAGAGGTTCTGTGGGCTCTTCCGTTTCTGTGTTGCAGTGACTTTGACCTCTGCCCTTTGCTCTCCCACCCTGGTCGGGGGCAGGGAGTGCCTCCTGCAGCTGCCACCCCACGGCTTCTCTCTCCTCTTCACCTGTCACCTACACCCACACCGATTTGTGCCCAAGAAACCGTTCACACTATTAAAGTCTCTCAGGCACGATGTCCTGTCCCCGCTGGACCCTGGCTGGCCCCAGAATAAGACAAAGGCCCTGCAGCGACAGCGACAGAAGACAAGATTTTAGGTCCAATTCGAGGCGGTGACTCTGACAGGGCTGGAATGTTTTTCTGAACTTAACTGAGACTGTCTTTGTAGCTTCAAATGATCCTTGGGCTCTTGGGGGAAACGAGGTTTCATCCCAGGGCAGCAAAACCTGAACAGGTTCGCTGGGCGCGGGCAGGCTGGGGAAACAGACGAGGGTGGTCTCTGACCCCCCACTTTCAGGAGTAGATCCCACCTTCACGGGCTCCAGAGCCCACTGGGCCAGCGAAGGCCCAAAGGACCACTCATAACACTGCACAGATGCTGGAGGGTGTGCAAATGGTGCACACTCACAGGACAGATCGTCTGATGACTCTGAGGCCAGAACCGGCTGGCTTCCCCGAGGAGGTCAGAGCAGATGTGGACAAGGGTTGGGTGATTGGGTGATTCAGGAGGTAGTGGGTGCATGTGCACGTATGGGTCCATGTGCACGCGTGTGTCCATGTGTGTCAGTGTGTGCGCGTGTGTGTGCACACAAGCGGATGGGAACAAAGGCACTGCACATGCCTGGGGCTTGCCAGGGCCTCTGAGGTGGTCAGTCCGTGAGACCTGGGCTGTGCAGGAGCATCGGGGAGGCTGTGCGGTGAGCACGGGGAGCTGTGCAGGGGGCATGAGGTGGGGGGTCGTGTGGGGAGCACGAGGAGGGGGCTGTGCGGAAAGCATCGTGGGGGTTCCATGCAGGGAGCACAGAGGGGCCTTATGGGGAGCACCAAGGCCAGAGGGTGCTGAGCGTGCGGTAGGTGCCAGTGCGCATCCCTGTCTGAAGCTACAGGGAACGGTGCGCTTGCTGTGCAGATAGCGTCACGCGTGTCCTCTCATCGTGGGGGTGCTGGAACAGGGTGACTCGCTCCTATGGGACAATTCTGGAGCCCCTGGTGACTAAAGGATGCCTGGCGGCCAGTGGACAGAGGACTTAATTCCTGGCTGGGTGGTCTGTACTCCATCTTGCAGATATGGGGATGCACCCAGGGTGTCGAGGCACCGAGTGGCACGACTGGGACTTGATATCCTGATGAAATCCCCTGATGGCCTTGGAGGACTCAGGGAGGATGGAGGCCGGAGGGGAGGAGGTAGGCACACATGACCTGCCTCCTCTGCATCCCTGTCACAGGGACCAGGAGACCAGGGGACTGGGAGGCCAGGGTGCAGAGGAGGGATGGGGTCCGGCCCGCTTCCTGGGGCACATGCTGCAGGCGTGTGGGGGCGGGCCACTTCCAGAGACAGGGTGTCTCTGGCGTTTCCTGAGGCAGACAGGGAGGGTGCCGGAGAGGGCACCGCCCCCAGGCGGGGGGTGGGTGAGCACAATGTGGAGACCTGCTGGTGGCTCCCCTACTTCCCCTACTTACTAGCGTGGCGGCCTTCCTCTCCTGGAGGTACTTCTCCACGGCACGGTTGCTGGGAGCGAACACTGTGTAGGCCCCGGCTGCCTCGATGGCACCGGCCAGGCTGTGCTGCTGTGATGGGAGAGGCAGAAGGCATTAAGGCGTTAAGGTGGAAGGCGTTAAGACTCCCAGTGCCTGTGTCCCCCTCCATCCCCCCTCCTGGCCAAGGCTGCCTAGACGCATGGTACTCACGGTGATGGAGGCCCGGAAGGTCGAGTAGTCGGGCATCTGGTCCAGCCGCGCCAGCAGGCTCGGTAAGGGGCCAGTCAGACTTTTTTGGGGAACCAGCACCTGGGGAGGGAGCCCCCGCATTCTGTCAGCTGTGTCCACAGGCAGATCAGGTCACGTGAGCAGACGCACTGACAAGGACCGCTGCATGTGAGTCCCCACGCTGCCCCCGCGGCTGCTGCAAGGGGCAGCTCTCCTCTGAGAGCCACCTGCTGAAGGGGGTGCAGCCTGGGGCCTGCAGTGTGCTGGCTTTGAGCCCCAGGCCACCACCCTCGGCTGGGCATCCGCGTGCCAGTGTTCATGGTGACCTTGACTTGAGGACCCCTGTCCAAGGGCAGGTGTGAGAGGACCTTAGGGAGCCACTGCCGCCAGCGGTCGCACAGAGATGGCACAGAGCCAGGAGTCTCCGGTGGTCGGTCACCTCCCGCTCAGCGGGTCTCTAACCCCAGAGCTCTGCTCCACGTGTCCTCCTTGTGAGGCTAGGACAGCCGTAGTGTGCTCCCTAGGCCCTGGCACTCACCAGGTGGGAGCATAGGACATGCTCTTCTGTCCAGGGCTTGGCACCGACTGTGCTGCCAGGCCCACCAGCTGTCAGCGGCTACGAGGCTAGGCCCAACCAGGGACCTCGAGTCACAGCAGCCCTCCCCGGGGACATGCCATCCTGTGGAGACTGGGCCACACCATGAGGAAGGGGCACAGTATGCCAGGTGAGTCTGCCACCCCCGATTCCCTGGAAGTACAGAGGGGGAGAGAGGAGTAACCTAGCCTTTACCTGGGGGAGGCCTGCTAGGCAGGAGGCACAAAGAGAGGGTGTTTAGTGCTCCCCAGGGAGGGAAGAGGAGGGGGAGGAGGTGCAAAGAGGGCGTGTGGCCTGGCCACATGTGCTGTCTCCTTGATGACTCAGGTTGTGGGGTAGGGAGGCTTGCAGGAGGTCCCAGGGGGATGACGCTCAGGACAGGAGAGGGCTGAGGCACCCTTGGACTGCTGGGTGTTGCCACCAGAAATGCAAAGGGGCGGGGGGTAATTTAGTGCTTTGGGAAGCCAGGAACGCAGAGGAAAAGTATGCTTGGCAAGTAATGTTGGTCTGCATCCTGAGTCGTAAATCCAGCATGCTCCCTGCAAGTGACCACTAGCTCAAAAATGTGGGTTTTCTTAATGATTCCTGGTAATCCAAGGGAATTGCAAGGCTTTTGCAAAATAATGCACCTAGGAGTCTCACAAATAGCCTCTCTTTGCTGCACAGAGATAGTTGACCTTTTCTGTAGATTAAAACCAAAAGTGCATACTTAAGTGCCAAGGGGGATAATTTTAGGGGAAATGGTATTGGTTAATCGTCTTTTCCAATCTTCCACCTTCCGAAAGTTCCCAATACGCCCTAAGTTCTAACCCTGATTTTCAATGAAAATCCTAATATAGTAACTGAAAATTATAGGAGAGCTTAAAACCCTGTTTCTCGCTATCCTTTCTTCCTTTCTATTTCATACGTTTGAACACTGTTGCATCACGTCTTAGAAGACAATGAAAATTTCAAAAATACTTTTTCTACCCCTTCCCACTTTTTTCTAGGCCTTCCTTACCCCATGTTTTTAGGGGACAATCATGCAGAAAGGGGAAGGAAAGAGCGACCTGTAACCACCAGCCCTTTCCCCAGCTCTTGGGGAAGACTTTCACGTAAATGAGACATATGACACGTGTGGCCACGCATGACGTAGGAGTCACTGCAGAATGGAAGCCGGGTAAGTAGCAGAGTCCGACTGACCCTCTAGGCAGTTTTAGCACTGTTGTCATGGAGCACGACACATGTCACCCCTGCCAGAGATGGGTGTTTCTGCCCCCAAAAGATGTGGTGCGGGAGCACAGATGGATGAAGTCAGAAGAGCCGTCTGCGGGGAAGGCTGCGAATGTGTACCTTGCTGATGACGTGTATCACGCCGTTCGTGGCTGCATTGTCACCATCAATGACAGCTGCTCCTTCAATTGTGATATTCTGTGAATGCAAATCAAGGTAGGTCTTCACAGGGCAGTGATTCAGGGACTGAAACTACATCTGCACTTCACACTTCTTGAGCAGTTGTGACTTTGACCCTTTTAACCATGACCTGAGGTTAGAGGTATGTTCACACCGTGACACACTAGTTGACCCTCCCACCACACACGCGCAGTGAAGTGATACTTTCCTCTACTTTTTGGGAGGCTCCTGAACACCGATTCTGTTCTTTTCTGCTTCGTTCAAAGGGTGCTGGTTGGGGTACAGTACAGCCATCCTGTAGTTTGAAAGCATCTGTGGATGGTGTCGTGGGTGGAATTGTGTGTCCTTGGGGCTCACATGTTGGGGTCCTAACCCAGTACCTCACAGTGGGGACTTAGTGGGAAACAGGGTCTTTACAGAGGAACTTGAGTTACAGTGAGACCGGTTCGGTGAGCCGTACTCCGGATTCGGCTGGGGTCCTCCAGAGGGGGACATGGAGAGCCGTGCGGGGGCGGGGTGGGGGTGGGGGTGGGAGCCCTGAGCTGAGTAGAGGGCCTGCGACAGCCCCTCCCACAGCCTCGGGGGCCCACCTTGCATACACCTTGGCCTCCAGAACCGTAAGAGGAATTCCCTGTTGTTTGAGCCTCTCGCTTGGTGGTGCGCCCTTACAGCGGCCCCGGCAGCTCCATCTGACTTTCCTGACCAGAACCCAGCTACTTCTCAAGAATATTATTTACGCGACCTACCCACCTAGCTTGGCCACCAAGCAGCCATGGCTTGGCCGTGCTCCCTTCTGTCCACTTTCTTTCTTCCTCTCCCCACCCCACCCTTTGTCTGAAATCCCTCCTGGGACCCTAGGTCCAGACGCGGGCCTGTGTCACCCTGGCAGCTCCCAGGTCACATCAGCAGAGGCCCTGGAGAGACGTTCCTGGCCACCTTGCACTGACGAGCGGGAGGGAAAGGTGATTGAGAGCAGTAGTTCTAAAACATTCTGGACGGTGGCTCACGTGCACTGATGTAGTGGTGCTCCCTCTCCAGGAGAACCTTCATTTCTACCTCATGCAACGCACAGAAAGTGCTTTAAAACACTCGTGCACAGCAAGGCAGCCAAGCTTCCCAGCAGGCCTGAGTGCAGGCTCTAGCGCGTGGCAGTCCACACCGGGAGCCAGGCTTCTGCAGGGCTGCACTCTTCCTTGCGCTCAGACAGAGCACCTGTAGGTGCTCAGTTGGTATCTGCTCAGTGACTCTAATGTCACATAAAATCCAGTGACTTGTGACGGCACAGCTAGATGGCTACCAGGGCCTGCTCGTGTTAGTCACTATGAATAGCCAAAGCTGGGAAAGTGCGCGATATTTACCCAGAACAATGGAAAAGTGTGCCTTTGTGGCTCGGCCTGCGGTCTGTCAGGAGGTGCCTGTGGATGACCTGTGGCTGGAGGGTCACATTTTGTAGCCTCATCACTACGGGGTAATGCGTGTGTGTCAGGACACGTTGGCAGTTGCTGAGGCTGGGGGGCGCCCCCATGAGACGCCTCTTCCTGGCCTATTCCATTCATGTTTGCAAATTCCTGTGGTGCACACGCTGTACACGCAGACAGCACACATGCAAACAGCATATTTCTGCTTAGCAGACAGGCTATGGCGCTCTCTTACCCTGTCCGCCTTCGCCACATGAAGAAAGCTGCCCGGCAAAGCTGTGGCCAACCTGTCCAAGGGTGACAGGGCCTGCAGGTCGGCCAGTCCGTAGGTGCCCTGCAGCATGTGGTATCTGGAACAGTCCGTGAGGCCAACCGTGAAACATCAGTGCATGGAGGACTGTCATGAAGTAGCTAAGAAACCCGGTTCTAGAGCTGGACCACCAGGGTCAGACTCTTCTCCAGGAACTCCTAACCCTGGCACCTTGGGTTACTTACTGGATCAGCCCACACCCCAATGCACAGCTGTAGACCCACATTCTAGGGGCGTTTGGAGGAGGGACTGAACGTATGGAAGGCAGTCAGTGCGAACTTGGGAGTTGGGTGTGAGCTACCACCTCCCAGGGGAAGGAGGCAAGGAGGGTTCCAGAACACACGGAGTTTTGCAGGGTGCCAAGGACCAGGGCTCCCCCTCCACTGAGCGTTTTGGGACCCAGGAAATCTAACAAAAATCCCCTACCCCTGGACAAGCAGAGCAGGACTAACTCCATTTTGTGCTACGCCTGCCATCTCATGTAAAACCCCCCACACAACCTGCCTGTTGTTTAAGGGACTCCCTCACCCTAGTTTAGCTATTAAGCACACCCTTATCAGAAACCACCACACATAGGAATGCGGGACCTCTGACCTTTAACCGCCAAGGAATGAAAACCCCTCTTTTGCTCGCCAAACCTGCGCGCCAATTCTAACCAGAATAATAGGCTAGTTCAAATGGTCACTATAAGGTGAATCGTAATTCAATCGGCCACCTGCATGTGGACCAACATAACTGTGCAACTTTCTGCATATGTTGCAATCTCATTGGCCACTGGCCCCTATAACACTGCTGTGCTTCTTAGTCTCGGGGTCCAAGTCCCTGCTCTGCTGTATGGAGTATACTTGGACCCAAGCTCGAGCTTGTAAATAAACCCTCATGCATTTGCATCGGTGTCGGCTCTTTTGTGGTTTCTCGGATTCGCAGTCTTGGGCACAACAAGCGTTGTTCACCCTGACACCAGGATGAGAGCATGGAGAACAGAACACAGGACACCTACTTTATGAGGGTTGGGATGTGGCTCTTGGACAGCCAGAAGGTTTTCTCATCATGGTCCATGTCTGCAATGGCTTGCTGGGAAGGCACAAGGACGGTGAGGTTGGCGGCAGCCGACAGCAGGGGTTGCAGAGAGGCATCCTGCATCATAGGGGGAGACAAATGGGTCTGAGGCAGGTTACAGGGCAGGCCGCATGGACTGCGTGCTTGGCCAAGGAGCCAGGTTCCCTCGGGGAGTGATTTCAGGGATGCTGCGAAGGCCTCAGGACCTCTTTCCTAAATCCATCCCACCTACTCACTCACCCCACCTCTGACGTGCATTCTTTTTATTTAAATGGGTGAGCTTGGTCAAAAGGCAACTTTTTCTGAGCCCCTGTCAGACTTTGAACTGTTATCAGTCATTTACTCTGTAGTCTAAACAAGAACCAGAGAATGGTGCGGACGATCATGCATGGGTGTGTGAACCCTAAAGCCCTGGACACCCCAGGATAAGGATGGCAGGAAGGTTACAGGAGGAGTTGCAGCATGGAGGATGCACTGGGCTCCTGAAATCAAATTTGGCCTACTCTGTTCTCACCCGGAGCTAGTTCGTGGCAGAGGTGCTGTGCTTATGCTTCACGACTGATCCCAGGAAAAAACAGGAAGTCCTGGTCTGTCATGTTCCTAGATTTCTGTGTGTTCACCCACCGCGGCTCATTTCTGGCTGTGACCATGACAGGACTGGAGGTGACTTAGGGGAGATGTGCCCCACTGCACTCGTGCTCTGTCTGTATGGGGACCAGCCTGTGCTGCCAGACCCTGTCCTGCTCTCTCTCGTGGGGGTGGGGACAGGCCCCGCAGGACAGGAGCAGCTGCCCCGGTGCCGTGCTGACCGGGCAAGGTTTGTGTGGGCGAGTGGCTACTTGAGGGGCTCACGAATGCTTTGGGGGCACCTGGGCCTTAGGCACAGACACAGACATTCACCCCCTGGATGCACTGGTGACGGGATTGTTCACCCCAGGACTTTCCAGGGAAGACGGGGAAGCTCCTCCTGGGCTGAGAGCTGAACACACGCGGACCCAGGTTCTAGCTGTGGACCCCGACCCCTCAGTGCTCTGCAGTCATGGAGGACCTGGCACGGGGACAGGGATGACCCCAGGTTCCAGCTGTGGACCCTGACCCCTCAGTGCTCTGCAGTCATGGAGGACCTAGAATTGGGATGGGGACTGCGCTGTGGGTGGTGCTGCACACAGCCCCCAACTGGCTGCAAAGCTCCCTAGCCCCACCTGGAGCAGCTGTCCTTTACCCTGCCCATGTGGCAGGATCCCCAGGGGAGCCTTGGGCCCACCCCAGGCTTGTTATGTGCGGCCACATAAACAATGTGCGTGTGACCCTGAGGTGCGGTCAGGGGTCAGGGCGGCAACTGCCGCTCTCCACCGCCTCCCCCTCCTACCAGCTACGGTTTGGGTTTGCTGTCACAGGCACTCAGAGTTCCCCGCCCATGCGCACTCCCTCTGTCCCACAGATGTACTCACATTTATCCACTGGTTAAACGGGGCTGCGGCGGACAGAAATGACAGCTCCTTCTCCGTGTCGCCCGGCGGGGAGGAGACATGAGAGAGAACACAGGAGGAGGGACGGGGACTGAGCGGGATGGCAGCACGCCTGTGTGCCCTGCCCAACCTCCTGTCATTGGCCCGCACGCGGTGGGACCGGGCTGCCCACACTGCCCGTGTCGGTCCCACCTAATGGCTTGGTCATTCTCTACCTGTGGGGGTCAAGGACTAATTCTAGAAACTCGGATGGAGCGACCACCTGACGTCCTTCCAAGTCAGAATTGAGTGTGTGAGGCAGTGGCGGCTGCCGTGTGCAGGTCACTGGCCGCTGTGTGCAGGTCACTGGGCTCAGGGCGCGCACCCTGCCACGGCCAGGGAGGAGTGGCGGGGATGGGCCGACACTAGGGTTTTCACAGGGGCTCGGTCTTCCCTGATTCCTCAGGCATGTTACCGGGTCCCTGTAGGCCTCTACTTTGTCCATAAGACCGAGACAAAAATGCTACAGCTCACGGGATGCCGTGAATCTCGGGGGAGTGCGTGCCTCCCCTGCGTGGGGTGGGTAGGCACACGGGGCACGCTCAGCAGCCAAGCACCCTGCTCTCCCTGGAAGGCGTGTTGAGAAGCTACAGGGCACCCTGTGGGGTGAGCGAAGGGTAGCGGGTGGACAGGACGACGTGCGCTCTCACATGGCTTACACTTGCTGGGGTACATCAGTGCTGGAAAAGAAGCCCGCGACGCCACTAGCTCAGGGACATGTGTGGGTGTGACCAGGGGACCACCGGACCTTGGGTGGAAACAGACGGGCCTCCTTGCCAAGTCTGCCGTGGGCTAGCTGTGTGGCCTGGAGCACGTCAGCTAACCTCTCTGAGAGCTCAGGTCTTCTCTGGAAATGAATCTGGTGATGCCCTGCTGCTAGGGCTGCACGGACCCTGCACTCTCAGTGGGGGGTTCGGGGGGGGAAGCCTTTGAAGGATCACACAGCACGAAGACGGATGTTGATGTCGGCAAACATGCACAGAGGCTAAGTGTCAGAGTCAACTCAGCTCCTCCCTAGAGTGTTCGGGGTGGCTAATGGGCCAGTAAATAGCTGTGAGACACGGAGTTAGTAAACAGCAAGTGCACGGTCGACCAGTCGACGGGTCACTCAAAACTAAATAAGGACACCTCCAGACTTCACAGTCTGGGTGGGGGACGGGTCACCTCCAAGCAATGACAGTTCAGTGTGATGTGAATGGGACCCTCCCTATGTACTGGGGCGGAGGCTCCTGCGGGCCCGGTGCTTGGAGAGCCCCTGGTGGGTTCCCCGGCCGCCCAGGGGTCCTGGGCCAGGTTTCTCAGGCTCTCACTTTTCTTTCCTTTTTCCTTTTCTTTTTCCTCCCTTCTGCTCCCCTTCCCTCCCCTCCTCTTTCTTTTTCTTTCTCTGTAGATTCATTTATTTGAGAGTGGGGGGAGATAAAGAGACAAAGGAAACTCAAGCCGACTTCCAGTCAAGTGCAGAGCCCAGAATGGGGCCAGGTCTCACGACCCTGAGATCATGACCTGAGCTGAAGTCAAGAGTTGGAGACCTCACTGACTGAGCCACTCACATGTCCTTCCGTTTTCTTATCCATAAAATGGGCACATAGTGGTCTCAGCCTCAGATAGTGGTTGTGAGGTTCACATGGGGTGTGGCTGCATGTCAAGAATCAAGTTAGATGCCTGGCACGCGGACGGCAGACACGCACCCCCCGGAATGGCTCTCCTTCCTCAGGGCACCCAGCAACACCTACACAGTGTATCAGGGCCAGTCAGCGGCTCATCAGAGAAGTTGGGGAAAGAAAGAGGTGAAGAGCAAGAAACGGAAGTCCCCATCCCCAGGACATGGAGGGTGCCAATAGACGTTAGCCCTCTTCAGCCTGTGGAATGTGTGACCCCAGGGCACGTGCACACCTGCTTGTGTACGACCTCCTGGAGCACCCGACTGGTAGATCACCTCGAAGCAGCCTCACTAAGACAGTCTGCTTTTTAAGAGTTTGTGTGCATGGTTCTGCACAGGCGTCCCCTTGGATGACTTACCACCGCAGCATTTCCATAGCACAGGAGCCCATCGCCCTCGTAGCCCTCCGGGCACACACAGCTCCAGAGGCCCGACGACATAAGCTGACAGGTTGCCTGAGGAAGCAAAGAGAAAAGGAAGGGTTGGCTTCCCTCAGCATCCCCGGAGCCACAGGCTCCATCGCAGGCGAGAATTGCGACTCGGGGTTGGGAGGTGCAGGGAGAGGCCCGCTGATCCTGCCTGTCACTGCAAAAGGCTCCTGCCTGTATGTCTGCTGCAGCTGCTGCTTAATCACGATGAGGTTCTTTCTCTCCATCCCTTGCAGACTTAGCACATAAAAAGTCCAGGACACACCATTAATTTGAATTTCAGGTAAACAAGTAAGTTTTGGGGGCACCCGGGTGGCTCAGTGGTTGAGTATCTGCCCTCAGCTCAGTTCGTGATCCCAGAGTCCTGGGATCGAGTCCTGCATCAGGCTCCCCGCAGGGAGCCTGCTTCTCCCTCTGCCTGTATCTCTGCCTCTCTCTGTGTCTCTCATGAATAAATATATAAAATCTTTAAAAAAACCCAAGTAAGTTCTAGTGTACGTGTGTCCCACGTAATGCTGGGGCCATACTGATGCTGAAGACGGACTGTGGATCTGAAATGCGAACTTATGCATGCACTGGGCACCCTGTGCACTTTCTCCAGGGACCGGGGCCCTACGTTGGCTCTTCCATGCCTTGGAATGACGTAGGCGTAATAACTTCTCGTGTTGGAGCGTCAGTGCTGGGCTTAAATGAAGAAGCAAAAGCACTGGCTCTCCTTCAGATTTATGACGTGTTCTCATGCTTCTTGAGAAGGAGACACTGTGGGGCATGTCCCCTAGTTTTCTTCTTTATAAACTACCCTCTCTGACGGAGGGGTGGGACCTAGCAACTGCGTGCCCAAATCCCGACCATAACTGATGGGCTCATATGTGGGGCCAGCCGGGCTGGTCAGATCCTTTCTCCTGTCTCCTTTCTCCTGTGATTGGGAATTGGGACACAGGTCGTTAGTGGGCATCACTGGGGTGGGGGTGATGTTGATGGAAGAAGAGGGAACCATGTCCCTGCGGTGCAAAGGGGAACGTTAAAAGTTGGGAGAGGGAGAGACACAGAGAAAGCAGATGTGCAGAGAAAAGAAACATGAGAGATGGCGTAGCCCCGGAGGACTGGAGAGGAGGTGGCCCCGAGCGTGGGACTGCAGGCCTGGATTCCGGGTCCTTGAACGTCTCCCTGTATTTCCTGCCCGTGAAGCTACCATGGGAGCATTCCCCAAAAATGCCTTTTTTTTTTTTTTTTTGCTTATGTTGATTGGCACGGATTCTATTTCTGGCACTGAAGCACTGTAACCAGGGGGTGTCCTCAGTGGTCCTGACACGGCTGCTTAGTGACAACACGGACACAAGCAGCTCTGTATGTCTGCCTGTGCATCCATCACACAGACACAGCACAGCTCACCTCTGGACGGGAGTTTTCACCATAAATTTGTTAGGTTATGACATTTGAAGCGGGAGCCCCGTTCTCGACAATTCAGAATCGCCAGATGGAGCAAATAAAAAAATGCCAAGTTAGATAGGAATTTCAGAGAAGGTCTGGATAATTTTTAGGGTGAATTTGTCCTTTGTAATCTCTGGAGCATGCTTGTGCTGAAGGAGTGCTATGTATTTGAAGTTTTGATTTCCCGGGGAAGCCTGTATTCTAGTTGGTGATCATGGATGGTTCTTCTAAGCCTTGGACTGGAGCAAAATTTGTAAGAACTACTCACATTCTGCCTGGGGATTGTCTTCGGGAGGAAGAGGGCTTTGGTTCATTACTAGGTCCAGATCAGAGATAATCTTGGCCTCTTTCTTTCTCAAGGAACCTTTTTTTTTTTTTTTTTAATTTTTAAGTAAGGATAAAAGAAACGAAGTAACTCACTAGCGGGTGACATTGTCCAGTTTGTTCCAAGCACGATGTTACTGCTTCACAATCAATCCCATTTCCTCGGAATCCTTCCTTGCACTCACACTCATTCTGTAATTCCAAGAACGAAAGGGATTATTGAAAATGACCGCCCTCCAGGTCCTGCCATCACATGGCCTGAAACAAGAGCGACAGAAATCCCAGCGATTTGGTCTCCGAAGAGACAGCTCACGCCTTCTGTTGTTCTAGGCACTTGAGGTTCCAGAACTGTTGGTCTGCACATTCTGTGTCACAGCTCGTCTGACAGTCCCCTGGATCCACCATCCCAGAGGGCCCCACATGTGATACAGGACAGCCCATGAGGTTGTGGGAAGAAGTGAATAGAATGTCTGCTTATGAGTTTTTACTTCATAAGTAGAAGAGACAAGACCTTATGAACATGAATGTGTCATCCTCTGCACTGGGTATTGTGGTAGCACCTCCCTGCACCCCCAGACCTGACACTAAGCCAAACATGGCTTGTCTTCTTAAATAAATATTCAGGGTACTTAGGATTTGTGCCTCTTTGGAATATCTTACAGTTTTCAGGCCAGCTAAGGACTACTGAGGGCAATTCTAGATATGGTCTACTTTTTTCCTTATATGGTGCTCCAGGAAGGGCCCCGTCTCCCTGCACATCCCACAGCAGGATGCCTCTATCCACAGAAAGAAAGAGCCGAGAGTGGACAGATGCAATATGGGGTTGGACGGGGTGGTCCCAACCAGTCCCAATGCATATGTTAAAATCTTGACTCTAGGACCTCAGAATGTGACCTCATGTGGAAAGAGGGTTGCAATTATGTATTAGTGATGATGTGGAAACCCCAGGGTAGGGTGGCCCCAACCCAGTGGGACTGGTGCCCTCTGCAGACATGCGCACAGGGAGGATGCCCTGTGGACACGGGGGCAGGGGTGGCGGGTGAGGCACCTGCAAGCCCAGGATGCCAATGATTGCCTGCAAGCCTCATGGAGCTTGGAGAGGCACGGCCGGACTCTTTCCCACTCCCTTTGATGGGACCCACCCGCCACACCTGGGCCTTGGGCCTCTAGCCTCCAGAACTGGGAGATAGTATGTTTTCGTTGTTCTGTGCCATCCAGGCAGTGACACTTTTTATGGTGGCCCTACTAAACTAATACACCGACCAGGACGGTTTTTTTTTCTTTCTCAAATGCAATCTGGCAATTTAGGTGAGTCCAGCAAACGAAGGCAGTTGTTTGCCAAATGCATGGTGAGACACAAGACAGGGGTGGGCTCTTTGATGAAGAGGACCTTCCCATGGCCACGGTTGCACTACAGTCATCACCACCTGCCCAGTGCGGACTGGTTCCCTGCCTTGGTCTCCCGTAGGCGAGGCGAGCTGAAGTGGTGGCAGGCTGTAGGTGCTACAGGTCATGAGGGGACCAGCAGGGGCTCTGGAGTCAGACTGCTCGGGTGCGACTCCCACAACATGACTTATGTTCTGTCAGATGCGAGCAAATTACTTAGCTTTCCTATGCCTCAGTTTCCTCTTTTGTAAGATGGGAATCATGGTAGTATGTACACAGCAACAAAAGCAAAAAGGAACAAACAGGCCTATGTCAGGCCAAAAAAGCTTCTGCACAGCAAAGGAAGCCATCAACATGGTGAGAAGTGAATCTCCAGGATAGGAGATGGTATTTGCAAGTTATACATCTAATAAACGGTTAATATCCAAAACATATAAGTAATCCATACAATAACAAAACGACAAACGATCCTTTTAAAAAGCAGGAAGAAATTCTAAGACCTTTGCTGCAATCAGTGAACCCTTTGTTGCATTAAGTCTTCTGTATAGCCGGTAAGGTAGACGCGTCACCCTAGTGTAAGGTGGCCAGCGTAGAAGGCGGTGTTGCTAGGTGGCTGCTGTGCCTGGTAAATGAGGTCCTGCCCTTCATTAGTTCTCTGGGTCACAGGGAAGGCTGCAGTCAGAGGCACTGGCGCACGCAGGGCTGCTGGACAGACCTGTAGTTCCTCCTAAGTCTCGTTTGGATAAGAATTTCCACAATAACACAGCCACGTCCACACATCAGACCAAAGGGCACTCCGACCCCAGACGGAAGTCGGGTGTGTGGGGCGCCTGGGGGGCTCAGCCTTCTGCTTGGGGTGTGACTCTGGGGTACTGGGATTGAGTCCTGCATTGGGCTCCCTGCAGGGAACCTGCTTTTCCCTCTGCCTATGTCTCTGCCGCTCTATGTCTCATGAGTAAATAAATTTAAAAAAAGAAGAATAAGCTACAGACATGTACCATATTTAGCAACACAGACGAAACTCGAGGCGTGATAGTAAGTGAAAGAAGCCAGATTCCGAGGGATGCGCCATATCATTCCAGTTGTATGTCATGAAGGTAAAAAGTTGTGCTGGGATTAATGGTTTTTGATATTTCAGCTTTTGATCCCTCGCTACAGAACTATGGGGACCATTCCACACTGCAGGTATTCAGGCATCAACTTTAAAAAACCCACCTTTTTGTTTGGAGGAGGCTGCCTGTGGGTTTCTGTAGAATGTTAAAGCTGATCTTGGTCTGTCATCCTTTGAAACCCCTTCTGGCTCTTGGATGCTTTTGGTGGTACTTGTTGAATCAGAATTCGGGACAGCTTTCTCAGATTCAAACTTATATTTGATGTTTTTGTTTTGTTTTGTTTTTTAGAAATTAACAAATTAACGAACGATTCTTTAAGAGAAAAGACATCGAGACTACCTCATTCGGCAATGCTTCTGCTACTGTAGGAACAGTACTTCTGGAATGAGGGTAATGAAGTCAATGGATAGGAAGCTAATTACTGCTTCTCCCGTTAAACAATTTAAAACTGGCTAACAAGGGACTGGACAGAGTCCCTGGAGCCAGGCTACTTTTTGCCATTTCTAGGACAATTGGCTTGTATTTAATTTCAAAAGAACGCTTAGGCTCTCTGGGTGGTAGGATTGTTACTTTTACGCTTGGGAAAAGGGCCGTAGGGTGTGCGTGACAGTCCACGTGATGTACCGTCCTGTGCCATGAAGGCCTGCAAGGTCATTTTGAGTCATGTGTAAGAACTGCAAATATTTAAGATTTCAGATTTCTTATAAATGCGGATAGACCCTTAAAATCCTGGGTGGCGCAAACCCTTCTGCTACCTCAATTAACAGAATGAAAATAGTAGCATTGGTTTCAACAGCAGCCTCTTAGCATTCAAATGACACTTTGTTCAAACACACTGCTTGTGGCAAGCAAACCTTTCATTTTATTTCGAGCAAGTCTGGTGTAGTCTTGTCTCATGAGTTTTGTTCTTCTGCATTAATAACACATGAAGACTTGAAACTGGAGCCATCCCACACTTTTTACCTGGTCTCCTGCGGCTGTACTTATGTCATCTACCTCAGCTAATGTGAGAACTGGGGATTGAGTCACAAGTGATGTGCAAACCTGCTTTGTATATTTGGTGATTCTGTGATGTTAAGTGAATTGCTCCTTATCTCACTGACACTGTTCATCACGCATACATACAATTAAAAATCATGCTGCATTCCCTTTAGAGTCAAAGAACTCAACCTGACGTCATGTACTGTACCCATGGGGCATGTGGAGTGAAGGGCTTGGCTTTTCATTCTGTCAAAGGAGGTATTCTTTGACAAGGCTGCAGGAAATATGCTGTTAGGAGATGTTTAATGTGTAACAACAAAATCCATGATTTTAGTATAAAAAAATGGGCAGAAGGTCTGAATAGACATTTTTTTTTCCCAAAGAAGACACATGGATAGATGGCCAACAGGCAGATGAGAAGACATTTGGCGTCTAATCATCAGGGAAATGCAAATCAAAGCCACAATGAGCTACCTTCTTACACCTGTTCGTACACCTTTTATCAAAAAGACAAGAAATAACAAGCGTCAGTGACGATGTGGAGAAAAGAGAACTCACGTGCTATTGGTGGGAATGCAAGCAGGTGCAGCCACTATGGAAAACAGTAAAGTGGTTCCTCAAATGATGAAAAACAGAACTACCATAGCTTTGAGCAATTTCAGTTCAGAATATTTATCCAAATTTGAGATGATAGCTGCATGCCTGTGCTCACTGCAGCGTCATTTACAGTAGCCAAGATACGGGACAACCCGAGTGTCCACGGATGGAAGGATGGATAGAGAAGAGGTGGTGTGCACACAAACTGGAATATTACTCAGCCATAAGAAGGCATGTGATCTTGCCATTCGAGTCAGCATAGCAGACCTTGAGGGCATTGTGCTAAACGAGACAAGTCAGAGAAATACAAATACGTATATATACGTATATTTGTATTTATACACAAAAAATACAATTTGCTTGTATTATAAGCAAATCCCTTATAATTTGCTTAATAAGGGAATCTTAAACAAAACCCCAAACACCAAAACTGAAACCAAGCACCTGGATAAAGAGAACAGACTGGTGGTTGCTGGAGGTGGGATGGGGGTGGGCAGAGTATCAGAAGGTGAAAAAAAAGAGTAGCTACACCATGGGTTTGCATGACCACTTGCTCTCACTACCACATGATTAAAGAGCTGTGGTATGTTCCAGCCAAAAGACTGCTATTCCCCCCCATCACACCTACCTGGCCGGGGCCTACGTACAAGCAGGTGGCGTTGACGTGGCAGCCGCCGTTCCCGGGCAGCAGGCAGTTGTCAATGGCCCAGCAGTCCCTGCCGTCCCCAGTCCATCCCTGCTGGCACACGCATGTGTGGGTCCCTGTGCCGGTTCTGACGCACTCCGCCTGCAGAAGGAAAAGCAGCTCTGAAACCACAGCCCTGCCACGTGGAGCCACAAGCACAGAAGGGGAGGTGCCTTCTAGAAGCAGGTGTGTGCGTGGAGGGCAACAGGAACGGTTACCACACACATTCTACCAAGATCAGGAGAGAACACGAGGAGGTTTAAAGTACAGAACTGCCTGTCACAGCCCCGCAATCGGCCAGCGCTGGGAACGCCGGGTCCCTTACTGAGTGGGGAGCCATTCTCAGGGATGCAGGGACAACTGCCATCTCCAGCAAAGTCCTCTGTTCTCTGCTTCATGGAAGAGGCGGTGGTGAGGCTGGGAGGACACAAGGACCGGCCCGTGGGCACACGGCTGCGGAACTCCACGAGGCCAGCATTCAGGACACTAAGGCCGAGCTCCGGCCACCACACCCACTCTGGGCCTGTGGGGCCGGCGCCCCGGGGTTGAAGGGTACACGGGGGAGGGCTGTGCAGGCGACACTGTCGCAAGGCGGGGCCAGCATAAGGTGCCTGCCACCATCTGATCTCACCTTCCCGCTGGGACGTGCCAAAGGGTTGTCAGCACGGGACAAACACGCCGCTGCACTTCAAGCCCCTCTGGCTGCGGGGGGACAGGGAAAGGCCAGGGTGGGCAGCGCGGCTGCAGGGCAACAGTTTGGGTGACTGTGGTGGGAACGGAGGTGGCCAGGGCCCCGCGTGGGACAGTATTCAGGCTGCAGTGGGTCTGGGCCGTGCCCCTGGGCTATCCCCGCGGACAGAACTTAGGGCAGTCACTCAGCAGCCCCAGCCTTGGTTTCCCTGTTAGTACAGGTGGGATCAGAACACCTGTTTCCTGGGGCTGGGGTGGGCAGGAGCAGAGGGGATGGCAGATGTGACGTCACTGTCAGCTGTGACTTTTCCGTCCATAGTGTCTGACTAATAATGTCAGGGATCAGATTCTCCGGCTGTATTTCTAGGAGCCCAGGGACCCCCCTCCTGTGGTCTTGGTGCCTCCCACACGTGAGGTTTAGGCTCACGGGCACTGGTGTCAGCTCTAAAATTTAAGGTTCCAGCAGCTCTGCCTCATGCAATGAAAAGCCATCAGATGCTGCTTTTCGTAAAGCCTCCCCTGAGGATTCCCTAAAAAACCAGGCAGCTTGGAGATAAAGAGCAACACTCACATTTCGGCTACAGCGCCCTGACGCGAATCCTGTGCAAGGGTCCACTTCTGAACAGAGACCTCCATCCCCTTCGTAGCCCGCTTTGCAAACACAGCTGTGAAGAGAAGCGTGTGCACAAAGTGAGCCCCAGAATCCTGAGCAGCCTCCACCCGGAAGAGACCGCTGGGGGCTCACCCGTTCCTGCCTGACATCTGACCGCTTGTCCCTGGGACAAGCTGGTGCAGAAAGCCAGTCACAGGTGCCCAGGCCCTGTGACCTGTTAGCAGTTGTGGGACCCGGGCCTACCTGGCTGTCCCATTGCTGTATTCACAGGTGGCGTGGATGTGACATGACTGTGCGTCGGGCCCACAGGCAGACGTGTGCTTGTGGCAGAACCTCCCAGCAGAGCCTCCGCGGCAGGTGCCGGCCAGGCAGGCACCATCGCTGTCGATCCTGCTATCGCATGTCCCCAACAGGCACAGACACTCTGGAACACAAGGGCCGGAGCACTGGGATGGACGAGCGAGCGGAGCAGGGGGCCGCAGTCACTGCCAGGACAGCACCTCCCTCCAGTCCTTGTTCCCATCAGAGCACGGCATGGCACTGAGCCAGTGGAAGTTTCTGGAGTCTGTGCCTTAGCTCCTCTAGTCTCTATCCTGGTGCCTGAGTGTTTGCGGAGCTTGACTCACCACTCATGGCTGTTAGAACTCAGTCTCAGAAGTGCCTTTGTATATGTGCATGTGTGCGCGTGCGTGTGTGCATGTATGTGCATATGCATGTGCATAAGTGTGCACACATATGCGTGTGCGTGCATATATATGTGCATGTGCACATGTGCATTGCGTGCACAGGTGTGTGTGTACGTGTTTGTGTGTGCATGTGTATGTGTGTGAAAGAGGCGAAGGAACACGATCTTCATCTATGTCATGGTTGGAGAGCTCAGGCTAGAAAGCTCTCCCCGTTCTGGAATCAACAGATGGGGTTTCTCTGCCAGCCTGGCCTCTGCCGTGCAGCTTCCTGTTCTTCACCCTCCATCACAGCAAACTGGCCACAACCACTGGCGTTGCTTGTGTCTGGTGGGGCCTTTACCTGTCCCCCCCTTGGGAGCACCACCTGCCTCAGAGGGGGTACTTCTATCATTTCCATTTCCACAGGAGCAAACTGGGACCCAGGGACAGGGAGCACATGGCCCAACTCGCTGCTAGGTTTTGAAGCAGGGCCTTGAACCCAAGGTTCCAGGTCCACCTGTCAGTGCCCTGCGTGCACACAGTAGGCCAGGGGCGTAGCTGCTGTTTGCACATGTCTGTAGTGGGTGGGATGCCTGTGGGGCTCAGTGGTTGAGCGTCTGCTTTTGGCTCAGGTTGTGATCCTGAGGTCCTGGGATTGAGTCCTGCACCGGGCTCCTTTGTGTGGAGCCTGCTTCTCCCTCTGCCTGTGTCTCTGCCTCTCTCTCTGTCTCTCTCATGAATAAATAAATCTTAAAAAAAAAAAAAAGCTGTACCAGGTGACTTTGCTTTTGATTATACAGATTTAACGATGGGAACGTGCCTCAGACACAGCCTCCTGTGCACTCGGGGAGAAAGACAGAGGCCACATTATCCAAGGTGGGTGGCAAGGCTCTCAGGCTGGGATGCGATCTGAGAGGAAGGCCTCGGTGGTTGTGCCCAGGAGGCTACAGGAGAGGAACTGCTGTGGGTGCTCACCGCCAACATCCAGGACAAGACGAGAAATGTGGCGAACGTGCTGCAAAATCAGGGCTGGACTGAAATCAAAAGACTTTTCATGAACTTCTAAGCAGGTCAGGACTTCATGTGCAAGAGACCAGGACCCAGAAGGCGGAGGAACCTCCTTGCCTAGGCACTGGGCAGCCAAGGCCGGGACAAGAGGCGCTGCTGCCAGAAGCCTCCAGGCTGCCTCCCAGCCTCAGCATTCTGCCTCACTGGCCTCATGGAAATACCAATGTCGGCAGGCTGGGGAATGAAGCCTCATTTTTGTTTCTCAGGAACCTTATTTGGCACAAAGAGCAGTGGACTGGGATCCGTGGCTGTTTGTGCTCTGGTGTCCTGTCTGTCCTGGGCGATGGCTGTGGGGACCTGAACAGGGGAGGGGAGGGCTGTGTACTTTGTGAGCAGTGAATGAAGCTTATAGTCCTAGTAGGAGGAGCGGTGTCAGTGGGGTGTCAGCTCTGTGCTGCAGCCCGAAATTATGACCTAATGTCACCAAACACCATGATGCAGGTACCGTTATCTTCATTTTATAGACTGGGAAGTTGAGAGTCAGTGAAACCTGTAAGGTCACACAGCTGGTCACTTGCATGGTGGAGACGTGATTTCAGGTCAGCGTGATTCCAGACCCAGCTCTCACCCATTTACTTTTTTTTTTCTTTCAAGTTCTAACCTTAGTGTAGAAATACACACCTATGTTTATTTCTGGACTTATATGTATCTGTCTGCTTAAATACACCCATGATGCCATTTTGAAAGACATGGTGCATTTTCTAAAATTATATAACTGTGTTTTTCATTTAAATGCCCCGTGTCGTGGAACTTTCTACTCTTTCTACTTGTCCTCCAAGCTTCCTGACATTTGTGTCACTGGACTTAGAATCACGGCAACAGTAACAACAGTCACAGGCAATATAACCAGGGCCAGTGTCTTGTGTTCTGGGTGCCAGGCATTGTTCCAAGGCAAGTGCTTTCCATTTATGACTTGCACTAACTTTAGGAGGTAATTACTATTATCATCCCATGGGGAAACTGAGGTCTGGGGGCAGGTAGTAACTTGCCTAAGGGCATACATTTTGCAGAGGGGACAGCTGATGGATGGGGCCTGCTGAGCTCATGGTAGCCCCAGGTCTATGGGGAAACCTTTTTTATATTATTTTATTTTATTTTACAGATTTTATTTATTCATGAGAGACACAGAAAGAGAGAGGTACAGACGCAGGCACAGGGAGAGGGAGAAGCAGGCTCCATACAGGGAGCCCGATGTGGGACTCGATCCCTGATCTCCAGGATCATACCCTGGGCTGAAGGTGGCGCTAAACCTCTGAGCTGGGCCACCCAATGGGGAAACCTTTAGAGACAGGGTTTCCAAGCGCGGTCCTTGGGCCGCAGCAGCGGTGTCCCCAGGGAGCTGGTGAGACTCTCAAGTTCTGCGACACCACCCCAGGCCCTCTGCTTCAACACCCTGCCACATGGGCCCCACAGCCAGCCCGGCTGCCCTGTGAGAACCAGGTGCTGGAGGATGAGGGTGTGTGGGGAGCCCAGGGTGCGGAGCCCCGTGTTGCATGGCAGAGGAGGCCTGGCTGCCGAGCAGGACATGCCACTTACTTTTGTCACAGCGAGGTCCGAACTTGTTGGGATCGGAGCAGAACTGGCACTGGGAGCCTCGGAAGCCGGCCTGACAAAGGCACGTCCCATTGCCGTTGAGGCCGTCGGCGCACTGCAGGGGTGGGCAGGCCTGGAGGTCAGCTAGGACCCAGAGGCCTGACTGCTAGAAAATCAGACTTCCTGTGCCTGATGTGGCTCTCGGGGAGCCCTTGTGGAGCCCTCGTGGAGCCCTCAGAGCCTCATGGAAGCTGGGGTCATGTCCTGTTCCAACACTGACAAGCCTGGCCCCTGTGCCTTGAGATTTCCAACTTTAAGGGAAGTCATTTAGGGGGAAGGGGGTCAGGATGGTGAGCTGGGGACCTGCACACCATGCTTGGGGGCTGTTGTGACTAGCTGCCGACCTCCAGCATGCAGGACCTGCAGTGTAGGACCCCCCTGCCCCTGCACCCCTGTCCTTCCATTTCAGCCGTTTCAAGGTCAGCCCTGCCATGATTGCAGGGCAGCAGACTTGGGCACTGGTCCCCGCATCGGCTTGGTGGCTCGTTAGTCCCCGCTGTACCCTGTGCTTGCCTCACCTCCATCCGTCGTGTGGGCAGAGTCCCCTCCTTGTTGACCTGGTGGGTTCAGACGTGCATTTCCTAATGCACAGTGTATGATCCCCAGGTGAACCACAGCTGCTCACCTGCGTTCGCTTAGCCCTGGCTCTAAGCTATGTGACTTAAGTTTGGGTCTTTTACTAGGTTTTGGAGGTGGGTTAAAAAAAAGCAATCACTGGGCAGTACCTTTTTTTTTTTTAAGAAAAGTATCACAGAATCTTAATCTTGAGAGGAATCTTGGCAATGAACATGAACGCAGGGGACTCTGCTCTCTTCCCTGAGAGGAACAAGGGGCCAGGGGAGCCTCAGGGATGTGGCAGGATCTGGTGGTCGCAGCCGGAAGCAGATGTCAGAGCTACCAGCACCCCTGCTGCCCTCCAGCCCCAGCAGATCCCTTCTACTGCAAGTACCTTCTATCGTCTTAGCAACTGATGGTCTCCGTCCCTTTCTGGGAACCGTGTTTGGCCCTGTGAACTTCCTGGCTCAGGGCCTTTCAAAATTATTTCCCTGCTTGACTTAGGAGAGATGAAGCTTCTCATGAAGCTCAACATTCATGAAAGGTTTGCATCACCTGGCCATTCCCTGAGCAGGGATTTGAGAAGCCTCCTGGACACGGAGTACAGTCAGGCCCGTAGAAGCCTTGGCAGCACCTGGGGATCTGGGAGACAGAAGGCGAGCTGTGCTCAGGGCTGAGCAGCGTGCCAAGTCCCCAGAGGAAACAGACTTTATTTTCCACTATTGTAAGGAACAGGGTCAGGCCCCAGCCGGCCTTTTAGTGTGGACGGCGATGTGGCTGCTGCCCTGCAATCTGCTCACCCCCTCCCTGCCCTGTGTACTGAGGCCCCACCCCCGCCCCCATATACTGAGGCCTGATACTCCCCCCTGTACTGAGGCCTGATCCCCCCGCCGTGTACTGAGGCCACCCTGCTCCCCCGTGTACTGATGCCCAACCCCCCTGGTGTCCTGAGGCCCCACCCCCTGTGTACAGAGGCCCCCCCATGTACTGAGGCCCTGCTCCCACCCCCCTATGTACTGAGGCCCCAACACCACCACCCTCAGTGCCCCGCCCCCCCCCCCCCCCATGTACTGAGGTTTGACTGCAGGCACCAGCTGGACCCTAGTGCCCAAGTGCCTAAGAATGTGGCAGGAAGGCCTGTGCCCCAGAGCCCATCTTCTGTGTAGTCGGGGCAGACAATCTATCTCCAAATAAAGGGAACTGAAAGTGTTGGGAAGACAAAGATATGGTAATGACATGGTGGCAGGTGGAGGCAAAAGTCGGGGAAGCCTGGGGAGGCCAGTGTGGATCCAGTGGCGACAGATGGCGTGGGTGATAAACACCTGAAAGAGGAATCTGTCCCGGGAAACCTGGAGGAGAACTGTGGGGAGGGAGTGGCAAGTGTGCGCTCTGAGACCACGATGGGGGTCAGACCCTGGTTATGGGTTGGATGCACGGCCTCGGCCTTCTGTGGGGAGAGCGTTTAGAGTATGCGTTCCATGTCGAGGACAGTGGGAACCACCGGGGTCAGAAGGGGTGGGGCTGGCGTGGGCCGGGAGAGTGCACCCTGCCGTGCCCTCTGGGAAGCCGAGGCCCTGACATCGTGGACGCTGAGACCCAGAGTGTGGTCCTGGGGCCGCGCCCTCCTGCTGACCTCACCTGCACTGTGGTGTTGCAGTATCGGGCACAGCCTGTCTTCAGGCTCCTTACTCTGCTGGTGTAGACACATCTGTGTGTGAAAAGCGCCTGGAAGAAAGCCAATGGGAAAAACGTAGAGTCTGCATCTGGGGTCCTCTGGCCACGGCTGGGCTTACACATGAGCCGGAAGGCGCCCCATCACACATGTGGCTCCCGTCACCATTTGGTCACCTCCTTAGGCCCCTGTTTCCTTGCTGGTAGAGCTCAGGCTGCAGTTCGCACAAGTTAAGGCCCGTTATCTTGACCTCCCTTCTTGTGCCCTGGCAGCTACTGAGGGCTGCTCTGGGCACACTGTCCCGCTCATCCTGCGTGAGGCTCAGTCTCCCCTCTTGGCTAGCAGCCATCGCTGTGCTCCTAAGCAGAGATGAGGGAGCCAGTACAGAGCCTGCTCTGGTTTATAGAAAGATCTACCAAACCAATTAGTGATGGTCTGAGTCCTTCTCTTAGGAGGGGTGTGTGTGTGTGTGTGGGGGGGGCAGATCTAAATGTAGCCTCCCATTCTCTGACCCAGGTGGTCACAACCACCTAGAGTTGCCTTTATCAACAACTCACTGGAGGCTGCCACAGTGCACACATGAAGCCACCAATCCTCAACCTCGCGTGGGTGCTTTTTAGCCCCCCTTTGGGGGTAAGGGAACCGTGGCCTCAGCAGGTAAATCATTGCTCCTAAAGGCACCGCTAGCTGGGGGCAGGCCCAGAGGCCACTGCACCTCATCCTGACCCAAGGGTAGCACACACCACTCTGCCAAATGGGACAACAGTGCTGGTCCTGGGCTCACAGTTTGTGTTGGGTAAACGTGGACATGGAGACACCCCTGCACATGAGGCGCTTGTTCAGGGAGGAGCGTTGAGGACTTCCTAAAATCAGAGCTAGGTGAGGGAGTCCTGCGGAAGGAACATGCAGTCCTCCAGTCGGATCGCAGGATAACAGCGAGTATAGGCGGGGGGGCCTGTGAAGAGTGGTTTCGGAGCCATTCTTGCTCTAACCCAGACACCTAACACCACCGTCTTCCCGCCCTTCTCTTCCTTATGTGGGCCGCAGCGATGCGCGATTGTGGCTCTGCTGAGTATTAGCTGTGCGAGCTCGGGCACCATGTTTAGTTTCCCGACGTCCACTCCCAGGTCACATGGTGGTCGGGACAGTGGCATAGCTACCCCGTAGTTTGCTGCATGAAGCATCCGGAACAATGCCTGGCACGCAGCAATCCGCCTGACGCCAGCCAACGTGGTTTCCTCTGGTGTCCTCCCTGTCCGTGCCTCTGGTGGACAGCATCCCATGGGACTCGGGGTAGTGGCTTCCCTGAGCAAACAATGGCCTGCACACCTGCGCCTATTCCGTGTGCATGTTTGGCTTCATTAAATGTTCCTCTGTAGGGTTGTGTTAATGGGCTCACCTCCTTCCTCAGTGACCTGTTGTAGTGTTGACACTTCTGGTTGGGATGCTCTTTGTTAGGACAAAATTACAGTCAGAGATTCCTTTCTTCCCTTTTTTTGGTGCATAAAGGGAAATTTATTAAAGTGGATTGGCCCACTGGTGGAATGAGCTGCTGCCTGTAGGCAGACATTTCTATCATCAGTGTTACCCTGGAGTGTCTTTCTTTTCCCGCAAGTAGACTACTTGGCATGTGGATCGTGGACTATTCTAGAACTATCCGTTTTCCTCGCTAGACGAGAGTTTCTTGACACAAAAACAAACCGAGACTGTATTTCACTCCTCTCCATGCCCTGGGAACCAGCTTTCAATGGACATGTGCGGGATCCAGTCACACTGAGGGAGGATGGAGGGTCCCCATGTCATACCCTTGATGGTCCTGGGCCTTCCGTCTAGGAAGCGGCTTGGGAAGAGCAGACAGGAATAAGAAGGGCAGGATGGGCCAGCCCGTAGGCCATGTAGGCAGGAGGGTTATTCTGAGCTTAGGGCACTTGAGGAACAGCAGATACGACACAGACACCCTGACTCCCTCCTCCCCTTTCTCCCTGGAAACAGGAGTGAAACCTCCCCTGTCAGTCCCTCCCTGTTCATCTTCCACAAGAGCCGGTTGCTCCCCAGGGGCAGGATGCAGGTGCAGAGAAGCTGCACAACTGGACCGGGTTGATGACCCTGAACTTCCTTGGGCCTCCGTGCATAACGGCCTCTTTACATACCAACCACGTGCCCATGCGGGCTGTGCCATTGCTTGGGGTCCTTGTTTCTTGGGAGTCTATCCCAAGTACGGGGGGATCCGTGAGTATCCTCTGGGTAATCTGCCTACTGATCTTTAACTTCCAGGCCCAGCTGGACCTTATGCTGAGGGCAAAGCTCTGAGTCTCCTACACATGTAGGAGGGTGGGGAGAGGAGGGGGGACACTTCCTCAGGAGCCATGTCCTGGGGTACAACACGGGGCGTTAGGGTACAGCTCTTGGGATTCTTACTCTTACTTATAGACCAGAAAATTAGTGCAAAGGGGCTAAGCATGTATATGTGGGGTCATGAGCAGGATTCAGACACAGCTGTCTACACTCTCCATACAGGAGGCCCTCTCCCCTCCCCCTACAGGACACTCTCCCCCTTCCCCCCTCCAGGATGCTCCCTTCCCTCCCCACTACAGGACACTCTCTCCCCTCCTCTCTACAGGACGCTCTTGATCCTCCCTGTACAGTGGGCTAAAGTCTAATCTGAAGTTATCCCATTTGGAATTAATATCTTAAGTAGAAATTTAGATAAGATGAGAAACAATAGCAGTGGGGTGCTCGGGTGACAGGTGGTTTCCCGAGACTGTTCTACTCACTGTGGGCTCAGCGTTAGCAGGACATTTGCTCCAGTACACCAGGGAGCAGCTCACACAGGTGCCCTGGAGGGAAAGACAAGGATCAGTGCAGGCCTCTCTGGGAGGGAATGGGGATTCCCTATCTGGTCCCATGTATCCTTCTTGCCAAGGGGTTGGGGCCCCCTCATGGGACCCTCCTGGTGTCTCTGTGCTCTCCCTACTGATGCCTTCCTTCACAGGGAGAAGGAGGAAAGCCGGGGTCATTGTTGGAGGGTCCGGGAGCCTTAAGTGAGCTTGCTCACAGCAGCCCCCCTCTGCCACCCTCCTCCATCAGATTGTCTGCCGGCCTGAGGTTTCTGACAATTTGTCATGTAGAGGCACCTGGACCTGAGGAAGCATCGTGGTCATCTGCCTGTGCTGGAGAGGAAGCGTTAGCCCTGGTCACGCACTTGCACCCTGTTCTCCAGTTAGCTCAGCAGCAGTACAGCAGCATTGAATCTCTGCCTTCCAGCCACCCACCCCTGCCCCGGCCTATTGTTTCATTTGAATTCAGGAGCAAGAAGGGGGGTGAATGCCTCCAAACTCTCCAGATTGATTTTCTGACCTTCCCTGTTTGGGCTCTGTGCTCCAGCAGGTAGACCTCGAAGAATGCTTGCTCAGCCTCCCCTGCCAGCATCTTGTTCTTGCCAACGCGAGATGCCAGCAGGATCCTGGTGGGTAGGAGGAGGGAAGATCCAGGTATTTCTTCCCCACATCTCCGTGTGGGCACTGCCACTGTCCTCCTGATGGGGGCACTGCTTCCATTCTTCCAGCTCTCACGGGCTTCCGGTATGTCCTACCCCTCCCTCCTCACCTCTCTGGTCCCAGCGGGCAAAGGGAGTTCCCGCCATCGCTTCTCCTTGGATGCCCCAGCATAACTGATTTGTCTTCTTAGCCCTGCCCACCCCGCTGTAGTAGCATCTTCTTTAAAATATCTTCATTTGAACCATGAGGGTAACCTCTGTTCCTCATGCAGGGACCCTAACTTGTACAGCAGATTATTAATTAAATCTCTAAAATCCAAACATACAAAACTAAAGGCAGATATGGGTTCAGGCTGGTAAAAACTGAGACTTTTAGACAATGCCAGCTGCTCCCACTTTGTGCTGGCCCCAGGTGCTTTGCAGAGAATGCATTTGTACCTTTAACAGACCCAACAAAACCATCCTAAGTCATGCAGAGCAGATAGATTTAACTTTAAGCCCAGAGAAAATAGTAAAAGATGACTCTGTCCTAAGGCAGGTTTTGGGATGCCTTTTTCTCTAATAAAGCAAAGATCTTTTGGGTTGCAGCTCAAACCCACTTCTTGATTCTTTTCTTTGGGAATCTGGAGAACCAGCTTTGAGCAACCTGGAACAGACCAACTGTGCAACAAGTCAGGCAGTTAGGGCTGCCCTTGTCCCTCCACAGACTTCCGTCCTTGACCTTGAGGGGTGCCTGTGTGGGGTGGGGAAGCTCTAAAGTCAAGAGACCCTGTTTTCCAAAACCTTTCACCTTTGGAATGGGAGATGGGACTATTCTCCTCTGGCCTGTGCTGAACTTCACCCCAGCCCATGCCACTTGACATACCTGCCAGAACTTGTTTTTTCAAAGAATGAACCAAACAGAAATCAGTGCCAGGGACTGGCTGGGAAAGTAACCGAATTTCTGCCTCTCTTAAAAAGGGGTGCTCAGAATTGAATCACATCCTCCAGATGATATACGACTGGCATGGAGGATGTATGGGACCAATATCCTAAAGCATCAGAGGAACTGGCCACAATCCCGTGCCAGGTGCTCAACTCCCTATTTCCAGCCTTCACAGTAAGAGGTGAGAGGAGGGATCAATAAACGAAACCTATCCAATGAGGCCGTTATTCCTTGTTCAGTGCCCATATTCCAAGGATATTTTGATAACGATCATTGAAGTATTATTGAAGTGTCCTGAAAAGAAAGACCTAGGCCTGTTCCTGCGGCAACTTTGGTGGTATGGTTTCCATGGGAACCGAAGGATCACATGTCCACTGGTGCTGGAACTTGGGGTGCTTTGAATAAAACCAGCTCAGCCAAGTATGTTGCTATGGGAACGGGAAAGGCCATGAGAAGGTACCCAAGCTCAGAGGCAAACAGGAAGTTTGCTTTTTGAAAAGAAATACAGAATGACGGTTGATTGGCAAGGCCAGAGCACCCACCTGCGAAGAAAGCCTATTTTAAGTTTCTGGGAGCATAGCTGTGGGCTTGGGGTGGGGTGGCCCAGGTGATATGCTCCCCTTGCGCTGTAGCGGAGTGCAGTAGCATGCCCCTCCGAGTTCACGTTCCCTTGATTAAGTCTTTGCCAGTGTAACTCGTTAAGGTGAGGCGGTGCTAGGGTAGGTGGGTTCTTAGTCTAATGACTGGTGTCTGTGAAGAAGTGAGAGGGCCACACAATGACCCACATGGGGAGGGAAGCCATGTGAACACAGGCAGAGATTGGAATGATGCAGTTAGTTGCCCAGGACGGTCCCAGCATCAGAGGCTGGGATTGGGGAGGAAGGAAACCTCCCAGCACCGTCAAAGGGAGCCCGGCCAGCTTCGGCCTTGATCTCAGGCCGCTGCCTCCAGAACCTTGGGAGAATACATTTCTGTTGCTTGAAGCCTCTTAGTTTGTGGGGATCTGTTTGGGCAGCTCCAAGGAGCCAGCGGAACCGGGGGGTGGTGGTGGTGGTGGTGGATCATCATGGAACATTCCTCCCAGGAGCCTCATGAATATTTTTCAAGGTAGTACCTCAAGCCCCTGGCCTTGCCCCTTGGTGGAGACAGGAGCTGCTTGGTGCGAGGCTCCCATGGTGTAACTCTGCTCTCCAGGTCCCTCAGAACTGAGAGAGGAGGAGTATGGCCTGCCCCGGGGCCCCCTCCTTGTGTTCCCGGTTTCCTTACCAGCTTCATCTCTCTCTTGCTTTCATCACATCGGTGGGGCAGAATGGGCATGATGGAGGGAGGAATGAGGACACCGCTCAGAGTGTAGATGCGGCCGTTTTGGGCAATGACCTCGGTGTCTTCCACGGCCACATCATTCGCCAGGATCTGGCCCTGGGAGGAAGCAATGACATCCTTTGCCCCAGCCTGCAGGACAGCAGCCATCCCAGGCCCCTCCGAGCACTGGCCACCCCTCAGACTGTTGCTCTGAGAAGGGCCTGGCTGATATGGAAAGATGGACTTTTTTTAAAAAAGATTGATTGATTGATTGATTTGAGGGGGTGGGTGTTGCGGAGGATGGGGTGAAGGACGGAGGGAGAGAGAGAATCCCAAGCAGGCTCCAGGCTCAGCAGGGAGCATGACTCGGGGCTTGATCCCGTGACCCTGAGACCCTGAGCTGAGACCAAGAGTCCGAGGCTTGACTGATGGAGCCCGGCCGCCCCCAGCGAGAGACGGATCTTAAACGAGCCGGGGCCCAGATGCTTCTGCAGACATGGTGCTTGCAGGCCAGCCTCGCGGGGCCTGGATCCATGGGGATCCAGGAACACAGCCATGGGGTGCGTGTGGCCACACCTACCAACTGCCTGTTAGGCTCCACTTTCGGCGCTGGGGCTGCACCGACGGGGACCCCGGGAAGCCCTGCTCTAGCCGAGCGGCAGGACGTGAACCGCCTGGCGGTGAGTCCCACCCGCTTCCCTGCTCGCTTGTCCTGCGGCGCTGACCACGACCCGGCCCGGTGGCTCCCGGGGGCTCGGGGACGTCTTCCTGTAGCCCGTCCCATCCCAGATTCCCTGGGAGCTCCCTTCAGACGGCAGCTGCCATCCCCACGGCCCTGGAGCCCGGGTCTGAGTCGCCATCTCTGCGCCAATGCCTCCAGCTCCCAACCAGCTTCTCCCGAGGGACGAGGGACGAGGGACGGATGCCCAGCACGGCACCTCGCTGCTCCATATCCCGCCCCTTATCTCTCACCAAGAGTAAGGCCTCAGGCCCGAGTGTGACCTGACTGCGCTCCTCCTCCTCTTCCCACTGCCCTGACTGTCCCTCCTTCTCTTCCTTCACCCCCTCTGTTCAGGCGCCACGATCTGGCTGTTCCTCCACAGGCACACGCTTCTTTCTGTGTCTGTCCTTGCGCTCTCTCTCGCTCACGCTCTCTCTCTGGAATGCTCTTTCCCCCAGATATTCTTGCTGCTTGCCTGTATTTTCATGTCCTTCAGGCCTTTGCTCAGCTGTTCTCTGCTCCACCACCTCCAACACCTCCACCACCTCCACTTCCTCCACCACCTCCACCACCTCCACCACCTCCACTTCCTCCACCACCTCCACTTCCTCCACCACCTCCACTTCCTCCACCACCTCCACTTCCTCCACCACCTCCTCCACCACTACCACCTCCACCTCCTCTACCATCACAGCCTCTACCACCTCCACCTTCTCCACTTCTCCCACCTCCACCTCCACCACTACCTCCACCACCTTCACCTCCACCTCCACCTCTACTACCTCCACCTCCTCCTCCACCTCCACCACCTCCTCTACCTCCACTACCTCCACCTCCACTACCTCCACCTCCACTACCTCCACCTCCACCACCTCCACCACCTCCACCACCTCCACCACCTTCTCCACTTCCACCACCTCCTCCACCTCCTCCACCTCCACCACCACCTCCTCCACCTCCACCACCTCCTCCACCACCACCACCACCACCTCCACCACCTTCACCTCCACCACCTGCACCTCCACCACCACCACTACCTCCACCATCTCCACCTCCACCACCTCCACCACCTCCACCTCTACCACCTCCACCACCACCACCATCTCCACCTCCACCACCACCACCATCTCCACCACCACCACCACCTCCACTACCACTACCTCCACCTCCACCACCACCACCTCCACCTCCACCACCTCCACCTCCACCACCTCCACCTCCACCACTACCACCACCTCCTCCACCTCCTCCACCTCTACCACCTCCACCACCTCCACCACCACCTCCTCCACCTCCACCACCTCCCCCACCACCACCACCTCCACCATCACAACCTCTACCACCTCCACCTTCTCCACTTCTCCCACCTCCACCTCCACAACTACCTCCACCACCTTCACCTCCACCACCACTACCTCCACCACCTCCACTACCTCCACCTCCACCATCTCCACCCCTCCACCACCTGCACCTCCACCACCACCACTATCTCCACCATCTCCACCTGCACCACCTCCACCATCTCTACCTCCACCACCTGCACCTCTACCACCTCCACCACCACCACCATCTCCACCTCCACCACCACCTCCACCTCCACCACCACCACCTCCACCTCCACCACCTCCACCTCTACCACCTCCACCACCACCACCTCCACCAGCATCACCAGTGGATTAACAGGAGACATAATCTGTGTCCTCGCAGCCTTGTACTGTTGTTAGACCAGGGGATCAGCTGAATAAAGCCGCCTTCACTGAGTCTCTTAAGTGAGTCATGTTCCTTCCCACCACAGGGCCTCTGCACAGTCTCCCTGCTGCTTGGATCTTTCTTCTACTCATCTCTGCCCAGGTTGCCTGTACTCACCCTTTGAAGCTTGCCTAAAGCATTGCTTCTCCCTGCCCCGAGGACCTCTAGACACCCAGACATGTGCAGCTTCCTCCTATTGTAAACTCTCACCATAATTAAAATGACACTTCTTATAATCGTAACAAAATCATGAGCAGATCATTACTAAGCTGTTTAAAGTGTGTTTTCCTGGCTGCAGTGTAAGCCTGTCTTCCTCACTGCTTTATCCTTGGCATCTAGTTCTGGGTCTCACACGGGCACTTGGTCAGCAAATAAACACAGCAGTGAAGTGAAAAAAATAACAAATAAATGCAGTGATCCTAAAGACACAAGCCTGTGAGTTAGGGTAGAGGTAGGCCAATAGCGACAAGCAGAGCAGAAACACATGTGAGTTGTGACACCTACATTGTTTGTGGTGTTGAACTGGATGAACTGGTTGGCCAGACTCCTAATGTGTGGGGCCAGAATGAGGGTCGCCACCTCAAGCTGCAAAGAGAAGAGAACAACATATTTTGAGCGAGGCATGAGCCCTGCTTTTGTGAAGGTCTCATTGGAAACAATAGTCTGGAAGTCCAGGAAATAAATAATGGGAGCCCTGGTTTCACCAGTTTTGTGGCTTCGAGGGTCCCCTTGATAATGGGTTCATTATTCCCCACCCAGGGTAGGCCCAGAGCTACAAGTAAAGAACCACTGTCACGTGTTTTCTGGTGCCTTAATAACAGAATGTGAGACTAGGTCAGATACGGGGACAATAGGGAAAATAGGGCAGGAAGTGGGGCCAACCTGAGTAAGTGGGACAATGTGGTATCTGACGAGTTCCAGAAGCTTCCGGGATCCCTGCAAAACAATCAAAATACTTCTTTAGTCCCTGTAGGAAGTACTGCTCTCCCCTTTTGTGGGGACCCTCCTCTAGTTACTCTGGACACATAATCAATAAAAATAAATGACCCCTAGTGTCCTCACTGGGAGGGCAGGGTGAAAGGGCCCCAACACCGAGGAGCCGAGCTTCACCCCATTCCTGTGCTGTGGCAGCAGCCACTCTGGAAGCACTCTGCGCACGTTTTATTTGATTTTCTTAAAAGCCTTGTGGGGGGAAGGACTGCTATCGACTCATTTTACGTGTGACACCGGCGAGTTTTAGCTACATGAGCTCACCAAGCTAACCTAGGGGATAAGCCTAAGATGTCCACCCTCAATTCCATCATCTCTTAGAAGGTCTGAAGCCACATTCTGGAACTGCTAAGGCAGCCTCAGCTTACGATCCTATTTCACTTCCTCCATAAGTGAATGTCCGTGTGTCGGACCACATCCTGGTAATTTGGGAATGCCCCACCCTTCTAGGAACAGCTGGGCAGACACCTCCCCTCTGCACCTGCATGGTACATGGTCATCGCTCCTCCAAAGCCCTGCCCAGGGTCTCTCATGCCCCAGAAGTGTTTGCAGCAGGTGGAGGAAAAGGGGTCTTGAGACTCTCGGCAGGGGGAGCCATCCCCACAGGGGTGGCCTGGGGGGGAGCCCGCAGAGGTGAGGGGCGCAGGGGACCTTTCTGTGGGGCACAGCAGCCGTGGGGTCTGCTGCAGTTGGCCTGCAGACTCCCTGCAGTCAGAGCCGGGGGCACAGGCTTCCTGACACTGGAGTTCTGCTTCTTAAGTGGCACACTGGTGGACGCACGGGTGAGGCTGGGAGGAGGATCACAGTCAGGTTTGCAGGAGCCTCCCCAAGGCTGACTACCCCAGGCGCAAGCTCCAGTAGCCAGCGGCCCTATGAAGAACAGGCCCTGTGCACTGGGTCTAGGTCCCCAGGTCGTGAAGTGACCACACGTCCTGGCTCGTCTGTGGCCACCCTGCTTTCTGCCCTGTATGCTGGCAACTGCATTCCCTCTGGGTGATGCATTGTGTGGTCCCCACAACTACACAACTACCAGCCCACAGCACTGTGAGCCAAGCAGGGTTAGCAGTAAGAATGTTGACATGGGACCCTGGGGACCAGCCCTGGATGTGACACTTCCTGCAGCCCTAGCTCTGTTCCTGGGTGTCTGGCTCTTGTCTTCCCCTCACAGCTGCTTCACGGTTCCCACATGTGAGCACTTGCCGGCAGAGGCAGTGCTACTACAAGTTTGGATGTTCAGTGGTGGAAGGGGTGAGAAAAAGTGGGGACCGATGGGTGATGCCAGCCCAAAGGGACTGCACACCCTCGGGAGGCAGGGGCCAGATCTGCCTGGTGTATGAATGGGCTGCCAGGCCATAAAGTGTGTGGCATATGGCGGGCCCCGTGCAAACACTTGTGCCAATAAGTTAAAAGGGGGGAAGGGGTCCTAGGAAAAGCACTGAGCTTGACCTTGCGGTCCTGATTGGGCCTCTGTCACCCTGAGCATGCCACATGGCTCCCTCCAGGCCTTGGTTTCACCTGCAGAATAAAGAGTAGTGGGACCCCTTCTGATCCTCTGATTCTATAGGGAGGACGTTACCGACTGGATCATTCACTTCCAGAGCCCCAGAATTAATTGGCGTTGGATCCTTTTTTTACATGAAGCAGGAGAAAGAAAAGGGCCGAGGAGCTGCTGGGCATCATCCCTGCCATCGTGTGTGCCTGTTGCCTCGTGTGGCCGTGGGCCACGAGGGCCATCATTCATTTAGGAGTCAGTCCAGGTGGCTCAGCTAAGCAGGATGCGTGTCCAGGAGCTGCTGTTTTTAGCAGAGCCTCTCTCTCATGAAGACATCTGCCCCCTCCCTGACGTTTTAGGTAAAAAAAAAACAAAAACAAAAACAAAAAAACAAAAAAACAAAAACCCAGCCCTTTGATGCCAGGTCATAGAGCTTTTCTACCACATTGCTCGTATGAGCCCGGACTCCACGGTGTCACCTCCCTTTATCTCATGAGCTGGTGGGGTCAGTCTCTCCTTCCCTTTGCTTTTGTTTTGCCTGGTTCGGTGACAAATCATAACTGGGGCTGCTTATCAGTAGCTGCAGTCTCTGTGGGGGCAGGATAGTTCCTGGACTTTTTGCTTTAGTTCTCCCCGAAGCAAAAAGATATGCTGGGAAGGAAATGTGGCATTCTAAGATCAGAATCAGAAGCCGCTCCTCTAATGAAATCTATTTATTTTCCATTTCATCGGCAGAGCTGATGGGGCCCTTTCTGTCTCCTGCTGGATTTCATCCCTGAAATAAAGCTGAAGCATGCTATTCAAATGTCTGGAGAGACAAAGACCTTCCTAGAGGTTGAGAAGCTTTAACTCAACAGGCTCTGGACCTGAGAATAAAGCGGAAAAGATCATCCTATTCCTCACCTAGAAACCAATGTGGAAGGAGACTGTTGACTCAGAACCAGGAAACTTGCAGCGTTTATAACCTTTGAGGGCAGAAGGATGCTGCCTCTGGGAGCAAGGAGATGGGGAGCCAGCGGCAGCGGCACATCGGTTCTCTGTGGAGCCAAGGGAGCCCTGAGCCCCGAGCTCCGCACAGGCCAGCTGCTGCTGTAGAAGTGCTCCCGCCCTAGGTCAGTGTCAGGCTGCAAGGCGCTCTCCCTGGAGGGGGCTGGGAAGACTACATAGTCTCCTCCCCATAGCCCAAGCAAGCTGCTCCAGCCACAGCTCCAAGGACTTAGGAAGGAAGACAAAGACGAGAGCTTTCTGAGCAAAGGTGGTTGACAGAAAAGCAGGGAGGTTGCTATTTTTCTATTCGAATGAAAAGATTTTGCTTTAATTCTAGGTGTAGCTGGTTAGCTGTCTGAGAACGCCTTTAATATTATTTTTAAAAACCTGTATTAAAGTAGAAGCTATGGACTCAGTGAAGCCATATAATCTCTGGATTTTAATAATCTCCCAGGGGAGTATTATTATTATTATTATTATTATTATTTAATTATTATTACTTTTTTGCTTTAAAATTCAGCGTGAATTTGTGTTCCAAAGAGAGCTACACCAGTTTTTCTGCAATGTTTACGTTTCAGAAAATGTGCATGTGAATCATACATAGTTTTACAACAGTGCTCTATCTTGAAGACACTGGGAAATCCAACTGTTCAAGCAGAAAGCCATAGTGAATCCTTTCACATGGTGAACATCTGCTTGCAATGTGAGAGATTACCTTCTGATTTATCTTTTGGATCCACACGTTTTTTAATCCAAAATTTTCTGAAAGCAAGATGTCCTTGTAGATGCCCAAAAGTATTCTAGAGAGGTTTGTAGCCCTGTGCATCTCTAAGCCATACATGCAACGAGTCTCAGGGTTCCAGAAACAGTGTGGCCTGGGTCACCTGAGTTAAAAAGTTGGTACTTTCCCCAAATGTCTATTTCTAGATCTCATAGAGGTGCCATTAAATCAGAACGCTTGGGGAATGGTTTGTGAGCCACCTACATAACAGGCTCCAAGGGTGATTTCTAAGTACACTGAAATTTAGGAATCTCTGCCCTAAAAGATCCGGGCCCCTCATTTTGTGCAATGAGCTGATCTACATGAGGTTGTGAGTAGTCTTGCCCCATTGGCAGGATGGTGGCATGATTTTAGGGCACTGGAGGAAGGCTGTGGCCCTTCCTAGAATTCCATCACATGACATTCTAATGAACGAAATTCCATAATTAGTCACTCTTCCCTTCAGCTTTAGGCTGTTATTTCTGGGAGAGGAAACACTTTAACTGGTGCCAGTGATTTACGCTCTTGGGTGAAGGAGAAAAATCTCCTTTCTAGATGAGAATGTGAAAGAATTGAAGTCTTATGGTAAATAGGGGTGGAGGGTTATTGTGAAGAGAGGTGAATGCAATAGAAAGCAATGTCTGGGGCATCTAAAAATAACATTTATTCCTTTTTCTTTTTTTTAAAGAGGGTTCCATGTCTAACATGGAGCCCAACATGAGGCTTGAACTCACGACCCTGAGATCAAGACCTGTGCTGAGGTCAAGTCAGGTACTTAACCCACTGAGCCACTCAGGTCCCCCAAGATTTGTGCCTTTTACATTTAGCCTAGACCTGGCCCAGGATGGTTTAGTTTGGAATTCATCTTCTCGGTAGTTTTGGAGTAGGGAAATCAAAATATTGATTTTGCCACTGAGAAATACTAGAAGAGCCAGGAAAAAAATCAAACTAATCATGTAGAACTAGGGCAGCAAATAGATTTTATTTCGTGTGCTCAGTCTGACTGGCTACTTGGAACTCTGTCCAGGATATTGGAGCCACATCCATGGTTCCAGAGGACTGTGATTGATTAATGATGTCTGCCTCGGTTGCTAGAGGGTAGATGGTGATACATGAACATCTCTAGTTTGCAAAAAGTCTGTATGGGCATAGGCTGAGGCAGCAATGCTGACACGATGCCATCAGAGTACGTAGAATACCATACCTCTGGAGAAAGGAGGTAATCAAGAGTGCCATCCTTCATGTTGTCCAAGGCTTCATTACTTGGAACAAAAATGGTGTATGGTGTGCCAGCCCCATCTTCTTCTAAGGCACGTCCCACATTGGTTTCCTGCATTTGAGAAATGAAAGGTTATATCTGCAACCTATCTCTGACAAATACTTCAAGTCATTCCTTGGCAAATATTTATCATTGACACCTCTGCTCATTATATAAAAGACTGGACATAAAACCATGTTCCAGAAGCTCATGAAAAGTACGTACCTCTAACAAAGACCTGAACTTGCTGTATTTTAGTTGCAGCATTGTCATTATGGTTTGCTAAAAATCACAAAAAGAAACAGGCAGTTTAGGAAGTAGACACCCCAACATTAAAAGGTTTGTGACAGAGTTTATAGGTAAATGTGGATAGAAAAGAACCAAGTCAACCACAACACATTATAGAAATGCTTCCTGTTGTTATTGAAAAAGTGGTTTAGATCTGTGTATTCTGAGGTAGCCTTTGGCCATCATCAAATGAGTCAAAAGAAATAAATTTCTATTGCAGTGAGGATTGCCCTCCCCCATAAAGCACAAGAGAGAACTTTTCATGACAAATGGATACTAGACTGAATCATCATATGTGGCCATGAAAGAGGTCATAAAATTGAGATCTTTCATGCACCTGTTGTATGGTTTTCTTTCTGTTGGCAAAAGTACCCAGGATTCCACTGAAAACAGAAATTATCCTATTTTCCCCATGGTTAGGGTCCTAGAGCACAAGAAGGACAACCACATAGTGCTGGCATGCATTTTCTTCTTTGATATGACTCTCCCGGGAACAAAGAAAGATGGATTTGGGAAATGTCTCACCTCAGTGTTGCTCTCAAATGTGGGTGTCATCTGGTCCATGGCTCTGTCAAGGATGTGCAGGAGCCCATTGGAAGCAACTATGTCCCCCTGTATAATTTTTACCTTCTTTTTGCCTCCACAGAGTTTAAGCTTTATTTGATTGTCCTAAAACACCAAGAAAAAATAAAATTCATGTGGTATCCTTGAAGGAGTACTGGATTAGAAGTCCTGAGTCCTTGGCTGTCATCTATTGGCTATATGATCTTGGATAAATCACTTAATCTCAAATAGGAAAGTTGGCACTTGCTTGCTTGATTTCACAGGTCTTTCATTAAGATCAAATGAGATAATGTGTGAAACCACTGATGACTACCAGTGATTGCTAAATATGAATAAGGAATCATAAGTCTCCCCCAATAGCCTGCAAGGGCAAAAAGGGCAAAACGATTCAATTTACCGTAAACTTATCACCTACTTTAGTGTGTTTTATAGCCAAGGCACAGAATAAAAAATTTTTGTTGCATAAATGACTGAAACTAATTCCTTCTTCCTTTCATGTGGCTCTTATAAGCTATAGACAATAAATATGTATTGAATGAGTGAAGGAATGGGTGAATGAATGAATGAGTGAAAGAATGTCCTTGTGAGAAAAGAAGCTACATTTTCATCCATCTATCTAGATATCTCTGTCCATCATCCATCCATCCATCTGTCCACCGTCCATCCATCCATCCATCCATCCACCCATCCGTCCATCCGTCCATCCACCCGTCTGTCCATCCATCCATCCTTACACACACAGTACAACACACTGGTTAATGAATCAGGCAAGGAGATCTGCATTTGAATCTTGCCTCTGGCCCTTACTCATGATCTCTTGGTTTTCCCACTTGAAAAATCTCCTTTATGAGGTTGTTGCCAGTCTTATACAACATAAATGAAGGTTTACGTCAGTATTTTGCATAGATTAAGTGCTCAATAACCTATCAACTGTTGATAGTTGGTGAAATACAACAATATAGGTCATAACCCGCACATGCATGTTCTATTAATCACATCCTCTTTCGCTCAGTAAAGTGACAGGAAAAGTAATTTGTGAGAAGGGGGAGGGTAGTTTTACATAAACAACAGAACAGGACTCATGGCATAGGGGAGAAAGAGTGCTAGGTTTGCAGAAGATGGATAAGCTCCAGCAACCTAAAACACAAACATAATCCATTTCCTTTTATAAGAGGGATGCTGATCTGGCTTTGTGCCGGCACTTCCAGGAAACACACTGCACAGCTTCTCCTTCCTGCTGACACCTGAATGATGTGCCCTTAAAGATGAATTCAAACCACAGCAAAGCCCAACATTTTATAACCCTGTCTCCACAATCCTCCTCTCCTGCCAGATCCCTCCTGGTGTTGCTCTCAGCTTCTTCCCTCATAGGGAAGTGCTTTGGCAAACAAGGAATAAAGAAGGAAGTTCCTTGTAACCTGCACGGGGCCAAACACAGACAGAGATTCTGTGGGCACTGGCTCAGCAGACACTTCTTTTCTGGGAGTGAAAATCAGAGAGACCCTCACCTTATCGCCATTGAAGATTTCTCCTGACTTTCCAGTCAGGGTGTAGAAAGTGTCTGTGTTATTCATACGCTCGGTGCTCATCTGCCCAGCAATTATGTGGAGTTTCACAAAGTACTGAGCAGCCTCCTTATCCACCAAGAGATCTTCTACCTAAGGAAAAAGAGCCAGTTCTCTCAGTCTCCATTGGTGTTTAAAGGACAAAGTGAGGCTGTGGGGCATGCACTGGCCACTCAGAGACACCAATGCCAGGGTACCCTAATTCGGGCTTGGGCTTTCTCAGACACAGGTGACTTTGGGGGCAGTGCCATCTGGAGAGTGGGAGGTGGTGTTCCGTGTCCTCCCAGACCGCCAGCAGTAAGGAAGGTGTAGGCACTCAGCAATCATCTTGAGCCCACAGAGCAGACGGGAAAGAAACAAGAAGTTATGTGAAAAGAAAGTGCAAACTCAGGGTTGCAGAAGGGGAGGTGGGTGGGGGGACGGGGTAACTGGGTGACTGACTGGCACTGAGGAGGGCACGTGATAGGATGAGCCCTGGCTGTTAGATGCAGCTGATCAATTATTGAAAACTACATCTGAAACTAATGATGTACTGTATGTTGGCTAATTGAATTTAAATTTAAAAAAGAAAGTGCAAAGTAGATCCATAGAGCTTTTGAACAGGAAAATTAGGATTTTTGAAATCCACTGGACCAACTCTACATTTTGTCAGTATTAAATTTTGTCAGCAATCATTCAACAGATACTTTTTATTAATTCTGTGTGAATAATCTATATATTAAACAAGAGACCACATGCAAAGTGCCTTGTGCAGAGACATTCCCTATTCGAAAGTTTCCTTCCCCAGTAGGAGGGACATGAGGCTACTTCTGAAGTTTAATGGCTGATTCATCTCAGATTGTCTGACAGTGGTGGATATTAGGGTGAGGGGTCTGGCACTCCCTGGGTTTTTATTCAATGCAGCAAAAAATTATCATCACAAAATATCTTGGATTAAGATAAACCACTTTTATGCACATCATCACGTCCATTATCTCTGTTAAACCAAAAGTAACAGCTGTATTGACACCTTCATGATAGGATGCCTCCTCCAGGCATCATGGATTTCATTCCCACTGCATGATATTACTTCAGACAGCAGCTGCTCATGTAGAAGACCACAGTGTACTCCTACTTTCCTCCACCGTCATCATTTACGATGACTTTTTCTTAAGTAGGCACCACACCTAGCATGGAATCCAGTATGGAACCCAGTGTGGGACCAGAACTCACAACTCTGAGATCAAGACCTAAGCCAAGATCAAGAGTTGGACGCTTAACCAATGGAGCCACCCAGGGATTCCATCATTTATTATGATCTTAAAGGAATGAATATATAGCTTATATGTTAGGTTAATTCTTCTTGCAGGAAGTAAGCAGTTTTACGTTATGCAAATTCTATTTATCATGTGATGATACTTAAGATCCCTCAGTTGTTACCTTTGAAGGGGTCTTGATTGGAAGGGGACACTGGTGGGCCCTCTAGAGAGCTGGTAAGGGTCTTGCTGGACATGCAAGTACATGTCTTACAATCAGTGTACATGTGGTCAGGGTGTCATATTTTACTAAACGTTTACTTACCCCCCCCACCCCAATCACCATCCTTATCATCAGTAGATTTAATTTTGTTGTGGGTTTACCACTTTATTTTAAATACTTACATTGAATCCTTTCAGTCCCTTGTCTGTGGGCAAGAGCACAGTGAAGGGTCCCAGGTTAGTTAGCGGCCAGGCATAGGTTTTGTCTTGGGAATAGAAATATGTAAAGAAGGAAAACACCAAGTGAGTCAGAGGCATATGAAGAGTAAATCAAGCAATGAGCTTATCTATTCTAACTGGTATGTGTGGCTCTTGTAACCCGGGAAGCTCCAAGAAAGCAAAAGGCGTCATGATGCACGGCCCCAGAGGAGTTCTACGGAACTATGGTTTGGCTTCAAGGAGACCCTGGGATGACACCTTCTGTGAGGGTCATGTGACAAAATCCTCAGACAATCCTGGCAGGTCCCTGACCCGTGCCTGACTTTCTGGGCTGTTTGTCATCACAGTGAGTGGAGACACAGGCCTGTTCCATCCAGGGCCAGCTCAGAAGAGCCTCATGCTTGATGTAATTCTCTGCTGTTGCCGCCGTGAAATGTTTAATAATTTTTGAACAAAGGACCCCATCTTGTCATTTTGCATGATGCCCTGCAAGTTATGTAGCGGGAGCTGTTTCCATCCTGCTGGAGAAGCTGGGACAGCAGGGCGGGCTCTGGGCTGTCACATAGCAGACAACGTGGACCAGCACTTCATAAGTGGGTGGAAGGTGATGGGGCTTTGTTCAGGGAAATGCTCGAAGGAATACTCTGGAAAGGACACTGTCACCCCTGCCTGCTGTCATCTGATAGTCTGAGGCCTCAGAGGGAGGCTGTAAGAAGCCGGAAGCAAGTCACAAGTACTTGATTCCCTGGAAGATGCCTGGGCAAGAGGAGGATACGTGTGCAGGCTGGGTGGGAAGACCTATGCCAACAAGGTGGCACTGATCCATCCTCTGTGCTCTTTCTGGGAAATCATTTTTTGGTGACTGGTGAATTCTTGGTATTAACATTTTAAGGCTTCTGTTGATTGGTCAAGTCAGTGTTTTACTTTCTGTTGATTGGCCAGATTTGTATCTTATTGAAAGTCTTGTCCAATGGGGCAATCAACTGTAATAGTTCGTTCTCAAGGGGGTGTTAGGTAATGGCCCCTGGAGGGCATTTGGAAAAGATGAAGGCATTTTAGATTGTCACCCTGCCTGAGGGGCTGGTGTCACTGCAGACAATTAGTGGCTGGGGAGGGGGTGGGGCAACAATGCTAAACACCAGGAACATGTGAGAAGATCACACCACCTGTTCTCCAAATTCCCTGGCCCCCACTGTGGACCATGGATACAGCCCCAGGTTTTAGTGACTCTCTGTTCCCTTATTACTGCCAAACTTGCTTCACATTTGGAGGACCCATAAGGTCCAGGGAAAGAGAATGGTCTCCATCCTCACATCAGTAGCTGCCCTATCACATTGTTACTGCAGACTTGTTAATCTCCAGTGACCCCAGGACCCTGTCCTCAGCATTCTGCCTACCACCTGTTGCACTGCTGGACCTCTTGGCACTACCTCCTTGTCTCCTTGGACAGAGCTGCCTGTTTTTTCCCTCTGGCCTGCATGATGCCTCCCTAGGGACCCAATTATAATAGATGCCTCCCCTGTCCCTTTCTGAAGGATTGTGCCTTGCAGGTGCCTTGGCTGCAAGATGATTGCCCTTTACGTGTCAATCAACACCTGTAGCCACATACCCAGGAGTGAGATGAAAGAGGTCAATCTTCCTTGCCATTTTCCTTTGGGTTCAGTGTTTAATTCCCTCAGTTGCTCCATGATGTTTCCGTAACAAGTTGAGCCGTCACCCACGTAACCCTTCTGGCAAGTGCATCTACGGGGAAGGTGAAAACACAGTCTCAGGGGTTAGAGCCATTGAGTATTGAGAGCCTCCAGACCAACTCCCTGTTAGAGATCAGAGAAAGGGCGAGGGCTGTGCACGTTTTTTTTAAGATTTTATTTATTTATTCATAGAGATGCAGAGAGAGAGAGAGAGAGAGAGAGAGGCAGAGACACAGGCAGAGGGAGCAGCAGGCACTACTCAGAGAGCCTTGATCCAGGGTCTCCAGGATCACACCCTGGGCCGCAGGCGGCACTAAGCCGCTGCACCACTGGGGCTGCCCTGTGCACATGTTTATGCCCTGCGTTAGTGCGAGATCTAGTGCAGAGCTTGGTTTAAGCAGGTGCCTGCTGAATGGTTGAAAATAACTGGCACTCAAATTGCAAAAAACACATAAACAATGAAATTTACCACAGTTTTATACAACAGTTTCATAAAAGACTAAGAGTCAAGGAAAAAGTGTAAAGGTGTGCTTGCAGGCTGAGCCGGTACGCACTTAAGAGCCAGTGCTCGGCAGAGTCAGGTTGGAGCCCAGTCTGTCCCCGTGGGTCACACTGCACCTTGGCCTGTCTCAAACTGCGGTCGGCTATTAGCCAGCTTGCACAATCCCGAAAATTCAATCATCGGCTTCCCGGGCTCAGGAAGCGGCTGGCTCCAGGGCTGGCTCTGGACAGCCCTGCTACATCACTGAGGTTTGCTGGCCACTGACTGAAGCTGGCAAGGTGCTTGGTGCTTAGGAAGGAGACGTTCATCAGGGTCCCGGGGTTAGTGAGGAACCTGACACAAGGCGGGGGGCCGTGGCAAGGTGAGAGGTGCAGGGAGGCCGCCGTTGTCCATCCCACAGGTGTGACTCCCGTCGGGGAGAGGCTTCCAAAGGACGGTTACACACTCACAAGTCCAGTTGTGTCTCCAAAAATGGTCCCATGGCAAACAGACATATTTTCAGCAAGTTTGCTGAACAAATATTTCAGGGTTTTATTACCCCTGCCCAGATGGCTGTGTTGACTTCCTCACCAGCTTTTCCACCCCTCAAATCAGTCCTTCACACAACCCTCTGAGGGGTCTCTCCAGAAGGGAAATCTGGCACCCTGGAGCTTGAAACGACGTGGACTCTGTTCACCCGTGGAAGAGGGTCTGGCCCATAAGACACCTGGGGGACTTGCCTGTGTCTCCTTCCTGCTGCATGTTGCAAATTTCAGCAATCCCAAATTTTTAAGACTGTGATGTCTTTCTCAGGCCATGTGCCCTGCCAGCAATATTCTCCTGGCCTCGCCTCATGGCTCAGGCATGATCTGCTCTAAGGAGTATCACTGGCCTCCTGACTCTCCCTGATCGGAGCAGCCAGGGGGCACCTCCTCCTCCACAGCCCTCTCTGCCTGAGGTGTATCTCCTCTGCTGGATGGGAAGCTCGCCTAGGACCTGCATCCCACTCACTCCTCATTATATCCAGCACTTGGGATGATGCCTAATTGTCGAACTGCTTATTTGCCAAGTATCTACTTAATTCTAGGGAGCTTGCTAGGAAGGAGGCTACAAAGGTGATGATAACAGATGTCTGGCCCTGTTAGTATCTCACATGCTGAAGATGGGCCTGAAAACAAACAATTTTTAGCAACAAAATAAAGCCACTTGACTTCCTGAAGTCTCAGCTCCCTCATCTGTGAAATGGGTTTACTAACACCTTTAGGGTTGTCAACGGAGGAGATGATGCACCAAGGACAGCTGGCACAGTGACTGACATGTAGGAAGAGCTCCGTACTTGGTAGATGGTGATGACTATGACAATGATGGTGACAGTGTTAGTGAGATGGGAAAAATGGAGCCACCCATCCTGTGGAGGAGCCAGGATACAGCAGGGCAAGTCCCTAAACACAGCTGAGTTCCAGAGAAGGACCATGAGGGAAGGTTGAATAGGATGCTATGGGGCACGGAGGGGGAAGTGAGCACTTGTGCCCGGAGAAATATGGGACAGTTTCTAGGAGAAAGGACCACTTAAAATAATTCTGGGACACATGTGAGTCTCCTGGTTGGATGGGTGATGGGCAGATTATTTACTGATTGAGACTCTGGAATTTTTATAGAGCAACCAGAGTGCCCGGGAGACACTTGAGAATGTCCAGAGATATTTTTGGTTGTCATAACTGAGATAAAAGTCCTGCTGGCATCTGACGGCTGGAGGCCAAGGATGCTTTGAGTGCCCTACAATGCACGGGGCATCCTCCACAACGACAGGTCCTCCAGACCCCAAATGTCGATAGAGTTGGAGGAACCATTAATGTGAAACAGTGGTTTCACTGTTACGTGTACTCAACATGGTCAAATAACAGTTTCCTACCCAAGCACCAGCTTCCTCCGCAGGTGCTGTACTCCACGACGGTGAATTTGCAAAGCCCACAGGGAGACTGGTACCTCCTAGGGTGACACAATAGTCCTTGTGCTAAATTACATGAATGTCATTTCAAGACAGCTAATAATAGCAAGAAGAAGCTTGAACAAACTGCCAAGTACGTTTCTCTCTAAAACTTCCCTAAGCTGTGGTGAGGCCAATAGTCTGTTCTGTGTACAGTGGCTTGGCTGGTCTAGGAGTGGCAGGAGAATTGTTTTAACAGTCATAGCACCGAATGGAATGTGTGGGATATAAACACTTTTCATTGTTGTTTAAAATCTTGGTCCAGAATCTGAGATTTCACGAGATGGGGTGTCTGACTTCAATGCTTTCAGTGGCCGTGGCATGTTCCCTGCAATCAAGTTGCTTCTTTATTAGGAGCGAAGGCCTCTTGCTGTCTTGCAGCTCTGAAAATATCCATAAGCCACTGGCATTTTATAAGTTATGCAATGGAATTACTTACGTGGAGTGTTGGCTGAGATCTAGAAATTATAGGGTGTCCCAAAGGACTGACTGGTTGCTTCCTTCCCTTGTTTGCTTGTTCATTTCAGTCCTTCACTGATTCATTTGTTCCTCCAAAGTGTCACTCATGTCATTGTTTTAATAAGTGACAGGAGCTGTTGCACTAAAGATGAGGGAGGCGGGACCCCCAAGGACCTTCCATCACAACTGGGAATGGAGATCAGTGAGACTGATAGCCAGCCTCTATTGATAGCTGCTATTCCAGTCACCTCTGCAGGGGCCTCATCTTGGTATCTTACCTAATACAACAACGCTATGAGGTAGGTTCCATTATTAGTCACATTTTAGGTGGGCTGATAGAGGGGGACAGAGGGACAAAGAGGTTAGGTATCTCACTCAAGACCACACAGCCTGTCGGTGGCAGTACCTGTGCTCATCACCACTGTGCTGTGTACTCATCACAGTTCAGGGTGAACGAGGGCCAGGGAAGACATCCTAGAGATAGAGACACTTGAACTGAACAGTGAATGATCACTCGATCTTACCCCAAAGGCCAAGAAGTGGTGAACAGTGAAGGGTCAGCTAGCCTGGCTTAGGGGAGGTGAGGAGGGCAATGTCTCTGCAAGGGGACTAGCACGCACAAGTGTATGAAGCTGGGAACCTAATGGTGTGTTTCAAGAACAGTAGTTGGGTGGAACTCTAGCCAAAGGGGTGTCTGTGAGAGTGGTGGAATGGGATTGTTCATCCATACCCCCGCCAACAACCAGCTCTTAGCCATGCCCTGGGGAGGATGGTACCAGGAAGAACTTGTGCGGGTCCTAGGAGCTGGTTTGGAAGCATGCACGCAGAGGTACCTGAGTGTGGTCTATAAGGGGGACTCGGGCCTAGGAGATCATGTCCCTTACTCCTTTGACCCCTTGCCCTGGTGGACCTAGTGTAGGGCTAGAAGAGGGCCCTTTAAAATTCAGTGCTCGGGGCAGGGCCGGAAGCTATTTATTTTTCTTAGTAATCATCAACATGGAGCTTATAGTCTAAAAGGATGCATGTATGTATCGGCTTCACTCTTCCCAGGGAGATATTCTAGGTCTCTAGCAGACTTGTCAGGTGAAGGAAAAGTTATTTGGCCTGTCCAAGGTCTCCCCAGTGATGAGCAAGAGGGCCCACATTTAATCTTGTTCTTTATTGGGTGGACATCTATGACTAGCTCTGTGTGATTTTGAATATTCTGCTTAGAACCTTTGCCATATTGAAGAGGCATAAGCAGAATGAATCTTTATCCAAGGTAACTAAATTACCTGAACTATGTTAGTGATATTAGACCCATATTTACTCAGTGTAATGTAGCCAGTCTTTAGCTCTGTCTTCTTTGTAGCCTGTCCATCTTTTGGGGGGAAGAGGTCCAAGGAGGTTCATGAGTGATACATCTCCTCCTAAAAATCCACTGGTGGCCCCACCAACGTTCTAAACACAAGCTTTAATGCCGCTTAAATTATTCTGATGTTCCTTCCAGTTTCATTTTTGATTTTATCCTTTCAAATACAAAGGAGGGCAAGTGTTTAAAGCACTGCACTCAGACTTTCTGAGACGATGGTAAAAAGTCTGTGAGCTGTCCATGCATATGTGTGGGTGCCTACGTGCCTGCCTGTATGACTGTGGTATGTTGGCGTGTGCGCTCACATGTGTGGAGTGCTGTCTACACGCCAGGTTCTGCTCAGAGGCTGGTGAACATATTCTCTGGAATCCTCATCACAGGCCTAGTGAAAAGTACAGTTCTCCTCTCATGATAGTGGAAACACAACCCAGAGAGGTTAAGGCAAATGGCAGAGCTGGGACTTGACCTAGGTGTCTGACACCTGAGCTCTCTTGACTCTACCCATAGTTGAGTACAGATCTACTTATTTGCCTGGATAAAACACAACAATCATGAAACCTATCTGGGCAGATCCACACATTCAAGACTTGAGTATAAAAAGTATAAGCTTCGAAGAAGATAAAAAGGGGCTCTGCAGACACAGAAACCAGTTAGTAGTTACATAGGTCGATGTCTGCTATGGCTTTGAGGTCACAGCAGCAAAGAGTCCTTCACAGATGCCAATGACAATGGGAACAGAAAGTGACACAGAGGTAGCACCTCTGTCTGGAAGTCAAATACTGGAGTTCTAGCTCCAGTCCAACCACTAATGAAAACATAATAGAGCTGCATAGTCGTTTCTAGAACATTCTCTCATGTAATGTTCACAACATAGTAAACACCACTATGCTCATGTCATACATGGAGGAAACTGAGACCGGAGAGACAGTGTCACTTTCCCAAGGTCATTCACCTGGTAGCTGCCAGTACTGAGACTCAAACCTAAGTCTTTCACTTCCAAAGACCACTTTCTTATCACCTCACAAGCTGCTTTTGCCTCAGGAGTTTTCACACAAATATTTTTACTCTCGGTAAGTCCCTTCTCTTAAAACCTGGAGTCCAGGAAACAGCACTGCTGTTAGTTCACCTTCCCCAATCTTGTTTGGCACCATCAGCAAGCAATATTTCATGAATGAGGAAGCAGCCATACATGTTCAAGGTCAAATGCCTGTCATCACAGCTGACAAGTGTTTTCCTGGCAACGGTGGTTTCCTTCACCCACGCTCTGACCACTTACCACCAAGTCATCAGGTCAGGTCCATGTGTCAGCACTTTCTAAGGATCATTATAAAGGAAACAATTGTTGAATGATTCAGTGATTAAAGAAAGATTTACTTGGTATCTACCATACTTCTTGCATGGTGCTAGGTGGGGGAGGAGGTGGAATCAAGACAGACACATTTCCTACCTTTCAGGGAACTTATAGCATTGACTGGCCACCACATGTTAAGACGGTGTGGAGCTGAACAGACTTACTTGGGTTGGCCCGGTGCGATGGTACTGCAGTTAGCATTCCTGTGACAGGGGTTATTAGACTCACAGACATCCACCATGCTGCACCCCACTCCAGGCATGTAATTGCGGTAATGTTCCTTACACTCACAGTGAGACTTCAGGAGACCAGGAGAGAAAAACAAAGGGCTCTTATTAGTCATGGAGGCTGACATCCTTCTCTAATTCATTTGTATTTTGCCATAAAAACTGGCAGGTCCAAAGTGTGGGCTTAAATGAAAAATTTGTCTAAGTTTTCAGAATTGGGAGTCAGGTCTATATATTTTGCTCATTGGGAAATTACACCTTTGTTGTTAAGTTTACCTTTTTGGCTTTCTTGTTTCCTAATGCTGGGCCTTTCTGGTTCCATAATTCCTGGTTTTAGATTGTCTACCAGTGAGTGGAGACTGAGGTTCATATGGGAAATATTATTGCTTTAGAAGAGTGGTTTTCAGTTAGGAGTCTCAACCTAAGGTACATTGGCAATGTCTAGAGAAATTTCTGATTGTCACAACAGAGGGTGGAGGGTTTGTCACCAGAGGCTGGGGGTGCTGCTATACACCCTGCAATGCATGGGACAGCCCCCACCACAAAGGGTTATCCAGTCCCAAGTGCTAGTAATTCCAAAGTTGAGGAACTCTGCTCTGGAATATTGGGAATAATGAGTGCCTTGCGTCTGTGTGAATGATGGGCTTCTAAGACTTAAAAATTTGCCTTGGATCCATTTTTGGAGACAAAGTTTATTTTTAATCTCACTCCCAACGTCCTGGGAACTTGGCTCAGAGTGTAATATGGCTTTTCCCATAAGGGTCCTCATTTTGAGGATGGAGGCTCAGCTCCTTGCATTTCTTTCCAAACCTGCCTCAGATATTGATAACAGAAATGGCGTGTGATATACATTTTTTCCCCCCAGAAGATAAGATCGGGCAGATTCTCTGCAGAGAACTCCAAGAGCATTGCCATGGAGTGATCGGATTGTCGGGAACAAATGACTCTGCTGAGGTTGGGTACTGAAGCCTTTCCTTCCACCTGGGCAGCAATATCCTTCTGTACAGATAGATTTCCTCCACTGAGCTTGATGTGCAGTTATGGACACAGTGGGCATCTGTTAAATAGTTGATGGATGGATGAGGTATCAGTGAAAAGGCTTTTTCAACTGGATTCCTGAGAAAAGTCTCTGGACCTGGCTGTTTTTTACTCATCAAGGTTATGATATGAGTTAGAGGAACAAGGTCTCACCCCAGAATATCCTCACTGCTCCCTACTCTCTGTTGGGGCTGCCCAACATTTTGTCATGCTCATCTCTTTGGGACAGAATATTTTTGGTTCCAAGAGTCCTCTATGACTTTGAAAAGATGAGAGAGAATGGAGGATTGCAAGTGAAAGTCAATGGCATATTCACCCAAGACTTGTTTAACAGTGAATTTGCTAATCTATTTTGTTTTTTTTTTTAAAGATTTTATTTATTTATTCATGAGAGACACACACACACAGAGAGAGAGAGAGAGAGAGAGAGAGAGAGAGGCAAAGACACAGGCAGAGGGGGAAGCAGGATCCATGCCGGAGCCTGACATGGGACTTGATCCCGGGGCTCCAGGATCACACCCTGGGCCGAAGTTGGCACTAAACCACTGAGCCACCTGGGCTGTCCCTAATTTGTTAATATAATCTAAATATGTTGCCCATCACCATTGAGGACCGGAGCACAAGAGGGGGTAGGACAGTTAAGTTTTTCCTGGGGATCTGGGAAAGTATGAATTCAGAGGATGGATTGGGGAGGGGACAGAGTGAGGTTACCCCTGAGCAGAGGGAGGTCTACCTGGAGAGGAAGCCCAAATTGAGTATTGAAAGGGCCAAGTAGGAGAACCTGGCAGACAAATGCTACCTATGGCACAGTTTTACCTTTGGTGGCCTGTCCTACTTCTAGACACCCTAGTTCCTTGCATCACGTGCTCACCTGTCCAGGCCCGTCATATATGCACACTGTAGACTCTGTAGAGCAGTTTCCGTAGTTAGTCTGGCAGTGGTCTACTGGTAAGCACACCTGGCCATCCCCGTGGTAGCCTTCTTGGCATGTGCAACTGTGCCTATTCGGTCCCAGGTACGTGCAACGTGCGTGAGGGTGGCAGACTGCTTGTAAACATGGATTGATGGCTTGAAAGACAATGACAGGATAAGAGCTCATCAAAATTGCACAGGTAATTTGATAAGTTTAAGAGAGGGAGAGAGTAAGAAACAGTTCATCTTACCTACCTGGTTCCCCCCTCCTGTGGAACAGATTTGTATAAGGCTGTCAGAGATTACAACTACAGATACTGTGTTGATATATTGCTATGCCATGTTATGTGTGGATTTAAATATACAATAGCCTGAAAGGAAGCACTAATGCTTGTAGTATTTGTATGTACTGGCCCAGTCCAAGCATTTCCCATACACTAACTCAGTTACTCCTTACAACAACTCTCTAGAGTAGGAGCCATTATTACTCACATTTGATAGATAGGAAAACAGAGGCACAGGCAAGTTAAAGAATTTGTCCGAGGTCATGTATCTAGTAATAAGTAGATCTGGGATCTGAATGCTGGCAGTCTGCCACCAGCATTCATGCTCATAAACAATACACAACACAATCTCTCACAAAGCAAATGAGCATGGACAGGAAAGGGAAAAAAGAAGGAAAGAAAGAGGGACAGACTCCATTTTATCCTAACATTGGTACAATTGATATAAAACTATGTGTAAAAATCTATTTATGTGTTTTGATGATATAAGGAGAGACTGCCATTTAGTGAAAGGCTATCGTGGATGAGCAGGTGCTCGGCACTTGTTAGATGTATTTCACTCAACTTAACACAGAGAGAGATAAAAGTGCCATTGGGTTAATCTTACGGAGGTTGTGAGGTTTTGCTTTTTTTTCTGTTGAGTAACTTAAAAGTCTCAATTAATGAACCAGCAGGATCTAAAATCGACTCACGCTTGCAGTAGTGGCCATCGCCTTGGTAATTGGGAAGACATTTGCATTCCAGTTTCGTTTCATCTTGGCTGGAAGGTGAGCATCTGGAATTTTCTGGGCAGAGCAGGTCTGCACATTCAGGGATGGCTGCAAAAGAAGATGGTCGAGATACCCCCGTTAGTAGAATAACTGATTCTAAAAATCTCAACCAATGCAGTGTTCTTTGTGATGAAAAAAAGTAATTAAGGAAGACTCACTGTGGACAATTCAAAAAACACAGAACGTGTGAAGTAAAAACGAACTGTTTTCTGATTCTTGTTCTACCTTCACTTATAAATTTATTTAGATGATTTTTTAAAACAAAATGGAAACCCGTGAAGATATTTAGCAACTTGATTTTTAATTTAACAGTATACTAGGGAGGTACTTAAAGATCTCTTTTAATCTCTAATAACTACGTAGTACTTCATCATCTAGGGAAGCATGATAGTTGTCAAGAATTATAAGGAATCTGGCATATGATCCTTGTGCAAAGTTAAGTTCCACGGATGCTGGTAGAAGTAATGAGACCCTTGGTTCAGAAGTGAAAGACAGTTTACTATTCATATCAAGAGTAGTAGCCTGAGTGGTGGCAGTGTTGCACAAGCTCTTCCAGCCCCAAGTCCCCTGGGACAATGCAGAGCAGTGTATGTATGCAGCAGAGGAGCCCCAATCTTAGGGAACCTAAGGTTTTTGTTTGTTTGTTTGTTTGTTTTTTAATAATAGGCAATGTATTAGTTAGGGTCCAGTCAGGAGTCAGAAACCATATATCTATTTGAACAGGGAATGTTTTAGCATAAAGAGTTATCAGCAGAAAATTCATGAAAGTTCAAAAGAATGCTAAAGAATGAAGGAATAGTGGGTATACAAAAAGCAACCATTCCCTTAGGGTTGAAGTAAATTCCCAAGGTAGAGCCCTCCTCTCTCCAGGACCGAGATCCAGATGTCACTGGAAAAGGGCACACCTTGGTCACTAAATGGTGGAGAAAGTGCTGAAGTGCCTTGCTGGTGAGACTTGCTGGAGATCTTCCTCTGAGGGCTCCAGGGAAGGTCACCCTCAAGAAGGTGCCAGGGTTCAGGGTTCATTTGGTGCCTGGGGAAGCTGCCTGCCACTGGGTGCTTCCAGAACCCGATGCTAAGAAGCTATCCCCTCAGAAGTGAAGTATACTCTTGTGTGTGGCTGGGGCCAGGGGGGCTTCAGGGCCAGCTATGTGGGGAGAGGCAGTGTGGTTGGCCCTCCAGTGGCCACCCCTGCAGCTCCCTTGGTATGCACGGCCCTGAGGAGAAGGCACACTGAACAGCAAGCACTTCTCTGTGTGGTGGAATTCAGGCCTGCGCTGCTGCCTGAGTCAAGCATTAGTACGCAGTGGGCAAACACTGCAGCAAGCAGGGCCTTGCAGGAACTTACCCCTGGAGAAGCTGTGCAGGGCTGAGCAGTGGCAAAAACCCATGTTCCTTGGGGCCCTGGCAAGTGAGCTAAAGCAGAAACAGGGGTAGAAAACCCTTCTTTCTTCAGTGCCCCTCCAGCACTCTCTCTTGATAAGATTTTATGTATACCTCGCTGGCTGGCAAATGAGACATATTTACAAATGCCCCTTCATTATCACGGAGCAGGCAAAGAGGATGAATTTTGAGCAGAAATGTAACCTGCCAAGAGCTAGAACAGGCTGGAAACATGCCTACACTTGGTTCCCTACAGAGACCCTCCATCTTCAGAGGCTGTTTGCAATATGAACATCCTTGAAAAGATGTTGGAACAAAGAGCAGTCCGTGTGTGGCCCTCCAAAGGCCAACGAATGTCTCATTTGTTGTCCCCAGAAGTGGCTAGTGGAACCAAACATTCGTAGAGAATATCCCCTCAATCATTCTGTAGAGCAGAATCATTGCCAGGAAGTGGCTGCCCTCTAAAGGACTGCATTTCCAACCCTTCTTTGCAGCCAGGTGGGGGTCATGTGACTACACTGGTGGCCTATTGGGGGGAAGTTGGATATGTCATTCTTGATCTCATAAGCAGGGACTTCTCCTGCCTCTCTTCTTCCTTCCATTGCGTTAAACAGAGCATTGTGAGGTGCTGCAGAATGGCAAAGGCGCTGAATAGGACGATCGGGACCCCTGCCCACCATGTGGTGGAAGCAGATGTCAGTTGGGGACACTCCCAGTGAGTACGAATTATACCCCTGTTGTGTTAAGCTGGAGGTTCCCCAAATTCTCAGGTCATGGTGCTTAGCATCTTAATTTTCTCATGGTGCCTCAGTCTAAAAGAAATATCTACCAGGTCCACTTATTAAGTTGTCAGAACTGAGGAATTCAGTAAGTGTGTCATGAGACCTTAGTAGCCATTTGAAAAAGCAACGTGGTCAATATAGAGAGAAATATTTTGATTTCATTCTCGAAGAACCACATTTGCTTATAAGTAGAATATGTGAGCTTTTGGGATGCAACGTCTCCAACCTTGGAGTCGGACAGGAAACTACCACCCTCAGTCCAGTCAAAAGGATTTCTGCATGATAACTTGCTTTTTATCTTAGCAACCATTGAAAACACAGCTCTGTAAAGATGCAATCGCTGAAAAGGATGTAGCGGTACCCAACGCTGAAATCGTGAACTACCTCAAGTTAGCAGTTTGCCCAGGATTCTACTACAGATGCATCACTGTCTCCCCCACAAAAGTTTAAAATATCCTACGAAACCCTCGTGAGTCTGATGTGGTAGCTTGGGATGTCTCGGTACAGTTTTGAAATCTTAGTGTGAAGCCGTGGGATTCTTGTGCTTGTTTCTTGCAACAGCGAGCGTTACCCAACTGGAATGGGGTGCTCCACAGCTCACTTAACACTTCCTGTTGAGGGACATTCAGGTTGTTTCCAGCTGGTTTTGTTCTTACAAACAATACCGATGTGAATTTCTTTGGGCATATATTTTTACCTACTGGTGCTTGCCTCTCTCTTTTTCCAGGTAAATTCCTAAAATTTGGGGCCAGGGCAGAAAACTGTAAGCGTATTTTACAATTGAATAGATAAATTTCCCTCACAGGCTATAGCAACCCATCTCCCCATTGGCAGCACCATGATTTTTCTCCTACCCACAGATGAATATTTTCTATCTTTGCAATCTGTGTAACATCGTGTGCAAAACCGTCAACCAAACCTTCAAAGCTCTACAATATCACTTCACTATGGTTTTAAATTAATCTGTGATCAGCTGGCCTTCTGCATGGGGTTAAGCACCTCTTCTATGCTCGTGGGCTAGTTTTTATTTCTTCTCCTGGGAAGTAGCCGCTCTTTGCTCTTTGGCAAATTTTAAAATTGGGTTCATGAAACCCATCTTATTATAAAAACTTTTCTGCCATATGAGTTACAAATATTCTGCCCCAGTCTATTTATCTTTTGACTCAGTGGAATTATTTTTGTCATTTGGAGGCAAATCGGTCAGTGTTCTCCATTAGGCTGGCTTCCGGGTGTGTGTGTGTGGGGTCTCCTGTCTTATTCCAAAGGTCTTTGCTCATAAGTCCACTGGGCAATGCCAGGAATGACCAGGGAGGGAGGTGACTGACATCTACAGAGGGCATTATCCTGTCCACCCGAGTTTCATCTGTTGACTTGAGTCGGTCACTTGTGTGTCTGTCTCCTCCATGGGAGGAAGGCTGTGTTTTATTTGTTCTCCTTACTGTGCAGAGCCCCTTGCTGACTCTCAATAAATGAGTTTGAATTTGTTGAATCTGAATCTTGGTCTAATCCCTTCATTTTATAGATCAGAAAGTAACATCCAGAGGGAGGAGAAGTTATAAGTGAGCTCCGTGTCACAGGAAGAATGTCCACTTTCTCTTTGGATGAGCTCCAAATTCAACCTTCGTTACCCACTCTTTGATAATGGACCGGATTCTGAGTGTTTCTCCTTTGCAGTGATATGTGGAGCCTGGCCGGTAGGGGTGCTGAGCCCCCCCCCCCCCCCAGGAGAAAGGGACTCCTTTGCCGTTTCCTTTGTGCTGGGCCCTACTGCATAGTCTGCTAGTGAGGGGCCGTGTGAGGACACTCAGTGATGCTCTGCCTCAGCCATCACTTTAAGTGCACAGTCTGTTGGCGACCTTGCACCCCCAGCCCACCTTCCCCCAGTGATCACCTTCCCACTTCCCTTTCTACACACAGACATTGCTCACTCCAACTCCAATACTCACAACACTTAACTCCCTCTGTGTTCTCAGCCTCCGGCCATGGCTCATCAGTGCCCTGGAGGGCTGTTGTCCTAGGCCAGCTTGGGCACAGCAGCACCTGTCTCCTCTACCCGGTGCGCAGCCACCGTACCTTCTCCAACAGAACGTGAGCTCAGCCTTGGGGACGACCACCCTCTCCAGGTTTTTCCTTGCTCTGTTATGCCCAGCAGCCTAGAGGTCACTTGGCATGTCTATAGCCACTCTCCTACCCTAGCTTACTAGTTCTTTATACTAAACTTCCCTTGTTTCAATCACCCTGTGGTTCCTTTCTCATTCTTGGACCCAGTGTGATAGATTGTTCAAAGAATTTCAAATGATTTGAGTCCCAGCTCCTCTTTCTGGTAGTTTTGTCACCTCTGGCAAATCACTTAGCCTTAGGGAACTTCCATGTGTTCTGTCCCTGAGTCATGCAATTGAGAGCATGCTTTATCCTCCTTACTAGGTGGCCGACTTGTTGCCCTGTCATCAGCCAGGGTCCAGCCTCCTCTGCTCCATCTTTCACCCGGCCACCAGCTTGACCTTCCTAAACCACAGCTCTGTTGGAACATTGCTCTCAAATCTCCTGTGACTTCCCCTCTTCTATACTATTTCTTCCCTTTCTCTCCTCCCCTCCCATTCCTTACCCTTCCCTCCCATACTTTCATTTCCTTCCCCCCCCCATCTTTTTACTTTTTGGTTTTCTCCCAGGAAAATACTTGAGGGTACCTCACCCCTGGAGGGCCCTGGTATGTGAATGCAGAGTTGAAATGCATCCTTCTGTACCTACATGATCTGGCGAGGCATTCAGGAAGCCAGCAGTACTTACGTTGGTCGCAGTGGGAGCCAGTGTATGCAGAGTAGCACTCGCAGCTTCCATCACCATCTATCCCACTGTTGCACACTCCATGCACACAGCTGCACACTGTAGACAGAAAATGGGGATTTTTTTCATTACCTGATATAGTCTTCTGATGATTCTGGAGGAGTGATGCTTTGAGATAGTTTTTATTGGGAATCTTCATGAGGCGACAGGAAGAACCATGGGTTTGATGTCCTAAAGACTCTGCTTTGGATCTTGGCTTCAATTTCCTTTTATTAGTTTCAATTTTTTTATGTATAGCATGAGGATAGTGATAGCTCGCTGTAGAAATCCCTGTGAGATAATGTATTGGTGCACTGGAGTGCACTGGAGTGCTTTTCTCTACTTTTAAGTTACTTACTTTATCTTTGGATGCCTGAAGAAGGGAATTAACTTAATGGTTTTTATACACCTGTCATGTTTAATGGAGAAAAGCTACCATTAGCTCAATTATTGTTGGCAGTGGGGATCTACTATCAATTGGGATAAATCCTATTTCTTGAATGATGTGGAAGTTCAAGTTTAAAAAAGAAATTTGGAAGGGCAGAGAATAACCATGCCAAGACTTCTAGCTTGAAATAGGTAGCTTTTCAGCCAACTGGCAGATCATTTCAGGAATGACAAGTGAAGGGCATTTGAAATAAATGGTCAATTCCTTACACTCAGACTGTAGCTCACTTATGGTGAGATTTACTATCTGATGGGGTCACCAGCACCGTAGGCCTGGCTCTCTGTGAAACATTGTATTGGTTTCCTTTTCTTGCTATAACAAATTACCACAACTTAATTGTGACTTAAAACAACACAAATTTATTATCTTAATCTAATTACCTTAATTCTCCTCTGCCATGTAACCTGAAGTATTTACAAGTGCCAGGGCTGAGGATCCAGACTTCTCTGCAGGGCCATTCTTCTGCCTACCACCCATGTTCAGTGCATGTCAGGCAATTTAATATTAACTCAAGTGAAACATAACTAAGAAGATCCACTTGCTTAAAAACCTAACCAAATGCTGGAGAAGCAAGAATAAATAAAGTATGCCAAACATCCAGTAAGACCTCAAATCCTTTGAATTCTTTGCCATGTGTCCCACCTCAATCACCTGCTCTTGATACCCATCAGAACTGCTGTCCTCTTGGTGAACTTATGGTGTCTTGCCTAGACTGTCATGTGGTACTAGACTGAGGAAGAGACTCTGGCCTTGCTGTCCAAGTTCTTACCTCTCTGTTCGTTCCATCCATTTCATTTGATCAGTAATGGCAGGTGATTTTCCCCAAAATATCTCAGCGATCCCAATTGCTAACCAAATGGAATCTAAATCCCTCTCTTTGGCAAACAAAGCTCTATCCAACCTGACTCCAACTTTTTTACTTTTCATTTCCATTACTTCATTTTTTCCATCTCAGGTTCTAAGCACACAAGATGACTCATTAATTTATCTTCCTTCCTTCAAAGTATGTATTGAACATCTCTCATGTTCAGTGCTTGGGATTAATGACCTAAAGATAAACAAGACAAAGTCTGAGCCCTCCACATCTAATGGCAGAAGAAGGTAGCCCATCGCAATGCAGTGGGATGAATGCCAGGACATGATAGATCTATTGATCTATCTAGTAATCAATAGTTGGGTTGAGGTCCTCCTGGAGTAGGATGGGCCTTAGCCCAATAGGACTGGGCCTAAGAAGAGGAGAGGACAAGACTGCCATGTAGACATTGCAGTGGTGTTGTCTCAAGACCGGGACCACCTGCCCCACCAAAGCCGCAAGGGAATAGTAGGGGCCTCTCCCAGAGCACTCGAAAGGAGCATGGCCCTGCCGACATGTTGATTTTGGATTTCTAGCTTCCAGAACCGAGACCCTAAATTCCAGTTTTGGAAGTCACCTGTTTGTGGCCCTTTGTTAGCTGAGAAATGAAATGACTTACCTTGATTACGGAGTTTTTGATGCCTCCTTAAATTTGGCCCCTGAGGCATGTCCCTCCCTCACCTTACCCTAGAACTGGCGCTGCCCTTCCCTTTATTGAGTACTTACTGTCCATCAGGCATTTTGCCACATGCTTTACATGATTTATCTCCTTTGCTGCTCGCTGCACCCCGTGAGGTGGGGCTCATCAACCCTGCACTACATATGCAAGTGGGACACAGCTAGCTCAGGCTATTTATTCAAATTATGTGAAAATTTAAATTGGATTTGCAGTTGTCATCCTCACTTCAAAACTGACTTGCCCTTGTTTTGTTTTAACAAAGCACTTTGATGTTCACCTATGGCTGGGGCTATTGGAACAGGGCCTCTGGAGAGAAGTCAGATTGGTCTCAGAGGTAACTGCGGTGCCGATGGGGTATACTTCATCTCTGTGGAGAAGGATCAATTTAATTCAATTTAAAAAACACCTCAGTTCCTACGCAGTGGCAGTCACTGTAGGAGGCACTGGGTATAGTCTACAGTACCTAAATTCAAGGGCTCACTGTATAGTAGGAGCCGGACTTGGAGGTTTGAGGCCCTATGTGTCCTTTGGCTGGTGGAAGAGGGCAAGAGACAGTAGAGGGAATTGAATGTAACCCAGCCTGGCTCCCACCTTAGATGCTAACTGTAGGAGCTGTTCTTGCCACTGGGCTTCCCTCTGGACTGCGTGGTATGAGCCTCTCCCTGTGTCTTGTCTTCTGGCACAGCCACTGTCTGGATTCAGTGACCCAGCAGGGGCAGCCTTTGGGAGCCCCTGATGCATAGTGGAGGGTCCCAAGCTATCGCCAAGAAAATGTCCTTGGGGAGAAGAAGTGAGTTGCTGGGGGATTCTGAGATGTCTTTCAAGGATCCCTTGGAATTTGTTGAACTGATGTCAGTAAACTTCCAGAGACACGACAACACTTGTGGTGTGTGACTTTAACATGGTCCAAGCTACGGCCACGTGAGTCTGAGGGACAGTGTCCGAAGCCCCTGGGGCCCTGCCCCTTGGCAAGTGGGCTTCTCTTGTCCTCTCCTCACAGCATCCTATGTGTGCTGTGCACACTGGCTTGTAACTGTCACCTGCCCTTCCAGCTCCTGGGGGATGAATCTGTCTCCTCATTAGAGTCCTATCATTTTCAGGGCCTTGCACATGGTGGATGCTCAGCAGGGGCGGAAGAGTGCAGCGTTTGGCCACCCAGGCTCCGAAGCCAGATAGGTGGAGTCAAGTTCTTCTTTGTCTCTGAAACAGCTGCTTGACCTTGAGTGACCTCTCTGCCTCTTTATCCATAACACGAGGACCCAGCTGGCAGAGTTGTTGTCAGGATCCAAAAAGAGCATGCGTGGCAAACTTTGCACAGCGCCTGGTGCTCAGCAGATGCCAGCAATAACAGACAAATCGTGGGACTGATTTGAGGGTGACGTTAGAGAAAGTGAGCTTTGCTTTCCGCCCTGACCAGTAGTGAGACATGGAGCAGGCTGGACATTGGCAGCACAGGTGAAAGCCCTTGGGTGTGAGTCCAATCAAGGCTGAACTCCTCACCAGCGGGTAAGAGAATGCTCTGGCAGCAGGTTACAGTCAGTGTTAAAAATAACCTGCAGCTAATGGAGCTGTCCTACTTACGGGCAGCACACCATTATGGGCAGCACGTCGCTTCTGAGGACCAGTGCCTCCCTGCATGGGCTGATACTGGCACCCGGTGGACGCCCAGCTGAAAAGGTTTGCGAGTCCTCCTTGTCCTTGCTAATGGAGAAGGCTAGTCATCACCAAGACAGCCAGCTGTCCATCCGTCCGTCCATCCATCCATCTATCCATCTGTCCATCTGTCTGTCCGTCCATCTGTCCATCCTTCCATTCATCTGTCTATCCATCCCTCCATCTGTCTGTCCATCGTTCCATCTGTCTGTCCATCCATCCGTCCGTCTGTCCATTCATCCATCCATCTATTCTGAGCACCAAGCACCTGCATGGATGGTACAGATTAGGACCCTCCATCATCTCCCAGAGTTCTACTGACTGGAGCCTAGAGCAAGGGGTTTTCTTTCCTGAGTCCCAGTTTAGGTTTCTCACTTAAAACTTTAAGTTTCTAATCCACCTTCTCCCCTTTCACTTCCCCTTCCTCCAGGGCCCAAACAATGTGAAGGGAGGATACTTTATTTAGAAACGTTCACAGCCTCCTTGTTTATCTGTGCTTATCAGTAACTGGCACCCATTTCTTGGAGGCAACACGGGCTCATCTTCTTTCCAGATTTTCATCCCCAAGCTGCCCTTGGCTTTCCTGTTAGTAAACAGTGTTGGATGCTGTCTTTTTTCCCTTTCCAATACTTATTTAAAATATGTGATTCAGATCCCAGGATGATTAGGAAAGGACTGGTTTGGGAAGCACGCCCTTCAATGTAACATGCAATGTTAAAAACACACTGAATACCAACATCTGTCTTCAATTTGTTTTTGGCAACACCCTCGTGAAATAATCTTCTGTGGAGTGGTGGATGAACAGAGACCTAAATTTGGGGGTCACTGGAGAATAATTGGTCCTGGAAATAATAATTGCTGACATGTATTGTGCGCTGATGTTCTCACTATATCCTCATAATGACACTGAGGGACACAGTATTGTTTTTGTTTTTACGGAGGAAGACAAGATGAGCATGTGCCCAGTGAACTTAGGGCTCCCACGGTTAGAAGCCCTCAGGCTGAGGCCCGGCCTGAGTGTGGACCAAGGAAGGCCCTGATGATCCCTACATGCTGCCTCTCAAAGTCAAGCCTGCGGGTCAGGACAGTATGGCTGGAGTGAACTAGATTGTTTGTCCATTCATCTATACCCTCATTCATGCTCGTATTCATCCCACTAAAGTGTGGTGTGCGTCTCCTCCCTGAGCAGGTCAGCACCTGCCTTCAAGGGGCCATGGACCAGGAGATAACGCCTCCGCGTTGTTGCAGGTCAGACTTGTCCCACGGCATGCAGGTCTATGGGGGTGAGATGTCTGCTTTCGAGAGTGAGATGTCTGATTCATTGCAAACGGTACTCGAATCAGTGTCTATCAGGGTTTCCAGAAAAGCCAGAACTCAGGTCACATTGGGTGAAGGCCCCCTGACACGACCTCTGGGAGACTGAATCTGGCAAGCCCAACCGACCATCCCACATTCTCCAGGCTGCACCGGCCACCGCAGTCCCCTGAGGGCCCTTCCTAGGAAGGCTGCTCTGCCCAAGTGCTCGCCGGCAGCGGCATCCATCGCTGTCTTTTCCGGCTCCTGGAGGCTTCCCTCATTGCTTGGCTTGCGGCTCCCTTTTGTTTCCAAAGCCAGCCAAGCCTGGCAGAGTCTTCCTTACATCTCAGCACCCTGACGCTGTCTCCTGCGTTCCTCCTCCACATTCAAGGACCTTTGGGTACGGATAACCTAAGATAATTTCTTTAGGGTCAGATGATCAGCAACCTGAATTCCGTCTGCAACCGCAATTCCCCTTGCCATGTGAAATATCATAACCCTAGGTCCGATGGATTAAGGTGTGGACATTTTTTTTTGGGGGGGCAGGGGTCCTTATTCTGTCCCACACTGTGGTTCCTGCTCCCTCTGGTGGGATGACTCTAAGATGAATGTTTGACCCTGACTCCCCGATTCCCTGGGGCGTCCAGCTCTAATCATCTAATTGTCTCCAGTTTGATGGTGTCCCCTTTATCTTCCCTATGTCGTTTTCTGGATGTCTCTGGGGTCACGTGCCAAATATGCTACCTGTATTGAAATCCTTGCCTGAGGATCTACTTCTGGGGGGAAACAAGAGAATGCACAAGCCAGTATCAATTTGTTTGTTTAATCTGCAAAATGGAGCCAGTAATCCCTGATCACCTGAGGTATTTGAGAACTCCCAAAAGGAGGGAACTGAATGAGGTGGGACCTGCCATGGAAGAAGAGGCCCTTAGGAGGAAGGTCTCTGCTGAAACCAGGACCAGAAAGACCTCCAGGGCAAGCAAAAGGTGGATATTGGAGCCTGGGGCCTGGAGGGCGGGAACCATACTCAGCCAAATTTGACAGAAAGCACTACTGGTGAGTAGCTGCCATGGGTGCTGAGAGCCACGGAAGACACTGCCTCTCCTTCCAAAGACTGCATTTGTTGTCACCTGTGTTTTGCCTGTGTTGAATTGGTTCTACATAACAGTTTGGTGCACCCCTTCCCACCACCAGCCAAGGAACAGCCATTCTGGGGACTTCAGCGGCATCAGCCAGGTTTGACTTTTGACCTTCACACATGCATTTTGATCACACAGAAATCAGACATACCTGCTGAACAGTTGGGTCCGAATAAGTTGTCATGAGCACAGGCTTCGCAGGCCGTTCCCCCAAACCCATCCTGTGGAACAGCAGGGAGATGGCATGAGGCCCAAGTACTCTACATTCCGCAAAGCCCTTGGATTTCTAACTCATGGCCTGTCAGCACTTGCTTCTCAACTGTACCTGTCCTTTCCTGAAGCTCCTCTTTCTCCTTCTGCCATCATACTGGGCTGTTTTTATGCTATAACATTTGCACTAACCCCTGCACCACTGTTCACCAAGAGTCTGGAGCTCCTCAGAAGGAGCTGCTTTGTCACCCGAAGGTACACAGAGAGCGAGCGCAAGCAGTCACATCATAACTTCACTCCAGAGTGAACACTCTTTCACTTCTGTGTTTCTGAAGACAACTGAGCTCCATCCCTTGAAGAAGGATTTCTCTGCATTTTAATTATCCAAGGCTTGAAGCTCACGAAGGGTCACTTTCATGGGGTAATGGCTGACTGCTGACCACTGCCTAGCCTGCTGAGAGTGGCGCTTACTAATGGGGACAAACATGGTGATTTCCATGGCTCTGTAGAGTCGCACAAAATATTTTCACATATATCATCTCATCGCACTTTTTCAATGAATGCAATTGCATAGGTATTTTGATTAAGCCCATTTTATAGAAGGATGTGCTTAAGGCTGAGGGGGGATGCGACTCTCTCAAAGGTCTGCAGCCCCTAAGAGATCATTTTGCTGCAGACCCTACATTCTTTTTATTAATATAGCTACTTCTTAGAGATTCCACCTGGAGTATATGTGTCTATGGAAGGATGACAGGTAAGGAGAACATGTCTCAGAACTTACCTGGCAAGAGCACCTTCCGTTTCCTTCCATGCCTTCTGCACAGCTGCCCCTGCCGCTGCAGGGGGACCTCGCTCCTCCTGGACACTCTAGGGGATCAGAGGGCTCAGAGTCATCCATGCATGACCTCACACAGCATTCTGCAAGAATGCATTGAGCATCTACTATGTGCCAGCTAGTGTGCTGGCTGCCAGGGATGAGAAACCATGAAAGATCCTGCCGACGTCATGCATGGTGATGTGGGGAAGGTGAGCGAATCGCCATGTAGTCAGGTGCTGTAGTGGAAGACATTGCACTGTCTACCATTTCTTGAGCATTTGCTATACTTCACACTTTTTAATTTTTAAACCTTACAATTTTTAAAAAAGATTCTATTTGTTTATTTGAGAGAGAGAGAGAGAGAGAGAGAGAGAGAGAGAGAGAGAGAGAAGGAGAGAAAGCACGAGTGGGGCAAGGGGCAGAGGGAGAAGCAGACTCCCTACTGGGCAGGGAGATGAGGCTGAGGTTGGACCCCAGGATCCTAGGATCATAACCTGAGCCGAAGGCAGGCACTTAACCCACTGAGCCACCCAGGGGCACCTACTTTCTAATTCTCTAATTAAATTATTCCCACTGAGACCCTGAGACATTGCTATGGGTACAGGTTAGCAGATGAAAAGACTGACGTTCAGAGAGGCCACCTAACTGGCCCAAGTTGCAAAGCTAGGACTTTAGTCCCACCCTGAGGACGACCTTAAAGCCGGCCTCTTCCTCAGTGCTCTGGACAGGGGATTGAGGGACTCCAGAGAAGGTAGTTATCGATGTACCTTGGGAGGTCAGGGGGACATCCTGGAGGAGGAGGCATTCAAGCTGGGGTTTTGAAGGCTTGGTAGGAGCTGACCATGCTTAAAAGGTAAGGGCATTTCAGAAACAGAGAATGTGTATGGGTCCACAAGGTTGTAAAAGGGCATGACCCATCCTGGGAATGCTCTAAGGTTTAGTGGGGTTAGAACTCGGTAGTTGGGACATGGGAGAAGCACAGGTGGAGGAGGATTAGTAGGATGGTTAGGGCCAATTAATGAGGTGCTTTATGTGGCAAAGGAATTTAGATTTGCTCACAAGCTGTTTCCTAACAAGTATGGATTTGTACTTTCGGCCCAGATCTGAATGGGAGCTTTTATAGACACTTATTAGATGATTTCAGTTGTTCACTAAACATTCAGGGAATACCTACTATGTGTCACACACCATCTTCCACGTTGGGACAGAGGGACATCTAGCTAGAGAGTCAGATATTACAAGGTCCAAAACCCGACAGAAGATTTATTTACAAGATGGGTAAGTGAAGTTTCAGGTGTTACCATCATGAGGCTGAAGAGCATTTCCCTTTTCTACTTGCCATTGTCCTGCACTTTGAGTGCTGAGTCAGCATGGGCTTCATGCTGGCCTGGGCAAGTCCTAACTGTTGAAATAAGGGGCCTGGATTAGCCAGCACCAGATGGAAGTCACACAACGGTAATGAAATGTTTGTGTGAATGAGGCAGGATCAACTCTTATCCCAAATCGAAGTCAGTGAGTCAAATGCCTTCCACAAAATGGCTAATGTCACAGAGGTCTAGATCATAATCAAGGGTGCATGCATTGACTACTCAAAGCAAGCCCCTGCAGTTAAGGCCCATTTTTAGTCCCATTTTCTAGAAAAGGAAACTGAGTAGTAGAGTGACTTGTCCAAAGTAGTAGTAGAGTAGTGACTTGCCCGAAGCCATCCAGCTGGCCAGGGGTGATGAGGGACTCACCCCTGCTCTACCAGCAGTGTCCACTTGCCAGCCCTTCCTCCTCCCCTACACCCTTCGACAAAGCGCTCCTGTGCCATAAGCCTGCTTCGCCATATGTCTTCCAAGAAACCAGCACCCACAGAAGTTGAAAAACAGTCATTGGAAAAAGAAACTTACAACCACAGAGATAAGCCATTCTCCTAATGAGACTCTGATGGCTCACTTGAATTATGAGGCTAGGTCTTTAAAAAAGCATTGATAACTTGTAGGTTTGGGGAGGTGACAGTCAAGCTCCCCACCCATGGACAGTGTTGCCTCTGGCTCCCCTCTTGCCTGCAGAGTCTAAATTACACATTTTGACTGTGTGTCCTTCCTTCCCATGACAGGATTGGAGCCAGGCTTCAAACACTGGCAGGTGCTCACACTGCTCATCGCTATGCTATAGGCTCCTTAAGCACTGCTGCAACCCCATCACAGCACAGATAACAGACGCGTCTATGAGGGAAGCAAAGGAGAAGACACACTGACATGTAGCTAATATTTATAAGTCACCTGGGAAACCCAGACTCTGCAATCAGGACCTCCAGGGTTCGAGCCCCAATTCAATTTCCTGCTAGATGTACCCTTTTGGGAAAATCAATGCATGGCTCTAAGACTCAGTTCAAGTGTCTTCCTGCAGGTTGCAGTAGGTGCTCAATAAATGGTTGTTATTGTTTAGAGTGGATACTCCTTAACCTCTCTAGTTTCTGATCTTTGAGATTGGTGCTATCATAGATAACAATACTCAGGAAATGAATTATTAGGCATCTGTTTGAATCAGGACTCTGTCAGGTCCTGGATGTACACAGTGAGCACATAGACTGGGTCCCTTATTTCCATGGTCCTACCAGTGTACTGGGGAGCGGCATGGATTAAAAGGCAATCAGACAAATATTAGTTTGCAAACTGGGATGAGCTTTCCTCAATCCAGTTGCTGGAAGTTACTGACATTGACTCCGAACAACCTAACCCTCAAGGCCCCGTTGACTTAGATCTGGTCTTAAGAGGGGGCAACAGCCAGGTCATTAAAGAAGAGCCTTTAAAGTTGGTGGCCTTTATCCTAAAAAGAGCAGTGGGAGGTGGGGATGAAGAGGAAGGAGAGGGCCTAATTGAGCAGGTGCCAGGTACACACTTCGAAGTTCATCTGAAACCCCCTTGAAGCACTTGCATTTTCAGGGCTGAGCAAGGTGTGCTGAGAGCGTTTTCATAGATTGTTGGCTGTCAGGTAGCTCTTCTTCTATTTTCTTCTGCTATTAGGTCTTTCTTGGGCTGAGATGGTGTTTTGGGAATCAGGACCACCTCTGGGCAGGACCAGGAAGACAGAGGGGTGACAGCTCTGCCACAGTTTCCCTCTCTTGGTTCCTGTGCCTCTGCCCATGGTTCGGTGTGCAATGTGCTCACTGGGGGACCCATACCTTGCCTTGTGGACTGGCTCAGAAGAACACAGGGCCTCCCCAGCCCTGGGACTCAGCACCCAGGGCCACTTGCAGAAATGCTCTCCCGGGCATTTTTACTCTGCAGGCAATGACACCAGAATCCCAGTGTCCTACACTTGTGTTTTTTTTTGTTAGCTTCCTCCCTGCACTAGACCACCTCCTCTCTTATCTGCCATTTTTTTCTGTCTATCCTGCTGCCCAGACATATTCTTCCCTCCACCCCCTGCCTGTACCTTTCCCCCCATTTACACATGCTCTTCCAGACCCTCTCCTGAGGCAGATACAACTCTTCCATCCTCTGGGGTTGTCCCTTCTGCTTGGCCCTTGCCTCATGATAACTTATAGAGCAGAAAACAAGGCAAAGTCATCTACTAAGAATATAATTATAAGCCAAAGGCTGGTCACAGAGGAATTAGGGAGCGTCTCACATCTGAGTTCCCAAGAGTGTGATGCTATGTCCACAAAGTCCGGGCCCCTTTTTTCCTTTGGACACAGTTAGGAAGCCCTTCTTGTAAAACTTTAAGCAGCTATTCCTCTGAGGGTGATTCACTGGACCAGATGTTTCTAGTCACGTGGAGATGGAGGTGGGGGGAAGGATTGTTACAAAGGCAGATTCCTGAGGCCCTTCTCCAGGTAGAGTTGCTATGAAAATGCACCTCTCAGATGTGCACTGTGGAAGCATAATTTTTCTGTTGGCAACCATCCTGTTCATGAGGCCATGCTTCCTATATCTGCTTCCAGCCAATGCATGAGCACGGCAGGGATATCAGGGCAGGCCCATTGCCACAAGATGGCAGATTCCTCTGTTAGATGGCTTTGGCTGGGGTGCTCCCCACCAACTTTACCCAATGTTTTTAGAACTATATGTAATCTGGGATCCCTGGGTGGCGCAGCGGTTTAGCGCCTGCCTTTGGCCCAGGGCGCGATCCTGGAGACCCGGGATCGAATCCCACGTTGGGCTCCCGGTGCATGGAGCCTGCTTTTCCCTCTGCCTGTGTCTCTGCCTCTCTCTCTCTCTCTCTCTCTCTGTGTGTGTGACTATCATAAAAAAATAATAATAAAAAAATAGTACTAATAACCGTAAAAGACTTTGGTATGAGCATAATAAAAATTGTGCAAAATCTGTAAGCTAAAACTGATGAAAGATTGACAAAAAAAGAAGAAAAAAGAAAGAAACAAAGTCCTATATAAATGGAGAGATACAGTGTGGTCATGGTTATGAGTTAGAAGATCCAAACTTTAATATGTTAGTTCTATGTAATCTGACTTACAGATTCAATGTAGTTGCAGTTAAAATTCTCATGGGACTTTCAGGTAGATATTGGCAAACTGATTTTAAATTTTACGTGGAAAAACAAAGAAACTAGAATAACCAAGATCATTTTGAAAACACCTAAGTTGGAGATCTTACACTGGCAGATTTCAGGACTCAGTGTGAAGTTACAGTAATTGTGAGGGTGTGGAATGATGAAGGGACATGCACCCCGGTCCCTGGGGCAGAACAGAGTCCACACATTGATGGGAAAATGATTTTCTACAACAGTCCAGAGGCAATCCAACGGGGAGACGATAGTCTTTTCAAGAAATGATGCTGGATTATTAGGTATTTCTATGTAAAACAACAGACCTTGAGCCATATCTCAAATTATACACAAAAATGGACTTACCACGGATGCTAGACCTAAACACAATACCTAAAATTATACAGCTTCCACAAGAAAAGATAAAAGAAAATCTTTGTGATGTTAGGCTAAGCAAAGATTTCTAGATATAACACAAAAAACACGATCTATAAAAGAAAAATCAATCTATTTGACCTCACCAAAATTAATGACGTCTGCTCATCAAAGGTTAGTGTTA